CTAGCGATGGGCAGGTCAGCTATAAGCTCAAGCTACTCCTGTAAGGCAGTAATCTGTATGTATGTCATGTACGGTAAAGTGTGTGCGGCATCCCCCTCATCTTCATGCAGGCGACAGCTTCGTTGAAGACACACTTGTTTCGGAGCTTGGGAGGCGCCGCCCAGCTCCCAGGCTGCTAGTCCTAGTGCCTGCTCCGGCGCCTCCCAAAGCGCCCGCTCCAACGGTCCTCGTGCCCGTGTAATTGGCAGCGTGAGCAGGCTCCGTTGATTGCCCACGATGCTTCCGATATTGATACCCAGGTATCCGTACTACCTACCCAAATGCAATGTAATGCTACGCTGCCCGAAACAACGGCGCCGGGCTGGAGACGGGCACGCGAACGCCTTCAGTGGGGGGCAGCCAGAGATTGCGCACATGTCTGTGACTCGATGTGACTGCCGTCGTTGGCCGGGTTTTGCATTCATTTTGGCTGCAATGCAGCGAGCGTGTCTGTCAAACTGCCCAAGGCTGTGCCTCTGCCCTCTGTCGACTCCGTATCCAGATCTTGTGATTGGCTGGGTGGAGCTGATTTTCCAATCACAAAAATTCCCAGGCCAAAGCGAAAACCTGCCCCGCCTTCTAAGCGCGCTGGCCGACCACTCAGTTAAAAGCTGCTCTCTCTTTTTTTTTCTGACTGCCGAGTTTTCTCTCTTCCTCTCCCACACACACACACGGCTTTTTCGCCAAATGTTGTTTTTTCCTGATCCAACTGCACTATGACGTTCCTCACAACCCCTCGGCCTGCTCTAAAGCTGGATCAGGTCATCCTCACATTGCAGCGCGCGCAAAGAGGGGAGGGGGTTCGGGGTGTGTTTTGTTTGTCTTCCTTCCTTTCGACCTTATCGTCGAAATGAAAAAGCCCCTTCTCTGCCGTCCGGCTTTGCAGATTTTTGCACAGTTGGGCAGATTTTTTTTTTATCTGGTTTCACTTCGGGACGGTAGGTCCGAAAGAGAGACATGACCCAAAAGCCACGCCCCGTCGCCACTTTATTCCGGCGGCTTCGGTAAGGCTTTTCGGAGTCGAGATCCGAGAGATTCAAAGAATTGGCGGACGCGGATTGTCTTTGACGGCCTCGCCGTGATTAATATCCACGTCCGTTGATCCTCGGTTCTGTGTTTTGCTAAGAACTCTTTGGCTCGAGTTCGATTTTTTTGTGATTAACTGCTAACCTCGGTTCTTGCACGGCAACAACTGCCTATTCTGATGCAGTTGTTTTTAGTTGCTTGTCTTTTCTTTACATTGTTGCCAGATATGACGTTGCTTTTATAGCTTCGTCTATCGACATCTTCGCTCATCTCCCATTGACTTAGATGTTTTCGCACTGGCATAGATCAATTACTCGTTGCTGGGCACCCGGCTTGGAGATGTCGTTTTGTACATCAACGACAAGCCGGGAATCAGCTGTAGAAACATATCACACGTATCACACCGCATTCTGTAGGTACACATTGTAGTTTCTGCTGTCGCTGTCACTTGTCCCTTCTCGCGCTTTTCTATTTCGTAATAGCCGTAGCCTCGAAAGTCTTGCAATCCGGATAGTACGGCCCCAGCATTAAGCATCCGCGGATACGTCGTACGGCAGATCTCATCTGTACACTCCTCTCGTCTGACTCGCATCGCGACCGTTTGGCCATGAGTCGCACAAACCGACCGTACGCGCTCTCCAGATGGGGCCTGTTTTCCGTTTCTGTGCCTTAGTCGACGAGCTACCGAGAAACTCAATTGCTGTGTTTCTGCCATGATGTCATAGCTGCCTAGCTCTGGTTTTCGCTGGTACCGCTAGAAGAGCACTTGGGTTTTAGTGCGTGCGAGCTTGAGAACGGTCGGTGAGACGCTCGAAATCGCGGTGAAGATACAACATCCGCGATGCGCTCGTGATGAGCAAAGTAGACACTCTAAATGCTACTTGGTCATGCACCGGAAGCAACACTAGGCAATTACGGCGCAATGGATCGCAGTTGGCTAACATGTTTGCCTAGGGTCTAAAGCATGGTCTGTGAATAGCAAGTGTTAGTAGCTAGTATAGCTCAGTGCTCTGCTGCTATAAATACAACATAGTGCTTATGCCATCAGATCGTTTAGAATCGCATCACGCCCCGGTTATATTAAGATATCTACCTACAGTCAATGGACATCGATCTATGATCGAGCTAGCGGTCAATGGTAAGAACGATAGCGTTGGCGAGATGGAGATTGGCCTTGGCAGCTTGTGAGAGAGAATGCATGAATGTTGTGGGGGTTGACCATAAAGTATCGTTGCTGTATATACCACAGCCGATACCGCTTTGATCTATTTGTCCATCCATCCATGGACTATTCTTCTGAGATTGACGAATATCCTTGCCATCACAGCTGAGTGCCTAACAACACAAAAGCCAACCATGCTGCCTGTTTCGCCCTTTACAGACACATGTATGTCCCCATCTACCAGTGGCAAATGGCGTGCCTCTGCCCTGACAGCTATTTCTTTGATAGCTCTAGCTTGATCTACGCGTATTATGTGAAGCTGCGCCGATAGTTGCTCCCTAACATCTCCAACTCTTTCCAACGTTGACATTGATACTGGATGCGCGCTCCTCTGAATCGGGATATCGCATCCATCTAGTATAATACAATACATGTATGCTAGTTTTTTAAGCTGGTATGGCCGTGAAGGAACGCCTATAGTATTATTTCTTTTCTGCGTATAACTGTTTTAGCTCATTAGGTATGACCCCCCATGATCGTCACAGAAAGCAGATACTTGCCGGAAAGGTTTAACTACTTCAATCATGAACTCGCTGGAACCGAAAAGTTTGAATATTGTCTCCAACGACAAACACCTAAGAAATAACGGGGCAATGGGGCGCTCGGCACTACCAGATGCTGATGATGAGTGTGATGAAAGCCATGATGGAGATAACTCGCTCAATAATGCTAAAGAGCTGCACTGTAAGGTCACTGCAAACATAGAAAACTCAAAGAATCCCTGAGGCAAATCTTTATAGCATCGAGCTTGTCTGAATCTTTGATGTGAAACTAACGCATGATATGTGGTACATGGTGCCAAGTACCTATTAATTGTAGGGAGCATGTGAGTAACTACATATAGCTCCGCCATCAGTCATTTCCCGGTCATTGTTCGAGAGAATGAGCTTATGTAGAGGAATTCTCGTGAATGAGGAAGAAAGAACCAAAGCACGATAGCCTGAAAAAGGCCTGGGGAGGCAGGGAGGGCTAAGATGCTGCGAAAAGTGCGGATCGATTTACGGGTCCCCCATTATGGTTTTGGGGAGTGTTGAATTGCTGTGAAAGTTGCCTGAAAAGGTGGTATGAAACACGGAAAGCTACATAGATACCTTGAACAGACAGCAAATCGCAAGTCTGTTATACCAAAGCCTTGGAGTGAGTTAAAAATGCTGTGAAGCTGCACCCGCGCCACAACCTCAAAAAAGAGATGGCGAATCACAAGCCTCGCACATTAAAGCCTCGTAGAGAGCTAAAAATGCTGTGGAATGACTCCACACAAAGGTGAGCTTTGGAGCACTGTACAGCAAGCGCACTGGATATGGAGGATAACCCAGTCGTGAAGTAGTTCAGCGTCAGCGTCAGTACTCTTGAACACTATCCATGCATCTTTACTAGCCATGAAATGAAACATATAGTATATGTAGAAACGAGTGTTTTGCGAGGTCATATGGCCTCGTTCAAATACTGATGTCAGTCGTTTATAAAGCTTGAGATAGCTTTACCCTAGATATTGGTGAATAAATCACCAAGCTCCTCTATACGTTACAGCCCTTCATTGACCGTGACGTTACCAGACTCTTTCCACAGTCTGTACCATGATATTATAGCAGTTACTATACGTCGCCTACGAGTCTGATCCGTTTTCTACCTCCCCTCGTACTACAGCGTGATCATACGCCCTCCAATTCTGCTGAGGATCTGAAGCCCGAGAAATGGACAAAGGTTGTTCGCCCGAAAGCCGCAGACGGAAGATTTCTACCCCGCGAGGGATTCCCCAAGGTCTCTACAGCATAAAACGTTCGCGATTCCGTCTTCTCCATCATAAGTTCAGAGTTCAGTTTCTGTGTCAACTGCGTTTCCCTGAGATGGCGCCAGCTTTCCGTTTCAGCGAGACTTGTGCTGCTTAAAGCGACTCTATCAATTGCGACTATGACAATATGATATTGCAGGGCGAATCTGCATATAGTATTTTTACTTTTCTTGTATGAAGAGGCATCTGATAGCAGTTCCTTGCATTTAATCATGTAGAAATGGACCATGCTATGTGCTTTTAGGTCCGACACGATGAATTCTGATGTTCGCGGTATCGTTACAATAGGGCTGAGCATACGGTCTCTGCACATAGCCTGGCAAGCTGTATTCCAGCAATAATTTTAAGCTAAGAAATGACGTTGCTGGCGACTAATGGCGATTTTGGTGGAAGAGATGCATGCGTACTATCCGAAAATTAGAAATTGCCTACTTATCATGATCGGTTGTCTCCGGACGATAGAGGCGTAGTATTTCGCTCTGAAAATCGAACCATCTTTCTAGTTTGGCGCTATATGAGTAAATGGTTATTTCATTTCATTAGTCAGGGATATTGGCCCATCCACGGCGTTCACGACGTTTGGCTTGTCTGGGGTAAACAGTTGTGCGTTTGGGGAGAGCGTCTTCAACCATCCTTTGTCAACAAGCATATCGGAGCATCCTGTATCTACTGCAGCGGTAGTGCTTGGTCTGTTGAGGTGCAGTTTCTAGTTTCATCTGAGAATATGTACTTGGGCTTTGGGATGTCAGTGTTTCCCTGGTGCTTTTGTGCCTGCCTGTGCCTTGAGTGCTGCGGAGAAATGTGCCTCAACTTGGTCTCTGGTAGTGCGCAACTGGGTCTCTTTGATGTACTACTCGATGTTTTGTAGGTGTCAAGGGGGCTGTTCTCCACGATGACTCGCAAAGTGTAGACCATGGGCGCCTAGCTGGAGTCGTAAAACTGCTTGAGATTCAGGGTAGGGCTGGAGGGTGGCTCTTCGTCAGAGATGTCCGTCATGTGCGTATCATCTCCAGAGTTTTGGTTCTGTTCCGTACTGGCCGAGGCCTTGCCACTCTTGTTCTCATCATTGCCGTCGTTGTTCTCATATGCCATGTTGAAACACAAGATCTGGGTTGAGTGGTTGGCCCGGTGGTGTACAGAGGTAGCTAACGGGAGGTAGTACTCATACACGCGAAACTCTCGGAGCTTGGTGTGTAGGTCGGCGCTATCTTTGGTGGCGATTAGAGCCTTCTAGTTTTCGTTTGCTTTTTCGTGTTTAGTTCCGAAGTTGAAAGTTGTTCTTGCCAATTCATCTTTCCACGCCTTCATATTGGCCACTGCTGAGGGTGGGCTCGTATGCTCGTATGGAACATCAAGCTGAAGAACTCGTGCAGTGTGTTGGGCCCAGGTTTTGACAAATATGGGTGAGTTTTCATACCGGCAGTGCGGCTGTTGTCTCATCTTTTCTGTCTGTTGTGATATTGTGCAGGTTTTGAAGGGCCAGCTTGAGCTCAACAAGGCAGTCTGTCTGCATTTGAATTGGACTAGTACCTCTTCAATTTTTATATACACTTAGAAGTAAGTACTTGGCAACAATAGCAGTGCGTGGAGTAGCTTTTGCCATGGCTAAAGTGATGTGCAATAGTTCTGAAATGCTGGCCAGCTTTTTCTTTTTCTTACTGCAGTTGCAGTAGCTATGCTGGTTGTTCAAAAGTTTGAACATAGCGTCTGCCTCTTTCAACCTTGTAGCTTGCTGTAGTTTTCACTAGGTACCTACCTATTTCATGAATGTTGCGGCACCCGCCCCATCCTGGCCGTTTGGTCGCCTTTGTTGCGCCTATTTCAATACAATTAATCACGCATGCTTCAAAGCATTCAGTGTGTTGTTTTTATCAAGCAGTTTTTATGGATTCAAAATAAGCTGTAAAGACTACTGTAGCAAAGGGCTATGCCTGACCCCGATTTCAGTGGGTAGATGTACCTGATGAAGTATTGCAAACTTATGCTCATGCAGAATTATATCTACTTGTTCGGTCCCTATCTACGTCCACAACGTCCACCACTACGGTAACGAGATGATCTTATAAAAAATGCCGTATTGGACGCTAAATACTTTTCGTGAACTGATTGACTGGAAGCATTAAAGAAGCTACTTACAATACCCGGCATGGGTAGTTATCCTACCTAGCACCAGCCTCAACCAGCAGGAGCTACTGTTTCATAATCTTCAATTAACACTCACGAAGCGACCGTTGAAATACATAGTTGAAGTCTTTCCCTGTAGAATTTAGAATTAACCAAGCTTGATCTGATCTCCACATCAATCATTAATTCCCTGACGTAAAACCACGTGGGAGCCCATAAAGGGACATCAGGCACTTGTGTACGAGTTGATAGAGCTTGATAACCCCTGAGCCAGAGACATCCCGCAAGAGCTACATAGAATACGGTAAGGGGCTTTCGTAGCTTTGGAGAACTAATACATAGCTGGTAAAGAATGTCTAACATCGGCAAGGTATTTAAATGACAACAAGGTCAGGGAAAACAGAAAAAAAGAGACATGGCCCACGACAGACGTCGTTCAATCAAAACCACCCCGAGCATCGATGATGAACAGCGCTATTGAATATGCATTAGGATTGTCTTGGATGATGCGTCTATCATTTTTCTGTACTGTCAAATTGCTGTAGTTCTCTGCTACAAACATGTCTTGATTGGTTATCCGGCCACACGGTCTCGGCAGAAAGCTTTAATTTGAACTGCCGGTTTAGTGGACTGCTTGCCGGCGAATCATTGAAATGGCATATAGATTCTGCATATTGTCCATGGCAATGTTATGCGGGAAAAAAAAGAAAGCGAGTAGCGAATCGGAAAATTTCGCTCGTCTGTCTCCTCGGTCAAAATCTGAGCCAGTGACGATGATTCGCCTCCCTCCACAGGTGGCATAGTACTTGTCTCAGCCAACAGATTTCGACCGCAGGTTTCAAACTTGCGCCACATGTAGGCTTAGCTTGGCCTTATGCCGGACCATCTGGTCCGGGGACTCCATCCTCGCTGCTGATGGGGGCCATTACGGAGTTGAGGTCGATCTTGTTCCTTGAGAAGGCTAGAGGGCAGGAATTGATTGAGCGGAGAGCCTGGAGACTAGAGAGAATAAGAGAGCCAAAGAAAAACTCTTCATACTACTGCTGCTAGCAAGGCTTTGAAGCTGGGGGCATCCGAATCAAGTGCGAGTGTTTGACGCTTGATTCAACGTTACTTAGGTATATGATACATAGAGTGCTTATTGCTTACACGGAGGCACTCAGTCGCAGCTGGATTGATTGGGCATGCAATAAACCTGCAACTGCCCCTCCATGCAAGCTGACGCTATAAGAAGCTGCAAGTTGGAAGACGAAAACAAGCTCGCGCTTCCTTCATTATTGATTGCCACAGCCGCGCGTGTCTTTGGCACAAGAGTTGTCGCCCCAATTGCTCAAACACAGATCGCCATCGCCATGCCTGCTATAAGACGGTGAGGTAATACGCATGAATCACATGTGCGCCGTAGCTACACTGCTACCCCTCACCTGCCAACGGTCGCAGGCACTACAGGGCACTACAGGGCACTACAGGTATCGAGTACCTGAGCTTCAGCCCCTCCAAGTTTGCATTGCCGCGAGATGGAGATGCATCGACAACTGGATCCCGGCTCCATCAAACGCATCTGCGCTACCCAGAACCCTAAATTATTTGCGGACACGGCCGCCAGCAATTCCCATGGCTTCCGCATATGCGATTCGCACAGCCTGCCAGATCCAGGTAGCTTTCCCGGGTCTCGCGCTCGCCTCCGAGCCTGCTGGGTCCTGAAGTGCCCTGTAACGTAAACAAGTAAAAGTACAGTGGTCAGTAGTAGAGCACTGCCAGCCTAGAGGCGAAGATCGGCACAGCTCTAGCGGCATCAAGTTATCCCAACTAATGCAGCAGGTACGGATACATGTCGCCTCACCCGCTGTCCTTTCTTAGCAGCATCCCATTCCAACCTTCTTCACTTCTCGCTCGGATTTGTTTCTGCCCTACATCCCCCCGGTTCTCTTGGCATCGCCTTCCCCGTCACATCTCCCCATCGCCCTCCTCGATCTCGCCGGCTTAGCTTAGCTTCGACCGATTTCCACACTTTCTGACTTCACTGCTTGCTTTACTCTCGAGGATGCGCTCAGCTTAAAACTCGACAACGGCATGTGCTTCTTGCAGCTTGACATATTTGACGTAGTACACCAACTCGAACCCTCAGATAATGGACTTGTCGCGACGAGATGAGTTGGAGAGCGCCCCAAGCGAACCCGTCTCGGCTGACGACGCCAGAGCAAATGACGATCAGACGCTCGCCTCAGCCAAGAGTGCAAGATCCGAGCATTTGTCAGGTTTCCAGTCACCTCCTCCAACTGACCTCGCTGACCGAGTGTTTCCAATCCGCTCGGTAGTTCGCGTGGACCCTTTTACCGACGACGACCTGTTCCCCCACCTGGCCGAGGCTGACAATCAAGGCCCTGGCATACCAGTGCACCTGCTCAGCTCTGCCAACCGGCCAGAATCTTGGAACGATGCTCGAAGGCCAGAGCTTGAGCCCATGTCACCAACATCTCCATCTTCATCAGATGACCGAGCTGCTCAAATCCGCAAAAAAAGGGCCATGAGTGGACCCTACAGCAGCCTCCAGGCGGATGCCGTCCGTCACAGCTCGTCGACGCCTTTAAACTTGGACCTAGCTATTTCAGATAAGGATGACGATGATGTCAAAAGCTCTGAAGACGGTGGTTCTTTAGTCCCGACCGAAGTACCTCTGAACCCCGATGATCAACCATCAGACGATTTCCAGCATGTTGTAACTCCTTTTACGCACGTCATAACTGACGACGGTCACGCCGTCATCACTGGGAGAGACAGCGTTTTGCAAAGATGTGAAGAAGAGCCCATTCATATCCCAGGTGCTATTCAGAGCTTCGGTGTCCTCTTAGCCATGTGCGAGGAGAGTGAAGGCCAGTTCCTTGTGCGATATGTCAGCGAGAACTCTCAGAATCTCCTCGGCCGCACGCCTCAGCAGCTATTTGAACTTGCGAGCTTCCTGGATATCTTAAGTGAAGAGCAACAAGACAACCTCCTGGATCATATCGACTTCATTCGAGACGAGGACGCTGACCCTGCTGCTAATGGACCAGAGGTCTTTAGCCTCTCGGTCCGAGGCCAAAGAGGAATAAGACCTACAAAGCTCTGGTGTGCAATGCACATAAACCCTGCCCACCCCGATTTGATCATCTGCGAATTTGAAAGGGACGATGATCAAGAATTTCCTCTCCGACCGCCGGAAGAAAAGACGACCCCTGTTACCCCTACGGATACCCTCAACGGCAACCCTACATCAGAGCAAATTGGAGAAAGTACAGAGATTCTAAGCAAGCCACTAAGGATTTTACGGAGCGCCAGGAAGAAGCGAGGCGACCAGGGCGCAATGCAGGTGTTTGATATCATGTCACAAGTTCAGGAGCAGCTTGCTTCAGCCCCTGATCTTGACATCTTCCTAAAGGTCCTCATTGGGATAGTCAAAGAGCTCACAGGATTCCACCGAGTCATGATATACCAATTTGACTCTTCTTGGAACGGAAAAGTTGTGGCCGAGTTGGTTGATGCTTCCAAGACTTCAGATTTATACAAAGGGTTACACTTCCCGGCATCTGATATCCCCGCACAGGCACGCGATCTATATAAGCTGAACAAGGTTCGGTTGCTCTACGACCGAGATTTGCAATCCGCTAGAATGGTTTGCCGGACGAAAGAAGATCTCGACGTACCTCTCGATATGAGTCATGCGTATCTGCGGGCCATGTCTCCTATTCATTTGAAATATTTAGCTAATATGGCAGTGCGATCATCCATGTCAATCTCCCTCAATGCTTTTAACGAACTTTGGGGGCTGATGGCATGCCATTCTTATGGTAATCACGGCATGCGTGTCTCATTCCCGATTCGGAAAATGTGTCGCTTGGTGGGAGATACGGCCTCGAGAAATATCGAAAGACTGTCATACGCATCGCGACTGCAGGCTCGCAAGCTGATCAACACCGCTCCAACCGACAAGAATCCGACTGGATATATCATTGCATCTTCTGATGATCTATTACGGTTATTTGACTCGGACTTTGGTCTGCTATCCATTCAAGGGGAGACCAAGATCCTAGGGGCTATTGAACAGAGCCAAGAAGCTCTGATCACGCTCGAATATCTTCGAATGCGCAAACTGACATCGATTGTTGCGTCTCAAGATATTACCGAGGACTTTCCGGATCTACAATACCCTTTGGGATTTCAGGTCATTGCGGGATTATTATATGTGCCCCTGAGTGTTGGGGGTCACGACTTCATTGTCTTTTTCCGCAAAGGACAGATTAAAGAAGTCCGATGGGCTGGAAATCCCTACGAAAAAAAGCTTCGAGAAGGCACCGCGGGCTATCTAGAGCCTCGAGCAAGTTTCAAAACGTGGAGTGAGATTGTTATTGGTAAATGTCGCGAATGGGCTGAAGAGCAAATTGAAACTGCGGCGGTTCTCTGTCTAGTCTACGGTATTATTTCCCACTTGTCAAGTTAAATATGAGAGCTATATACTGATTATTCCATGTATAGGCAAGTTTATCGAAGTCTGGAGAGAAAAAGAAGCCGCTCTACAAAACACTCGACTTACAAGACTTCTCCTGGCCAACTCGGCGCACGAAGTTCGCACACCACTCAATGCTATCATCAACTATCTTGAAATTGCTCTAGAGGGGTCACTCGATCAAGAGACTAGGGATAACCTCGCAAAGTCTCATTCGGCGTCAAAGTCGTTGATTTATGTTATCAACGACCTCTTAGACCTGACTAAGACCGAGGAAGGCCAGCATTTGACAGTCCAAGAAACTTTTGAGCTTTCTACTTGTATAGATGAGGCCACCGATCCTTTCCGCGCTGACGCAAAACGGAAAAATATCGAATACCAGATCACAAAGCATCCCGGGTTACCCAGGTTTGTTCGAGGTGATAACCGGCGTGTTCGCCAGGTCATCACAAATGTTACGGCAAATGCGATTGCTCATACAACTTCTGGCTATGTTAACGTGGATGTTCTCGTTTCCGAGGTCAGAGAGGATCGGTCAGTCGTGATACAAATTGTGATTGAAGATTCTGGCTGCGGCATGAATCCCCAACAAACAGAAGCCCTCTTCCGAGACCTTGAGCAAGTTAGTACAGAGGGATCGCCACTACAGGCGGCAAATGATGAAAAAAATAAAAAGATGAAGACGTTGGGACTTGGTCTAGCCGTCGTGGCTCGAGTCATCCGAAATGAAGGCGGTCAGCTAAGGCTTAGATCGAAAGAAGGGGAAGGCTCGCAATTCATTATTCAGTTACCCTTTCAACTCCCCGACGAATTACCAGATGCAGAGGGCGCTGGATCTACCCATAGCGCTATTTCCTATACCTATGAGCTTTCGTCAACCAAGTCGCTACCCCTGGCGCAAGAGAACGAGATTTTGCTGGTCGATCACAGTAAAACTTCAATGGCAGATACGATTTCCTTGGGACGACAGAGTCTTGATAGCCACCAAAGTGTTATGAGTCAAGATGGAAGCCAGAAAAGCGACGCGGACCGCTTAATCGACGCCATTAAAACTCCTCTTTCATTAGACAAAGCGGGAGACAAAGATGTCGAATATTTCTCTGCTAAAGCTCATACGTCAACCGCTTCGAACAGAATTAGCAACACGAGCTTCGGAAGCTTCACAAACTTCACTGCTCCTCTAAATGAACCTCCTACTCAAAAGATTTCTAACAATTACAATGATGAGGATCCTGGCGCTTCCAAGGTTCGTGACTCGAAAGTACCAGTTCGAGCAATCAAGGTACCGGACGAGTACATAGATATACCTTCTTCTTTCAAAGCCGAGAAGAAGGTGGCGGGAGATGGTTCCGAAGTTGATACCGATGCAACCGTAACGAAACGCCGGCCCAGTTTAGTAAGCAGTACAACGGCAGAGAGTAACGCCCTGCATGTGCTTGTTGCAGAAGATGATCCTATCAACATGAAAATCCTGAAGAAGAGATTGGAAAGAGCCGGTAACAGCATCCATCATTCAGTAAACGGACAGGACTGCGCAGAAACGTACAGTGACAACTCATCTGCGTTTGACGTTGTCCTGATGGATATGCAGGTAAGCCGCGATCGCTTTCCGGATACTTCATATGGCTTCTTCAAAAATGCTAATATTACTTTTCAGATGCCTATTGTGGACGGTCTTACTAGTACAAAGATGATTCGAGAATTGGAAACATCATCTGAGCACAAGGGCCTTTCGGCCTTGGCTTCGAAATGCGGCCATATTCCCATATTTGCCGTATCAGCCTCTCTAGTGGAAGAGTTGAAAAATACCTACGTCGAAGCAGGCTTTGATGGATGGATCTTGAAGCCGATTGATTTTAAGAGACTTTCGACGCTCCTAAAGGGCATTTATGATGCTGAAACGCGAGATTCATGCATCTACGTGCCTGGAGAGTGGGAAAAGGGTGGCTGGTTTACAGAGTCGACCAAGGAGGTCGTTGTAGGAACTAATTGAAAAAGTAATGATATTAACGAAAGCTTTCTCACTGTATAAGGATTATAGGGAAATGCAGGTATACGAAAATATGTGGGCGTTGGGGTGTTGGGATGAGAATTGTTTCCTTTTGATTGCTTTTTTTTTATGAATAGCTTTTACTTGGGCGATAGACGAGCCATTATAGATTCATTTTTTGGGAGATTACGGCAGGTCGGTCATACACTATAGCGGATTCGAAGGGGGAGGAACTGGAAATTATGTCATGGCATATGGTATTTGGCAGGTATATGAATTGCTACGGTGCTTTAGCTGAGCTAGAGCATAATAATCCATAATAAGAGGCATTATAAGAAGATGAGTTTATGAATATCGTCCTTTTTAAAGCAATTGAGACGCGAATTTTGCGATTCTGCTAGTTATTGCCTTGTGAAGATTTGGGCCATCCAGTGTATATGCTATTATTATTCAGTGAAAGGCTTTGATGGTATAGCTACCTAGCTTCTTGAACTGCAGCAGGATAAATCGAAAATCATATGTCCATGGGCCTGATAGTCGGGTATGAGAGACCGTACTTGAGCGGAGAATGGATATTAAAGGCTCTGTTGGCCATATTGATGATTGCGAATAAAAACGCAAATGGTATCTACTTAAGATACAATACTACTAACTAAAATCAGACCTTCTACCTATAGAACATTTTAGAATCATTAGAAGTTCCTCTTTTACCCAACACTTCCTGGAAAAAAAGAAAAACAGAAGAAGAGGGGGTCAGGAACCATGTACGTGTAAATTGCAAGCCATATAACCAATTCTCGTGCTTTCCCAAAGTAGTCAGCGTTCCCAAGACGAAATGAAGGTAAGAATAGGAGCTCATTCAGTATGAGATCCAGAAAAATAAAAATATGAATACAAAAATAGAAAAGATAAAGAAAAAAAAAAAAAAGAAAAGAAACATTGTACCCAAGATAAAACGCCTTATATCAAACAATAGCATCAACATCATTTCCTAAATTTCAAGATTCTCTGAAATAGACCCGGCTTAGTTTCGTGGTTCTCCTCCTGAATGTTGTGCTGGCCAACAATGCCCAAAAAGACCTGGTCAAGCGTCGTGGTGCTGACACTGTAGTGCTCAACGCCGAGACGAGCCTTGTTCTCTTCAAACAAGACTATGAGCCGTCCAATGGCGCCTTGGCTGATATCACTCCCAATGGGCGTCACATCATCGGCACTTGGACCTTCAGTCAGGGACAGAACCTCGCTCGAGAGGACCGAGAAGCGTAACTGTCCATGATACATTTTCGATTCAAGGTTGGCTGTGGGCAAAGCGTCGCGAATCCACGACGTGATGGCATTCATCTCCTCGTCTGTCGTTCTGGGCGCTGTGCTCGACACAAGGTGCACGTGCAAAGCATCGCCGAAGCGGTGTCGCAAGTCATCGGGTGTGCCGAGCGCGAGCATCCGTCTGGCTAGAATGCCAGCACGACCTGCCAAGGCATCGGCTTCTTCCATGCTGTGCGTTGTCAATAGGATGGATCGTCCGGGAACTGTTGCCTGGAGCGTCTTCCACATGACTCGCTTTGCGGCAGCATCTAGACCTGACGAGGGTTCATCAAGCAAGACAACCCCAGGATTGCCCATGAGGGCGATTCCCAGACTGAGTTTGCGCTTGTTACCGCCCGAGAGAGCTGCTGCCATGCGCGTTGAAAAGGAGCTGAGGCCCACGGCCTGTAAGACGGCAGTAACATTATGCTCAATGTCAGGGATACCTCGGACTTGAGCGTAAAACTCAAGATGTTCTCGAACTGTCATCTGATCCAGAGCGTCGATTTGAGGACAGACACCAAGATTTGCTCTCGCGCCTGCCAAATTCTTCGTCACAGATACACCTTCGATAAAAATGTCACCGCCATTCAGATTGGGCTTGAGATCGCCCCGGACCAGTGATATAGTAGTAGACTTTCCAGCTCCATTGGGGCCTAAAAGGGCAAAGACCTCGCCGCGCTTAACGCCAAAGCTAACGTTATCCACGGCAAGGTTCTTTCCAAATGACTTTGTTAAATGCAAAATCTTGAGGCCATCGTCGTCTGTGGAGTTTGTGATTCTGGCCACCTCATCGCCCACTTCCTCATCGGGCAAGGCGGAGTCTTCTGGGTGCTTATGGCGATTAAACAAGGCTCTTGCAGAAGACCCTACGTTTCCACCATCGAACCAAAGTAGAAGTCCAAATAAGACGAAAGATTGGATAATAAGATAGAGGATGGGGCCTCCGTATTGTTTAATGCCACCGGGATTTGCAGCAAGTTCGTTGCCATCGCAAGCAGTAGAGAAGAGGTTGGTTGCTAGGAATAGAGCTCTGGTCGCAGAGCCGATGGGCATGAAGGCCGAGATCACGTAATGACAGACCAAAAGAGTGCTGTCAATCTTGGAGACCTCAACATACGTGACGACACAGACGTAGGCGATTAAGTAGCCGAGGAAGAAGACCGCTTGTAAAGCAGCCGCCCAGGCGAATGTGGCAAGTTGAGATTTGGTGAAGAGAGAGACAAAGTAGGCCACCAAAATGGAAGCCAGGCCGTATAGGAAGAGGACCACAAAGATGTACTCGATGTGGAACCAAATGTTGGATAGCCCGGCCCATAGAGCGGTAACAACTGCTGCCCCAACAAGAGCCATGGAGAAATCAAATATCAGATAGGCCATCCATAACGGAAAAGGCCTGACGCCATTAGAATACTGCAGGCTGCGCACGAATTTCCTCCGTTCGTTGCTCGGGTACAGGGCGAAGAATGCGGGATAGCAAGAAAGTGCCAGGCCCATATAGATGACTAGATTTAAAGCCTTGCCAATTGTAGGATTGAAAGGGACATCAAAGGAGGACCATGATGTTGCAATCGTAGTGTTGGTCAGCAAGACGTCTAGGAACTGCTGCGCCGTGAGTGGGCTCGTGACGAACAGGTTGGCAACCCAAGCAATAGTAGGGTTTGTGGTACTATCACCGAGCCAAAGACCTGTTGTCACGTTTGCGTAATTATCTTTTACAAACTGATTGAACTCATCAAACGAGTCAACAAGGTGTAGGTTGCTAAGAGAAGCTGCGGCAATGCTGAAGATCGGACCAGGGCTGCCAGCAAAGACGGGTTGAAAGAGACCCGAAACTCGCGATAAGTCAAATTTGTCAGAAGGTCCAGCAAGGAAAACAAGGCTGTCATCAGCGCCGATTTGAGTGAAAGCATCTTCCGTATCCGAGGTCGAGGCCTGATCGCCGGGCTTGCAGCCTGTTGGTGCACTGTCTTTCACAAACAGAGATGTCAATCCCGCCGCGGCAATTGGAAGTAAGAATGCAATAGCATAGAGAACCCAGTTCCTCTTTAGAATTGTCCAGCGCTTCTTGAAAAGAATAAGAGCCTGTTCAAAATATCCTACTCGCCTGCCGTCGAGCAGCTTGAGACCAAGGCCCGGTTCTGTCGGGGGACTGCTGGTGCCTCGCGAAGAGCTGTTGTCGTCTTTGACTGGCATCTTTTCGACAATAGTCTCTCGGAAAACCTCTTCGTCCTTGATCTCCTCGGCAACCTGCAGAAACACATCTTCTATGGTTGGGCCAGAGAAGCGGAAGTCTGTGATGTTGGCCTTTTGAAGCGCCTTGATAACCTGGGCAGCAAGGCCGGACGTGGGGGCAACATATGTTATCAGATCAAAGGCGTCATTCTTCTTCACGCCATCAATGATGGGAGATTCCTTGATGCCTAGATTTTTGTGCACGTTGACCCTATAGCCACCTCCAAGCTTATCTTTCAACTCAACGGAAGAGCCTTCAGCCCGCAGTGTTCCCTTGGACAGAATGGCGATATGATCAGCAAGGAGGTCAGCCTCATCCAAGAAATGCGTCGTCAGAATCAAAGTCCTCTTTCCTCGCTCGGCTAAGAGAATGTCCCAAAGCTTCCGACGAGACAGCGGGTCAATACCGCTGCTCACTTCGTCCACACAGCAAACAGCACTTCCACCTGCCAACATCATTCCAAGCTGTAGTTTTCGTTTTTGGCCACCAGATAGGGTTTTAGCACGAGCCTTTCGTTTATGAGGGAGATCAATAGAATTAATCAACTCAGTAATTTGCTCCTTAGTCGCGGGCGCATTTGGTGACTTGAGTTTGTCAAATATGATGAGATGCTCTTCGACAGTAAGGTCGTCCCATAAGACGTTCTTCTGTGGCGCGATGCCCATACCACCCTGCCCATCAATTGTAATTAACCCGCTAGTTAGCTTATTCAGACCGGCAATGGCATCTAGAGTTGTACTTTTTCCACTTCCATTAGCACCCAAGAGAGCCACAATCTGGCCTTTCCTAACACTAAAGCTGAGCTTGTTGACCGCCACAACAGGCTCCTTTGGCTTGGAGCCCAATGCAAATAGGCGCGAGAAGATGCTAGGCTTGTAAATTTTGGTGAAGCCATCTAGCTGGATGGCATTATCGCCAAGACTGCCATCCCCAGCTCCCAAGATCTTGCGGCCCTCCGTTGAGGTGCCGTAAAATCGTGATTCAATGAGTGCGGCGAGAAGGGGGTATACAAAAATATGAACGATCAAGAAGATCCAAAGAGCAATACCTGGAAGATCCCAGGGGCTGCCCGGGGCTGTCTCAACAAGATTGGTGGCCCTGTCTTTCCTCTCAAAGCGAGACATGAGCGTGATAAAGTAGACATAGGCACACGGCGAGAAAAGCAGCGACAAAATCACTACAGGTCCCGTTGTCGGCTGTGTCAGAGACTGGGCCAAGATGCCAAGCAACAGAATGGCAAGAATAGCGGTAATACCGCTGAGCTGGGCCTTTTTGAAGAAGGACGCAAACAAAACAGACATGGAGGCAATGGCAAGACCAGCGGTGATGTGGAAGAGAAGGACAATCCCAAGACTGGTGTACGCAAATACACCGTACTTGACGATGATGGATCCTATAATCCACGCTGGGGCATATATAATGGAGAAGGAAAGATGGTGAGAAATGATACGAGCCGCCAGCGCCATCCACGGTTTGCGAACAGGCATCATCGCATCTACAAGCTGCGACATGCCAGTCTCACGCTCGGTAGCAATGTGGCCAGTCAAGTGGTATGAAATCCAAATCACAGAGGCAATGAAGGCAACTCCCATGAAGCTTGTAATGGCCTTGTGGAAGATTTCCCTGACTTTGACTTCTCTCTGTTCCTGGCTCATGCTGGTGTAGGGCATCTCCTGGGTCTTGGTGAGGGCCTGAGGCGCGCTGGTGTGGTTCATGCCGGCAATGATGCCGTCGATGGTACGCTGAATAGGCAACAGATAGACCTCTTCCGGATTATCGCTCCTGTCAACATTGATCTTGATGGGGCTGCTCGTCATCTCCGCATCCGTGCGAATGGTATAGTTCCATATGGCCCCCTTTCCCTCGTTTGGTGAGGACCGCATGACGACAGCCCCAAAGCAAGCCGTGACTCCCCGCAAGCTACTCCGACACTCGGTGAGCAGAGTATCCTCGCTGCTCGTCCGCACAACATTGACGTGAGGCCCCTGCGTCTCTATCTGCGTTTGGAGCGAATCCAGTACTTTCTCGATATTGCCCCCCGTGAATCCGTTGTCGATCAAAACGATCTTGTTTCGCCCGCTACTGAAAGCGTCGTCAAAGGCCTGCGAAAGCGACTTGATGGGATGCACCGAACCGAAGCCATAGAGCGCAGGCGGAACAAACAGGTTCTTGGCGAAGCTGAAGAAGGCGGCCAGGATGATGGGGACGAGGAAGGCCATAACAAAGACCTTAAGAGGATGGCGGAGTAGTATATGTCGAAAGTTCTTGGACATTAGAGTCCAGACTTGTTTGATGAAAGCCATGGTGGCGACAGGCGAGCTCGATGGCCGTGAGCTTTGGGGAGCGTAATTGGATATCCCCTGCGGTCCTTTTGCGCTTCAACATGAAGTCCAACTTCAAAAGAGAGAATTAGGCGCACACAATACGCTTATTAGTTACGCACCGCCGAATAGCGAAGATGCAGTATAAGAAAGAGAATGAGAGATTAAGGGTTAGAGGTTGCATACGTTGCCTCTTCGACCCGCGCGCAAAGGGCTAAGCTCGTACTGGCGCTTCAGATATATTCGCCATCAGATGGCGCGCTGCCTGACTGCTAGAAGAAGAGGCGAAGCGCCGAAAAGCCGTGGCGTAACAAGTCGGCGGCACTCAGGGCTATGCGAAGACGTCGAATGCGATGAATGGGTCGACGCCGTGTCTGACCGTTGACGATTTGGAAAACGACAGGCCCCATACGGAGTTGTTTTTAGCGAGACTCGGCATTGACCAGGGAGGCGGTTCCTGGCCTAGCTCTGCGGCAGCCTCTTCTTTCTCCTTTTCTCAGCCGGCGATGCTGGTGGCCTGAATTCGAATCCGAATTCGCTATATCTGATGGCAGCACATGCACCTAGAGAAAGAAGATGAAGAGAGCGAAATGCATCTGCAGCGCCACCCGGGCCATCGCGCCGTACCGAGTTCGCCTGGCCTGAACGCCTCGATCCAGGCAAGACGATCCAGAGCAGCTGTTGCGCCCTCGATGAAAGTCAATTGGCCTAGCGGAGGGATCACTCCACAATTTACGCGGAGGGTATACGCGGACGCTATAAAGACGCCCGCCTCGGGAATTCAGCCACGGGTGAGAAAGTATCCGAACAAGTTTCGGAGATTCGGTTGCTTTGCAGTTTGTTGCAGCAAGGCATTCTGCTGTATCGCTGTATAGCCAACCAATACATGCTAATAGATAAATACACTGAGTTAAAGCTACCTAGTCATCTAACAAGAGAAGTGAACAGCCCAAAGCTGAGCACAGCCAGAATACTACTTGGTAGCTCCACCCTATTCGGGCTTAAAAGCCGGAGCTCTTTGTTGCACCGATAAACCTACCAATTCATAAAGCCTCACAAAAGCCACGGATTACGCATTCAAAGTCCACAATCACTCGCCGCTCATATTGAGGTAAACAATTCATCATTCAAGAGATAAATAGATGAGGTTATCCGCGTATCTGCCAGTTGGATTCTTATCAAAGAGCTCAATCTTTCCCGTCAGCTCTTTAATTCCTATCCCGATTAACTAGTTTGCTGGCACCGAGCCTTGACCGGGATTCGGGAAGACGTCGATCCGACTTATATTGCAGCCTGCGCGTCCTGTTTTGCTCAGCCTCTTCTCTTTTTGCCCATGTCTATTACTGTATGAGGCGAATGGGTATTGTTGCTCGAAAGGGAGTAGTTTTTTCACACTGAGGTCGTGTACCTGTATGCCTTGCACAAACAGGGATTTATTGTGTACTCTGTAGACGATGGCAAAAACAAGAATACAAACAGTGAAACGGACAGACGGGCTTCACTAGGGGCTACTGAGCCCATTTAAGTTGCCTGTCCATGTTCGAGGCGGTTCCATAGATCTAGCTAAAATGGAAGGCTGAATTAGTCCTGAAAGCAACAAAATTAGAAACGTACGACGTACTTTAAATGTAGCCGAAAACGTAAAATCAAGCCGCATACAGACAAAAGGTCAGCATGTATTGATATATATAAGAGTCACATGGTCATGTCGTCCACTCATCATTCAACCATAAATCCACCGCCCCCTTCATCAGCATCATCGTCGCCAACCAAAAATCCACCTCCTCCTCCGTCATCCTCGTCGTCAACCACCATGTCAAACTCCTCAGTCTCATCACTTTCCGCACCCTTTGCCCATGCTTCAAATTCTGCGTCTTTATCCGCCTGCTGTCTCTCCTCCTCTCCCACCCCGCTCCATATCCTCTCCCGGATCCTCAAGCCCATCATAAACCGCCTCCAGAGCTTCAGCGCCGCGTATCGCCTCTTCTCATCTTCCACCTCTTGTTCTAGATCGAGCATGCCCTGGATGCCTGCCCGAACAGCCTCCTCAAACTCTTTTGCAATGACAACGCCGCTCAACACAGCCGTGCCCTGTCGCCCCTTGAATGAAAATCCCGTGAGTGCCGGTGCACAGTCAATCCCTAAAACATACGCCGCACGCCTAGCGTATTCGTCTGCGATGTGAACGCCGCCTTTGGGGACCATGCTGGGTACATATACTTCGATGTTTCCAAACTTGTTTTTCGGGACACGTCCATTCCGTACCGGGGCTGGCTCATATAGTTCTGTTTGGTCCATTGTATACACTGGAGTCCCCGCATCCCCATCTTCATCTTCTCTTTGATCGTGTTCGCCAAATCTAGACCTCTTGCTTGTCACTCGTTTGGGCAGCCACTTGGCCGGAATCTCCATTGGCTTTACCTCACGGCCGAGTCGGAACCACTTTTCGGCACTTCTTGCGACTCGTACATCCTTTCTCCGGAAGACCTTTTCCAGCGGAGCTCTGGCTCCGGCTGCGACCGTTCCAGACGGTACAGCTCCCGGAATGAGCACTTCATGTCGGCGAAGGTGGCGCTCTAAAGCATATACAGGATGATCCTTAAAGTCCTGCACGTTTCTAGGCATTGGCTCCCTCGCCTCGACTCCAGCTAGCTCGACGTCTTCGATCTGGTCTAGATCACTGGGAGTCTTGGGCCAATACATCTTCATAACTCTATTCCACCACCGTCTGCCATCGTCTAGCGCAGTTTCTATGCGCAATTTTCGAGTCTTTGCTGTATATGCCTTCGCATATCGTCGAGTGACATCCTTTGCAGTGCCATCTGCGTTGAACGCAATAACGTAGCTTAGAGAATTCTCTTTATCCGTAATGGGAGGCTCAAAGATCTTTGGCTTCCAAAAAGAATTCATCACAACCGGATCCGTGGGCTGCCATTTCTGGTGCCCAACGTCTAGTATTTCGACCCAGTATACTGGATAAGGTGACTCGCGAATTCGTTTAGGCGCTTCGAATGATTGGCGAGGCCGATAAGGGGCTGCTCTGGGCTCGAAGTTGTAATCTGATGCGTTTGGGTGCCCCAGTCTGCGCCTAGCAGTAGAGGGTCCAGCGGAAGAAGCGGCTGACGAGACAGCGTTTGCCATTTCTCGGTACTTTGCTACCTGCGATAGCATCTGTTCGGTTTTGTTGGGAGCCGCTTTCGGTTTGAGATTCCCTTTAGGTTTCGGCAGTGTAGGCCCTGTGGAGCCAAACGAAAGAGGTTGTAGCGAACATACAAGTCGTGCACGAACACCGATGCTTCTCAGTAGGGCGCAATACAACTGAGCTCCAACATCCCGCGAGCCTTGGAGTGTCTTGGCTGCTTCTCTAAAATCTGATTTATCCAGGCATGATTCCATATCACTGGGAGGTTCATACTGGAGACGATATCAGAAACGAGATTTTGGAGTCATCAGGAATAAAGATACGTACGCTGCTAAGATGGACCACCTCTTCCGCCCACAGTGACCTTCTCATGCCGCGCTCTGTAATCTCATATTGTGTCGTCCACATCTCAGAAACTAGCCTTAGTCCATTTTTAAGGCTCTCAGTCCTTCCAAATTGCGATAGATTCGTCCCCGGAGTCAGATACTGAATCATCTTGTCTGTTAGGTGGGACCGAAGTTGAGATTGAACCTGAGGATCATTGCACCAGTGATTCCGCCTCGCCACATGAGATAATAGACATATCAAATGAGCTTTGTGAATATCAAGCCGGCGCTCTCGTTCTTCTTTGGTGATGGGTTTTCGTCTATCCGCAGCTTGCTTCGACGTCATTGTAGCTTTTTGTGCCGATAGATTGAGCTCCAATTCCTTTGGTTCCTGCGGTTCAGAATCCCCGTCTGGTAGGGGCATCATCACGTCGACATCTTCAAACCGCAAATCTTCGTCTTCCTCGTATTCATCCTCATCCGATCCCAGCTCGACCGTTTGAATAGTGGGCTCGGGAATAGCAACATCTTCAAATTCCGCATCGTCGTCATCATCTTCACCCTCTTCATCGAGGCTCTTTCCTTGAGTAGTTTTTGACCTCGAAGCTGCAGTTATTGGCGCTGGAGTCGGTTCTGTTGGTCCTGCTGGCTTACTACTAGTATGCGACGGAGCACCTTCACGTCTTCTTTTCAGTGGCCTCTCTGATGAACTTGCAGCTGGCGCAGCGACTCCAGCTTCAGTCAGCATTTCTTGATATATATCCGGCTCATCTCCGCCAGCGGAATTCGCCTGTTGCCGGCCACCTCTTTGAGGGACGTTGCGTTTCCTTCTGACCATTCTCACATAACATGGTAGAAGTTGGCGTTAATCCAGGTTTACTTCACTGCGGGCGTAGACCCGCGATCTCAGTAACTGCGTCATGGAGGATCCACACAAGTGGCGGCGCGAAATCACGTGCTTTTAATGAACGATGACTAAGACTCTTCTGTGCTTTTGGCTTCATTGGAGATTTGTGAAGAGAAACAACACGGTAGCACTGTGTAGGTACATAGGTAGTGTGTAACATTGATCCCCATTTCACATCTTTGGAATACGGCTATTCACCTTCAAAATAACCTTTAGTTTGGCAGAGCTGACGAAGATGATGGCTAGCTTTCGCCTTTCTCTCCAAAAGAAAGCTACCGCCTTCAAAGTGGGAACAAGATGGCCCTAGTGATTACTCAGGAAGGTAATTTCATGTCATATTGCGCAAGACAAGAACAAAAAAATATACGGCAGCATGAAATCTACTAGGATATCTATCACTGATAGACTCGAATAAACATACTTCCTTGCTATCAATAAGTCCAGGATCCCACAGTGACTTCTTGGAAACTCCATAAGCACTCAATCAAAGTTAAGCACGCAACACAGGATAACACCATACAAGCAGAACAGAAGCAAAAAACCACCACGATATCAACGCCATTCAATACCAAATACGCGCTTCAAACTCATTCATTTTGTCAACCAGCCCAAATAATCGGCAACGATGAGGGTTACCATACTAGACGATGATTAGTTATTTGAACCTCAACTTGTATACGTTTCTTGCCAGAAAAGGGTGTCAAAACTTACGCATGAGGGGCAATGCGGACGTAGTACGTTCCAAATCCTCGGTAAAATCTCAAGACGCCCTCCTGTTTGGCTACCTTGGTGAAGCAGTCGGCCATGCCCTTGTACGGAAGCTTGCCATCGGGACCCTTTGACTGCTTCTGCAATCTCGTCTTGACAAAGTCGAATGGGAGACTGAAGAAACTGGCGAAAAAGCCCGCAATAGCACTGGCGCTAAGGGTTTGGGCTCGAGCGGACAGATCCGTGTTCTTCTTCATCTGGGCCTTGGCTTCGCTGAAGAAGGCGAGCTGGCCAAAGTTGAGAGCCATGGCACGAACCACAGTTGGTGCGGCGCCAGCCCAGAGAGCAGCGATACCTTCACCCTTGGCGATGGATCCCAGCGCATCTACAACTGACTTGTAGTTCTTGCGCTCTGCAATGGGTTTTAGGCCATCGCTTTGCATTCGAATAAGCGCCAGATCGGCCGGGTTACCAAACATGGCTGCCAAACCACCAGCTGCCAAACCAGCAGTTGCGCGATCTGCGAAGCCGACACTTCGATCCTGAGCCTTTGCCCGTTCTGCTAGCCTTTTCATGAAAGTGTCGAAGAAACCCAGTCGAGCGGTTGTGTATACAGCTTGTCGAAGAAGACCAGCTGATAGGCCAGTATACAGGTCGAGAGCCTTTCCACTGGAGATGATCTGTCGAGTGACAGATAACGCAGTTGGCTTTGGCCCTCCGGAAGTGCCCTCACCAGCAAGCTGGATGCGGACCTTTACCATGTCAACTGGCTGGATCACGGTAGTGGCTACCATTCCACTGATGCCTCCATTGATGAAGGGCAGAGCAGCTTTCATGTATGGAGTGTGGATAATGTCGGAGGCCTTGGCAGCCGTCTCACTTCTCTTAACGGAGTTCATGACGTCTGAGGTCCTCGACCGAATAGACTCTGCTGCTTGCCTGATGGAACTCATTGTGACGGTAGCGAAGAGCTAACTTATAGATATTATAGTTTTATATTTTATCTCAGGTAGTCCGGATCGGATCACGCCAACGGAGGACCCTGTCTGGGTTTAATGACTATAACATATTAGTCAAGTCCAAGAAGCATCGATATTGTGGCAAGACAAGCGACATTATGAGTGGTATAATAGGAGGCATGGGGTATAAACGGTGGAGTAGAGGCATTAGAGTCTGGATTCGGGAGACTATGGTCCCGCCATCGGTAACTTCTTCTCCCTAAGCTCAACGGCAGGCCGACAGGAGCCGGGATGATACCCGAGCCTGAGGAGCATTGGGGGGCTTCCGATCGGGAAGTCTAGGAGTGGGTTCCAAGTGGCTCCGCTAGCCGTCGCAGATTGGCGGGCGGACAACTGCTTGAACAAGAGGAGAGGAGGCCGGAAACGAAAGCGCACTCACCAAATGACTTTGCGTTCGAGTGCCCTTTTGATACTGGATTCTGTTGAATCCAATGCGCCTCTATTTGAGTCGTGCACACGAGGGCCGCCACCGGTGGGGGGAATGGGCGGTTAATGAAAGCCGGGGATAATGGCGATGGCGATGGCGATGGCGATGACGCTGGGGGTGGGGCGCACAGCTTGAGTAAGGCTGATGCTATCCGATTTCCCCAATGTTGAGAAGAGGTGATATTTGCTGGTTCAGCAATTCAACGGTGTCTTGAGCCCGGACTTGGAATGCGCCGGGGCAAATGGTTGAGTGATTGCGGAGCACAGATCAGGTGTGAGACGTGATGGGATTCAGATACACCACAGGATGAGACCCGCGTATACAGCACTGTCTGCGCAAAGAGATTGAGGCGACGAAGGAGATGGGAGACGAAACTGTCACGAAGGTTGCTGGGAAAGGTTCAAGAGGAAAAAGGAGCAGAACAACTGGCCGGTCGAGCATTTAATATTTAGGGCAAGTCGTGGCTGATCATAAGCATGGCAGTCGCTTCTCGTCCACTGGCGACCCTCCATCATGTGGCGAGGAGACGCTCACCGTGCGGAGAGGCAACCGCGTTGGAGAGGAACAATAGCCTCTAGGCTCTCGGTATCCCGGATGTTCAATTGCGGGGGAAGCATATGATGCATCCCCAACTGGCTACGGGGGAGCGGCCACCAACGTGTAGAGCGTGCCAACCATGCTAGTCATTGCCTGTGCCTTGCGTGGCGCTGCGCCGGCATAATGATGCCAGCTGCTGGGACTGAGCGCGACAGCTCATGCCTCAGCACGATTGGCCGTTGTGATGGAGCGATGATGAAGCAGCCGGCCGCGGTGGCAGTTGAAAGCACATGGTGATGCGAATCTGATACTTGCGGCACGCAGCTTGGTACATGAGCTGCAAAACCGGTTTGGGCGCCGTCAAAGGGTCCAGCGAGCTCCTGCCTGGAACGCTTCCTTGCAGCCGGCTTTTTCCAAGTGCTACTGTAGGTATGTGATATTACGAAAGAGCTTGCAGATAGACGTATGCGTTAGTAGGCCTACCTATTCAGCTTGGCTGCAGCCCTTGCTCTTACACGCTCGTTCCTGTGCTGTCGATAGCATCAAACACACAGGGACGGATGCCAAATCAAACACCGATTAATCTCTGAGAGCAACGACGCCTGTAAATCATCGCTAGCGCTCAACACACGAGAATCTTCAATGCCAGCAGCTCTCATGGCGTTCGACTAACAGCTGCTTAACTCAAAGTACAGGCTCTACTGCACGCGTGCCATCACACCAAGAATGCGGGGTTGCGCCAAGGTCCTGCTTTCAGGCATCATGGCTTGAGTCCAGGAGTCCATCCAGCCGACTGCGACGTCACTCGATTTGCAGCCACGCAGCAGGCTCCGGAGCTTTTTCGTATTAGCCTGCGCGTCCTCTCATTGGGCGACTGGAGAGTGTTTGCTTTGCCATGATCCAGCGGAAAGACGGACGACGGTTTTCACGTGCTTGCTTCTGCTGGCATCAACCAAATCAACCAAGCTGTCTTACCAAGTCTTACACATGCTTCCTCAATGACGTCTCCGTGGGCTTCTGCTATCTCTCTGTCCCTATCCGACTGCCGGGTGGGCCAGATTCGTGAAACCCACCCGCGTTATGGAGCAAATCCCCAGCAAGGACGCGCTGGCCCGAGCTCCTTGCATCGACTCGACGGCTGCTGTGGAGTCTTTGGATCGAATCCTAGCTGGCTGAATGGCGGGCGTTAGAGGAACCAAGAGTCATGGCTAGAGCAGATTTGCCATACTGTTTGGTGACGGTGAGATGCAGTCAATTCACTGCAGCGTGCGCAAGTGATGCATTTTTGATATACTTCTATCATCAACTTGTGTTTGACGTAAGATAGTGTTGCATTTCTTATTCTTTGTCTCACCATTTACCAGCTTATCTGCCTCAACTAACAAACAACAAAATAAGAAGCCATGTTATCGCCATTCTAGTATAGCGCCATCTGCTAAGAAAAGGCCCCTTCTCCTTTTGCATGTATGTACTTCGTATCTGCGGGGATCTCAGAGTCAGTCGGTTCCTTTTTCCCGCGAACCACCAACACCCAATACCTCGGAGAAACGCTGCCTCTTCCCGATGAGATTAATCTATTCTTACACATGTTTACACATGCACTTCCATTCCGACCAAAAGATTCCTTGTCCGTTTCAGCTCGTCACATTGATGCCAGCTCAGATCTGCGCTTAAGCCTTTTGGCGATAACAATAGCCGTTGTACGGGCGCTTCAACCGACAATTCCCGAAATCTGCTATCCGAGCTTATTACCGTGTCTTAGATAGCTCACTTCCTAGCCAAGATGCTAAGAATATTCGACATCCAGATTCAAGCCATTGTGTCCGCGTTCGGAAAAGGCGCATTTCATTTCCACTTGTCTCTCTAATTGCTGGCCGCTGATAGGCTCTCCAATCTCGCTACTTGTGTTTTTAACGTTGCGTATTCAAGCTAACAATCGCGGGATTGAGCCTCCGGTGCGGTCTCGATTCGATCAGCGGACGCTTCAAATCGTATATCGGACACCGAGTCCTGAATCTCGGTTTCCGCACCGGCAGTGATTATGACTTATACACTTTGCTTCCAGCCCCTTTATCTGTGTCCAACTAGATTCTGGCTTTATGAAGATTCCATTGGCCAAGTCTTGCTGGTGATGGACCGCTGGTTTCCGTATCATGTTCACAGACAAACCATACCAGGGGACTTTTGTGAAGTGTTGGCGTTTTTTATTCTATACAAAAGGCATATATGCTCTATACGAACCTAGTATAATGAGGGAAACCTCAAAAGTCGCCCTCCGTCAATAACAATGACAAGTCCGTTGCAGTAAGCCCCCGACTTTGAAATCAGATACAAAATAGTGCCAGCCATGTCCTGGTCGTTACCCATTCTCTGCAAGGGTATGAATTGCGCAGGCACTTTGCCTGGGGTATCCGAATGTTGGTTGAAGCGGTTAACGATGGGTGCGGCCATTTCACTCGGAAACACTAAGCGGCAAGCGTCAGTCAGTATCCGAGGTTATCATGGCATCTCTACTCCGATGGCGGAAATTGATATCACTTACATCCCGGGGCAATGCAGTTCGCCCTGGATAATAAATGACTCGTTAGCTATGTGGAATCGCTTGGAAAAGCCCATGTAGACGACAACGTCACTTACCTGATATTCCATCGTGGCAGTGCTGTTGAGAGATGCTTGGCTATGTGCGTTGCGGCCGCTTTTGACTGGCCATAAGCCCAGCCTCCCGGCGCGGCCTTGTTGAAGCTGGCAATGGAGCTGGTGACGATGATCTGGGAGCTTTGCTCCAAGTTGCCCTTTTTGTTACCCGCATCGAGAAGCTTCACAAAGGCAATAGCGGTATACCAGACGGCGCTTGTGTTGACCGCAAACGTATTCGTGTAGTCTTCAAAGCTAATGTCCCAGTTCGAGTCTGCCCATTCTTCAATCGACGTGTCGTCCTGGATCTGGATAGACTGAGGCCCGCCAATGCCTGAATTGCAGACCAAGACATTCAGATAGCCGGTTTCTTGCTTGATGAAGTCGACAGCTTGCTGTAGACTTTCCTTGGACGTCACATCACATTTAACAGGCACGACATTTGGGCCTATAGAAGCTGCAGCGGCTTCGAGGACCTCCAGGCGACGTCCACCGATATAGACCTTGGCGGCACCGTTTCTTGCCAGTGCTCGGGTCATCATCAGACCGATACCTGAGTGAAAGCGAAGAGTTATGCCATGTCTCTCAAAAGAATCTGCCGGATTGAATCAAACAGAGACCATTCATCAGTTTGGCTACTTACCAGTTCCACCACCTGTAATAAAGGCCACAAGGCCATCGACATTGAACAGGTTGTTGACCACAACGGCCTCATCAATATTTTGGGTCGCCATAGCGTTGGAGATAGACTGGAGATGAAGCCGGTTCCTCAGCTGTAAAGCCTTTTTAATATCCAGCTACCTCAGTGAGATGTCTTGTTCTTTATCTTATTCGACCCCTCACTCAGAAGCCTACTTTGGTCTTACTTTCCCCACCATTCTCAAAGTCCAACAACCATCTCCGGTCTGTTTATCGTTAAATATCTATACACTGTACCAAAGTGGAAGAGCAATACTGCATCACCACCAAATCGCCGAAGTGGCACAGTGCTAATCCCGAACGCGCACCACGCTAGCAGCATCGGACAGGGGTCCTTGGATTTTTTTCGACAATTGCGATCAAGATCTCTTATCTTAGCTTCAAGCTGTTTGCCCAAAGAAAAAAAAAATTGTTGTCAACATGCCCAAACGAAAGCGCTCCGTCGCAGACACCGTACAGAATAAATTAGAAAAATATCGAATTGATATATTCCGAGCGCTCAGCTCTGCCAAGGTTTTTGAGCGGAAGCGCTTTAGCACTAAGTTGCGCGAGCCTGGAATCACAGTCGCGAAGAAGACCAGGTTAGAGCGCGAGTATGGAGTTTTAAAAGTATGTTTTTCCTGCCAAATCAATGCTCTTTCAGAAGCAAAAAAGGAACTGCTTTAGCTAACAGCGAGGGATAAAGTCGCTCGATCTGCGGCAAACTGCCCGACATCACCTGCACTCGAATCTTCTCCGAATCAAGGCCGTAGAAACGTCAGAGGACATCCCAGAGGAGCTCCGCGCTGAAGTTCCGCGACCAACCCTCTCTCCGGAAGAGATTGCTTTGCAGAACAATGTTATAAGCATTCTTTGCAGCGCAAGCTCAACCAGACATGCGCTCGATCGTGCGATTACAGACATCTGCGAAACGCTGGGCGTGCCTGTTCCAACCAAGTCGAAACGAGTGAGGAACAAAAGAAAAGACACAGAAGAGCAACCCGCAGACAGGGAAGATGGGGAGAGTGGCGAGGAGGATGTGAAACCATCGGCCGATTCTAAGAAGAAGAAAGAGAAGAAGCAGGAGACTGCGGAAGAAGAGTCTGATAGCGAATCTGAGTTCGAGGGCTTTGGCTCCGATGCAGACGAACCTAGGCCGACAATTGAAGTATTGCAAGGCTCTGATCAGGAAACAGCAGTGACAAAGTATGATGATCTGCTGGGGGGCTCTTCTGACGAAAGCGAGGACGAATTCGACGAGGAGTTTTTGGCAAAATACCGAGGGACGGAACAGGTCAATCTAGACGATATATCAGTATCCGGCTCAGGGTCCGAAGCCGAAGATGAAGACGAGGAAGATTTAGATTCCATAAGCGGCTCACGATCGCCCTCGCCGTTACCAACGAGGAAGCCAAAGAAGTCGGCAGACAACGACGATGAGCCAAACCCCGAGGCCACGAAAAGCAAAAAGGAGAAGAAGGAAGAGGACAAGAAGAAGCGGGCAGCCAAAGCGGCACTGAAAACAGCTCGACCAGGAGACTCGACTTTCCTTCCCACACTCATGGGTGGTTACATCTCTGGATCTGAATCCGCATCCGACATCGACGCCCCACCCAAGAAACGTCGTGGACAGCGCGCACGCCAAGCCATCTGGGAGAAGAAATACGGAGCAAACGCGAAACATCTGCAAAAGGAAGCCGCAAATGGTGGCAGAGATGCTGGCTGGGACATGAAGCGCGGTGCCGTAGGACCAGATGACCAGGGTCGAAAGCCGTGGAAGAAGGGTGGTCGCGCTCCTGCAGGAGCTGGTGGTCGAGGAGGCTATTCACAAGGCCGAGAGAGAGGAGCAAATGCTTATCAGGAAAGCAGACCAGCTCCTCCGCCCAAGCCGGTTAAGAAGGATAATGAGGGGCCGTTACATCCCAGTTGGGAGGCCCGAAAGAAGGCAAAGGAGCAGCAGAAGGGAGCTACCTTTGCTGGTTCGAAGATTGTTTTTGATTAGCGAAGTTATGATGCTGGGATATGCATGCCTATTGCATCTGAGGGCATATATCGAAGCCATGAGGTGGGGGTGGATATACATAAATAGCTCGCGATTGAAGATTTTGCGAAGATAATACAAACTGCCTTATGGCACAAAGCTTTTGCCAACCCCAAATGCCATCGAAGTTGATAACTGTTTCGATACACTATCAACCTATGGAGATTTCAATCTGCTCTTCTAAACCACTTTTGAACTTGGTATCGAATGATCCACCACTCAGACGGCTTTCGTTGCTCGTTATTGGGAGGGAACTCTTCAAATCGCTCTCGGAGAGACTGCCAATATGAATCATGTTCTTCGCTCATGCTTTCCAATAATCGCGATCGATAGCCGGTATAAGATTTCCCTAGAATATCCACAATACTCTCCAGATTGAACACCACTATATAAGTCGCGCATCCTACAAGAATGGTAGTGATGATGAAGGGGGTTCTTGTATCATTATTCGATATATCGGGCACGGCCCAAAGAGCCTGTTGATCAGATTAGCTAGCAGTTCATGTTTATTAGATATCAGCACGTATTCGTTTCAAATACTCACTGCACAAAACGCCAATGGTAGGTAAACAATGCTCACATAAGTGAGGAGCTTCACGTTTTGGCCCAGTCTAGTGGATGATCTGCTCTCGATGAGCGCACTGGCATTGAAAAGCTGTGAGATGTATGTAAGCCCATCTCTATAACATGGCCAGGCCGGCTGGGCAAAGCTTACACCATCGCGTAGCGTCTGTACAGTCGCTAATTTTGCTCGAAACTGGGATTGTAGATCTTCTAAACCCTGTCGGACTTCTTCACCCCGCGTATAAATATTATGAAGTTCATTCAATTCGTCGGATAATCCTAGATCTTCTGTTGATTTGAGAATATCTCCTAGTCTTTCGAGTCTAGGATCAATTCGCGCTTGCCGAAAAAGCTTCCACTGTTTAATATTATCTTCGATGCTTATCTCGAATTCGTTGAGGCAACCGATTATCCAGAAATACAGCCTTGACCGACTGAAAGTCTCATCGTCGAAGAGTAGCATTGTATAAGACCTCGGATCCATGAAATCTTCGACTAACAAGCTTCCGATGTATTCAATGAGATCCCTCCATCGATTTTCCACTTTACTAAGTGCGTTAACGATAATAATCGTTTGAGCGATTAATAAGCTTTCCTCGCTTAGAACTCGTTTCCATTCTATATCCAAGTCGTTCTGGGCTGGTTGTTTGAAAAAGTTGGAAGAGCTCAAAATTAGCACTGTCCAATCGTAATCGCCAGTAGGTTGAAAATAAGATGGCTGTTTGGGTATTATCTATCTGGTTAGTATTATTAAATCTCCTCGTCTAGGGGTGAGAACCTACTGTGAATGAGCTTTCTCGAAATACTGGTCCATTGTTCTTTCCAGTAGTGTTACTGCTATTTTTATCGGGTTTCCCGTACAGATAGCCGATTTTCAGCTTTTTCTGACGGATCACTTCAATTAGGCCACTGGGACTATCTCGTGGTAGCATTTCATAGAAAGTTATGTGAAACGCATTGTCAAAATTTAAATATGGGTTCGTTGCCTCGTTACCGGGTCTTCGCTGGCATAATATGTGAAGATTAACTGCTCTGCTTATCGGATCATCTTTGCTGTTCATAACAAGGAAAGGAAGAGCTATGTAGTCTGGCCTTGCTGGTGGAACAAGAGGCAATCCTTGACAGACTCTGCTTAAATTAGCATATAATAAGTCCACCTTGAAGGAATATCAATAAACAAACATGATCCTTCTCATTGGAGCCATGTCATGACGCGTCGGTAGGGGACGCCGTGAACGCCGTGAACGACGTGCTCGACGTCGGTTGAGAAACTCCCGAACTTTCTGCTGTTGAGAAAGAATGGTATGATACCCAAGTCTAGTCAAGAAGCAAATTCGAGATTACAATCGCACTCGTATACAAGCGAAAGGAACAAACGCACCGTTCTTCTTTCTTTCGATTGCCCAAGAGACCGTCTGCATGGGAAACGCCGTATGGGCTATCGTGTCCTATGTTATACATAAAGTAGCGTTCTAAACACCCCTCTTGTAATTGAACTTGGGGAATTTCATCCCAGATGATGAAATGGCCGAAGGTTTGGATAGTGCCCCAAAATGATTTGAGAGTTTCGATACTCAATTGATCTTCTTTGGAGGAGAAGCGATTTTGGTATTCTCTGCCCCGGAAGCCAGCTCCATGCTGTTCCCAAGGAAAGTCGAAATTTAGCTCAAGCCTCCCGTCCTGGGGAATAATTCGGGCAAAATTTGATCTAGCAAAGGCGCCAGGTAGTGCAATCAAGGACTCGTAAGGAGAAGCATTCATCCTCCCGGCTGTCCAAGCTTTAGAAGGGAAAATAAGGGCATCGATAGCGGCATATTTCTTAGGTCTTTCTGTCTTTTTCTTTTCCTCTTTCTTTTCACCCTGTAACTGCAGTTAGTCGTTTACTCTTGTCCAGTCTAGCTCTAGCTAGAACTCTTGCCTCCAAATCTGGCTGCGCCTATAAGAAAGTTAGTCATCGACTTACTACAAACATCGAGATGCTAGTACTGACTTCCTATATTGTATTTATAACCAAATGAATCAGTTGTAAGCCATTTATTTATTATTTCATCCAGCTTTAGTTCAACATACCGTTTCAGACGAAGATGCCATTTCAAAATGATAGTATTTTGGCTGTTCAATGAAATTAGTAACCAGGATCAAATCATGGAAGAAAAAAATTCAAGTTGCTTGCCCAATCTTTTCAGCCCAACCATTTATAAAGCATAAGTACTACCTGTAGGTAAAGATCATTGGGTGCATGCATTCCTCCGGATTAAGCGAAAATCCGATGGACCAAAGGGCTCATATAGCCTGCAGTAGAGTGCATAAAAGGAATCAAGAGTGCAGGGTCAACAAAGCGATCTTTTATAAGCATCTGACTATCAGATAGCATCAATGAGGCTTTGGTCTCCATTTGCCAAGCCGCAAGTGAGGGGGGCATATTCTAGTTTCCTGATTACTGAGCACAAGATTGAAATGCATCAATTACCCCATGATGCAGGGAAGCTTGGCTAGGCAGCAAGGCGGAGCTGACAAGGCATATCCACTACTATAACGAATAAATGAGACAGGGCTGACAATCGTTTGATTTTAACAAGTACTCTCATTAACCAGATACATGATACCCAAATACCATGGCAGGCATCTTTACTTTTGTCGGGAGTGGTCAGCATGAATATTTTGCAAAAACAATCGAAAAATCATCTCATGAACGGATAACACCCAGAGATACGTTCCATTATGACTTCTCAGATGTCCCAGAATCTGTTCTGAGCGGTTCTCAGACATTATGCCAGCACTGCAGCGTCTTGCAACTGGAAAATGTACGCCTTAAACATACTGCTACCTCTTATCCTAAGAAATCTGTAGAGTTGAAAGCAGATGTCCCCGGTTTCGAAGAGGATCTAGAATACCATCGCAAGGACACTATTCCATTACTTCCAACGTTGGCCGAATCTGCAAACGCTGGGTGCGGTTTTTGCTGCCTTCTTCGGAATGCCATGATCCAGCATTTCCAGCGGTATCGATTGGGACGCCTTCCCGATGATACGATCGAGCTGGTGCGGATCCGCCATTTTTGGAACTCTGGCTTGGCGGCGTTTACTGTGTACAGTGCTGCGTTTGCTAGACCTGGGCACAGATATGACTATCTTACCTTTCGCGTCAGTGCAAACTTGAATGGTATGACATACGTTGGCTCTCTCTCTGTCAAGACAATCTTCTAATGTGGCTGGGTTTGCAGATCAAGGCGCTTCAGCACTTGACATCTACACAAAGCGTATTCCGGATAGTGTCATGTCACCAGCCGGCATATTCACACTAAAGAAATGGGTATTAGGCGGCAAAGAGGAAAAAGCTGCTCTCAAAGCATCGTTTCGGCCTACAAGACTCCTTCATGTCGAGAGCAGAAGAGAGTCGGGCCTGATTCGCCTTGTAGAAACCCACGGATATCCCAGTATTGATGAAGCACCTCAGCCATATTTGGCTCTGAGCTACTGCTGGGGAAAGAAGGGTCCTTCGCTGAGAACTACGAGAAGCAACTATTCTCATTTGCAAAAATCAATCTCTTACAGCGCCATGCCCAAGGCCTATCAAGATACCGTGCGTGTTGCACGAGCGCTGGGCGTAAAGTACATCTGGATCGATGCTCTGTGCATCATCCAAGACGACATGGAAGACTGGGAGAAGGAGTCCCGAATGATGGCAGAGATCTTTCAACATTCCTTGGCCACGCTTATACTCCTCCGCACAGCATCCTGCAACGAAGGCTTCCTGGAGCGGAACCCAAGTATCAAGATCAATTACCAAAATCGTCAGTGGGGTGTTCGCGGCTCGTTTTTTCTTCGCCACATGCCCTTCTCCTATTTGGACGCAGAGTCTGCCATACGTGATTCGCCCAGCTTCTCAAATCGACCAGTTTCGTTGGAACTCCGGCACTCGCCCTGGCAGACTCGGGGCTGGACGTTTCAAGAAGACATGTTTTCCATGAGAAAGTTATATTTTGGACAGCTTATGATGTATTGGGATTCTCTCAAGCCCGTAGACATTATGAGAACAGAAGACACAATCATTGACGACAAATTAAATCGCCTTGGTAAGAGCGGCGAAATTTCAATTATTCATTCGTCCGAACCATGGAGAGGCAACTATGATTACGATGGGTGGTATTATCCAATGCTCAGTTACTGCCAAAAGAATCTCACATACGAGACCGACAGGCTATCTGCGGTGTCTTCATATGCGAAGCTTGTCGGCAGCAAGAGCGGAGATACATATGTCGCAGGTCTGTGGAAGAGGGATTTTCATCGTGGCTTGCTCTGGAAAATAAGCAAAAGTCAGCGCAGAACTTTCCGGACGTTGATAGGGCAATTGTCCAAGCCTTCTGAATACATTGCGCCATCTTGGTCATGGGCAAGCCATAACAGCATCTTACACTTTGACCTTTCAGACGGCATCATGCAGCCCGAGTGCAAAGTCCTCGAAGCAAAGACAGAAAACCATGGCGATGTATATGGCCGCGTACGAGGCGGACACATGCTGATCCGCGGGAAAACATGCGGCATTCCTGGTGGAAGACTCCAAATGCTGCCTCTCAAGTCCCCTTACCTCAATATTCAGTGTGAGTGGCTGGCTATCGAGGACGACCAGTATGTCGCTCAATGTGCTCTCGACTGGAGAGTGACAAATGAAGACGGTAAGCAGCTCTCGGAAGCAAGCGGGGATTCTGTCCATAAGATGGTGATGCTCCTCATCTCCAGCAGCTATACAAAGAATGCAAGTGCTTTCTCTAGGAGGCCTCAGGAGTGGGAAATAAATAATGAGGATCCTCCACTTGAAGTCATGCATGGCCTTTTACTCTATCCAACCGGAAAGGCAGACGATGAATACTGGCGGGTTGGGTTGTTCCATTCTTTGGCTGATGAGAAGGGAGGGAGGAAGTACTTTGATACGTTTGAAGAGCGCGAGTTTCGGATCATTTAGCTAAGAGAGAACTATCAAGAAATTCAGGGATTATTTAACATGTTTTATCTATCATGAATCTATACAAGACACGCTCTTGCTACTGCACTGCTTGTTTAGCCGCATCACAGCCCACGCCCTGCATCAAATTAGCAGAACATGCATGCACGAGCCGCCTTGCTCTTATTTCAGCTGCATCAAAGCCTGCTTGTTCAAAGCGCCACGGGTCCAATCTAGCTGTGTTCCACAACGTGCATATTTAATCCAGTTCATGTGTCGGAGCAAGGATGTTCGCTGCAGGCCCAGTCCAACGCTTGTCTCGGCTAGCAGAAATTAAACCAACAACACCATGAAGAATCCTTCCTTTTTTGACATGAAACAAATTTACAATTTCGCTCAAAACTTCATCATCAGTACGCATGCCGGCTCTACTGATGTATGGTTCTGATTATATCACGCATCACGGTGAAGTCATGCATGACTCTGGAGAATCATTGCCGCTAATGCATGCAGCAACGTTATGACACCAACGTTATGACACCAACGATGGCGGCATCTCAGCCAGTCGCTCAACTCTGTTTGCGGCGTCTTGTTTCATGATAAATGCTCTCCAATAGATTAATGGCGGAAATGTCACTGGCAGCTTCCTGCAACGATCAACGGGCAGCTGCGCTTCAAGCTGCCGTCCAAGACACCTTCTGCAAGACAATCTTGGCTTCATCGCTACTAGCGCTCTGCAGTCAAACGTCGCGATCGCCTCAGTCACTGGCCACCAGGACTTGGTCTTGGGTTCGCGCAAGGCATCTGATACAATTATTCTCATTCTTAGCTATTCTTTTTCCCTTCCATCATCTGTAAATGCATGATTCACCCCTCCCTCCTAGAATCGAGGCTAGCCAGTAGCTATCGTCGCATCCTTGGAAAAAACCGCCATATTCCAGAGCCTCAGCAGCCTTGAACAGGCACGCAATTCATGTAACCATCAGCCCCAGCCTCCAACACCCCACTGCGCTTATTTCTCCCGCTGGGTCAATTACGAGCATCGACACCCACCCAACGGCGCAACGACGTCGTTGCTCTAGCTGCAATCGCCCAGCAAAGATGGCGTCCGCGATGGAAGACGTCATGCGCCAATCACCTGCCGATCTGATCGAGACAGAGCGTCACGAGCTGGGATCCTCGCCAATCGCAGTCCATCTCGACTACCCCGGCTTTGCAGCGGCTCACGATCGCAATTAGGGCACATGCGACGGCGAGTCTGCGCCTGGGCCGAGCCGCCAGGATATAACGCCGCTGCAAGGCCAATGCTGTGTAGCCAGGCCTGCAACCAGTGATGCGGGAGCCATGTCGGTCGCCTCCACCATGCCGTTGCACCAGGACGCCGGCGAGGTGGAAGCGGGGATCTCTACGCCCGCGGAAGAGTATAATTCGCATCTGGATCGTTTCTCTGGACTTGGGAGCTACTTTGATCTCGCCCGGGACCCTGCATCAAGTAACAAGCCATCTGCTGGAAAGCAAAAGATGGCCTTTGAAGAGACGGTTCGCTCTATATCTTCTCACCTGCCGTCCAACATGTCCCGGCGCAGGGCGAGAAGCCAAATTGCTTCTCCTATTGTCGATTTCGATGTTGCTACTGCAGAGAAGCCGTACAGAAAGCGTCAGAGCAGTCAACCAGTACGGAGTCCCAAGTGCTACTACATCATCAATCCTAGAGTCCCTGGCTTGGCTTGGTACTTGACCAAGGGAAAGGGCGATTCGAATTCATCAGAATATGAAGTTGAAAAAGTACCAGCTCACCTGGTTCACATCAGGAAGAATCAAGTCGGGTATCTTGTTGAAACAGCTAATGGAGACGACGTGACCGTCGACGCTGGACGTCGACCGGTATCTTGGACCCCAAGATACCAAAATGGCTGGTCTACTGCAGCAGAGCCTATCCAAGAAAAAGCGACCAGCGACTCAAACACAAAATCCAATAAGAGAGTTAATCGATTTGACAGAGACGACGCTGAAGAAGAACCACCCAGTGACGAGTCAAGCGTCGTTGTGAACCGTCGCGATATTCCACTCATAACCAAGAGCATTATACGCCACTTACACGCGGTCCGGCCACAAGAACGCTTTTATACTACAAGCAACAGTGAAGAAGAGGACGAGGCTTCATCCTCTCAACAACGAGATCTCGAGAGCATCGTCGAGGCTGCCCTTTTTGAATATATGAGACCAGCGCAACACAATGATAAAACTAGGAAGCACGATGATGAAAATACCTCCGAGAACAAAATGCCTGTCCAAATCAAGCTAGAAAGCGAAGCTCAACGTATAAATCCTCGACCATCTATAGCTGCAGATCCGACCATTACCCTGAGCGTACCTGAGACATCATTCACAATCCCGGATGCTGATCGCAAACATAATGTACTCAGAAAAGACTCGAAGCAAGGAGCATCGACGACAACGGCATTACTTTCACCACAAAGAAGTACTGCCATCACCTGGACAAAGGATAGCGAGCATTTAGAGGAACCGACCAAGCCTCCTACAACAGATAATCCTTCAGATGAGAATTCTGGGAATACTGCTGACGCACCTCGTGCCTCATCCTGTCCTAGCCCCATTCAACACCAGGACTCAGATGTCTCGCAAACCTCTGTTGGAGCCTCCAGCATCGCATCGTCCATGACCTCGTTTCCGAAACTACTCTCACGCCATTGCACTCGGGAATGGATCAAGCCCCTTGCTAGTTTGGAAGATCGTCACCATAGGCCATCATCTGAATTATACTACCAAGGAAATGAATCTCAGGCTGGTCAACCTTCCCACGCGCCGTATAATGAGAGCTCATTATCAAATTCTTGGACTGCTGATGATTTCCAATCTCGCAATGCCTCTGGCTATTTCTCCAATGAAGTCCAGAACGCCCGGCGTTCAACCATGTCCCACTCTTCACTTAAGAGCATGAAAGGCTTCGGGAGTCAAATTGGCGCAGCGCGGCATCGCCGTCGGAGTACGACATCCTTTGATCCCAGCGCTCCAGCTTTGCAAGACAACTTTCTGCCAAACATTCTAAGCAGATTCTTCCTCAACAAAAGTAAAGAGACGCCTGGAAGCCCCGATTCTAAAGAAACGCTGCACTCGGGAGCTTTGGCTCCTTACAATTCGCCTATTCACGGCCATTATTCCGCGAATACCCCCAGGTCTGGAAATGGATCGTTCATCGAACGAAGCCCAGCTTTGTCGGTGGAGGACAGAGCCAGGATACAAGAAGTCCTTGTTGAAGGTCCCGCAGCAATGCGCAGGCGCCGATGCGATACGTGTTCTGAGGATAACAGGCCTCACGTTTGCGAAGAGGATATTGAAAATAGAGTGAGGTGAAGGAGGTGAAGGAGGCGAAGAGCTAGATTGTACCAACATAAGCAAGTAGTATCATTACTAGTTTCCTGTCGACTTTTCCCTATGTTGTATCGTCTTTATAATACTATTAATAATAATTCATTATTCGCTCATCTTTTATAAAATGATACCATGGCTGAATACCAAATATCCATTGCACCAACGCAGCCTTTTCTTGTCTCATCATTTCTTTTCATTTCTTATAAAAGAACTTGCACATCTTTGCCAAATTAGGATAGCCTGTCGGCGGATGTCATCAAATATACCTTGACACTACATCAGATAGGATTATACAAGAGATATTCTTCACAGAAAGCTATCAATGAAAATGATCATACTCCGTATCATGCCAGTAGGATGAAGAAGAAAAAAATGCGCTTTTACACTGCCTTTGACGCCCTCGCTTTGTTCTCCCGATGTCTCTTCTCCTTCGCCGCCGTCTTCCTACGAGTCATCCACGACTTGTTCAAATCCCTCCTATTCTCCCAGAACCACTTCTGGAAATCGGTTGTGGCGGAAAGCTTCCCCTGTGCAGGATTTTCATCGTCTTCACCTTCTCCGTAGACTTCCTCCTCTCCCTCTTCTTCTTCTTCCTCTTGTTCGTCGGCTGCATCGACGTCTCCCATTTCCACGTCCTTTTCGGGAGAAGCACCCCAGAAGCGCATGCGTGATGGATGAGCTGTATCTGGAGTTGGGGCGGCACTTCGCGTGTTGCGCCAATCAAATTCTTGGCGGGTAAAAGGTGTCATGGGCACGGTGGCTGGAGCGGCTTGGGAGGACTGCCCTTCCACCTCCTCGTCCTCGTCGTCGCCGCCGCCTCCGAAGAAGCTGAAGGGTTCGTCTTTGGGGGCGGACGTGGGTGCATCACCGTCGGGTTTGGGCCGCTTATACAGAGCCTCTAGAGGGTGTACTTCGACATTTGACGGTATCTCGGGAGGTGGAATCTTGATCGCCAGGGGCTTGATGCTTCCCGGGGTGGATTTAGATCCGCTGGCTTTGGATGTAGATTTGGGCGTAGCCTTCTCTGCAGCTTTCGAGGGCTGTTCTTCCTCTCCATCTGAATCCTCGCTCTCGCTTGAGTCGTCGCTTGACGTATCACTGTCGTCGTCCTTCTCCTCGTCGTCAACCTTGCTTGCAGCAGGGGGAGCGGCTTTGGGGGTTCCTTTAGCTTTCACTTTTGCCTCGGCTTTAACCTCCTTTTCAGACTCATCTTCAGACTCATCTTCTGACGATGTGCCTTCCGATGAAGTACCACTGCTGCTGGTGCTATCGTCTTCCGATTCTTCAGGCTCTGGCTTCGGTTTGGGGGCTTTCTTCGACCGCTGTGGTGCCTTTGGTTTCTCCTTCTCCTTTACCTCCTCCACAATGTTGCCCTCTTCGTCAACCCATCCCTTTCCTTCCACATACTCGGCCGCCTTTTTCCGGTCCGTTGTAACAGAAGCTTTGAGGAAAGTGGGGAATTTTGTAGTCTTCTCAAACTCATGGATGACAACCTCTCGTGCGCCGCCCTTCTTTTTGCTTCTCTTCTTGTGCTCCAATTCTCCGGGAGCCAGGTTCTTCAGAGTGTTTGGCGGCAGCTTTGTCTTCAACAGGCACTCTTCTCCTTCTGTGTATTTGGACTTTGGTCGCTTTCTCTTCTCTTTCTCTTTGCTTTTCTCTTTATCCTTGCTGTCCTTGTCCTTTCTCGCCTTCTTCTTATTCGTTGACGGTGTCTCGGTCCATCCTCGCTTTATCTGGCGATCATGCAGCGCCACGCCCTCCAAAACATCCACCTCTCGCTTTCGTTTCTTGGACTTATCTTTGCCTTCTTTAGATGATTTCTTCTTCTTTTCAGGAACTTCCTCCTCTTCCCCGGTCGGCTCTATCCGCGCCTCAGGGCGAGCCTTTTCAATCCGCATCTTGCACCCCTTCAGAGTCGCTCCGTTCAGCTTCTTCTTCAGTTTATCCGCATCCGCCTCGGGAAGTTCGACAAATCCGTATCGATTTTCCGGAAATGTTTCAATCGTATGGTAGGAGATATTACGAGCGACCGGGAGCACTGAGGCGGGAATCACAACCTTGACCAACTCGGCGTCAAACGGCGTGATGTGAAGGCGGACGAGATCGTCGGAGTCGCCCATTGGGAGCGGCACAGAAAAAAAGTATTCGGGCTATGCACCGCTTTTTGCAAAATTTATCCAAGCGCGCTTCGGAAATATCACCGTGTTGCGACGCAGTTAAGCGCCTGACAAAAAAAAAAAGTCCTGGAAGAGTGCAAAGTCGACAAGGAGCTTTGGAAATTTTAGCGGGTCTAGAGACGGAGGACGGGAGTAGGGGCTTGGGTTATTCCGCGCCGCTGTGAGACAGCTCTCATACCTTTTTGCTACCCTAATACTGGCCATAACCAGCTTGGATCTGATGGTACTTTGAAGGGGCTATTTTAAAGAGATACTAAATGAAAAAGGAAGGAAGAAAAGAGAAAAAGAAAAAGAAAAAACACTCAATCTAGGTACTGTAAGCAGAGACTTAGATGATAGCCAACTGTTTATATTGCTCGATGGAATAACTGCTTCATATTCATTGGTCCATGTACTGGAAGTAAGACCCAAGTCGAACAATTGCTTTTCTTCTGTTTCAAACGTCCCATCCTTCCTCTAATGAGGCAATTAGCAAGGAAATTATTGTCAAGCGTTCAAAAAATTATGAATTTTTACCAGGTAGTATAGTTAGTCATTTGCATGTCTATATAAACCTCATGCCACCATAAAACTCCTTCTTATACCTTCACTTAGGTCATCCCAATGAGACACCATTCATATAATGTTACATGGTTTACAATAACTGCGCAATAAAACGCACATGCCGCTCTGTATATCAAAAGAATAAGGGCCTGCCATCTACTCTATAGTGAGCATACCTGATTGATTTATACATTGGGTGAGAGGAGATCGTATTTGACACATCGTTCCACCTAGACACATGCAGATTAGCAAAAGAAAAACAGACAAGAGATAAAAGACACTTACATCGTCGACGCTAGCTTGTAGGAACTTCCTCGTTTCCAAGCCCATCCATAACATAATCATCGAAAAATCGCCGTGCTTCGCCATCTCTGCACCACTTTGAGCACTCAGCTGTCTTAAAATCGGAAGAGAACTGCTCAGTAGATCGACATCGGGGTTTAGGCTTCGGCCGATGCCTTCAAGAAGGAGAATGCTGATGACGACATTGACAAAGTCGCCCTCTAGGCGGACGTGATGGTTGCGCACCATGGAGAGGACGTCCTGCAGGATATCACCAATCTTGACGTTGCCGAGTGCCAGGGTGCGGCTTTTCACGCTGAGGACTAGATGCTGCATTTTGAGAGCAAACACTTCCTTATCGATGACAGCCTCGGGTTGGCGACAGCGCTCGCACATGAGATGGCCGGCCTTGTAGCCGTCAAACTCGGCGACAGCTCGGAACAAGGCCAGGAAATTGTCGCGATTAGGCGCATTCAACTCCGTCACAAGTCCCGTGTCTATAAAGACAAGCTGTGGACGATATCCCTCCGCATCAATCTTGGCTAGTTCCGCTTCCCATGCTGACCTATCCTTGCGGTGTCGATGGGGGCGTAGTCGTTCCAAAACCTTTTCTGTGACGTCCAGTTGGTCGTCATCTGAGGCAGGCGGCGTTTTCGGTGATTTGGTAGACCGACGCAGTCGAAGATCTGGTTGCGCGGATTGATAGAAGCGGACCATGATATTGCCCGGGTGCAGATCAGCGTGGACGAAATTATCCAGCAGTAGCATTCGGAGAAAAGCGTCCAATCCCTCATTGGCGATATCATGCTGGAAAACACCGCCCCCGCTCTCCATGAAGACTGCGAGGGGAATGCCTTGAGCAAATTCTTCAATAAGGACATTGCGGGTGGTGAACTCTGAATAGGGGAAAGGGAACGAGGCAGTCGTTCTGTCCTTGAAGTTCTTTCTGAAAATCTCCAAGTTGGCTGCTTCTATTCGCAAGTCTAGCTGAAGCTTCATCATTTGACCAAACTGAGCAACTTCATCCGGTAGAGATAGCCATTCAATCGTAGGAATGACATTCAGCATTGAAGCAAAGAAACCCATAATCTTCAAGTCTCTTCGCACTATGCGCTCGACTTTGGGATGCAGTACCTTGACTGCGACGTAGGTAGATGGGACCTGCTTTGGAGAGCTTTTCAAGACAGTCCGCACTTGATTCTTTACATTCTGAGATAGTAGCCGTGGCCCCCGCGAGTCCGCCTCGAGATCCTGCGGTGCTGCGAGATCAGGCTTGAGCTTTGCTTTGTACACCTGCGCAATTGCACCAACACCAAGAGGCGTTTCGTAGAATTCGTCAAATATGTCCTCAAACTTGCGTCCATTGAAGGCAGCCTCGACCGTCTTACGAGTGACATGCATCGAATGGGCCGGAGCATTCGAGTGCAGCTTCGACATTGTATCGCACATGGCCGTGGGGAAGATGTCCGTTCTCGATGCCGCCCACTGTCCGAGTTTGATAAAAGCCGGGCCTGCCCATTCCATAGACTGCACAAGGAAGCCATACCACCAAAGGGTGCCACTTCGTTCACCATCTTTGTCAGGCTGCCGCCGGCCAAACCAGATTACAGGAACTGAAAGAATGACGGGTACGAAAATAACCATCAAGTGTAAGAACCTGGCTCCGGTACATATTGGCTCCAAGATATAAGTGTCCCAGATGAGGACAATCTTGTGTATAATTCGAGATAGTCCCCGGTCGTCATCGTCAATGGACCTCCGGATCTCAGCTCTGGATGCTTCCAACATGCGAGATTCGCCGGTCTCATCAGAGTCACCATTATCCGTCTGTAACAGCTGGACAAAAGCCCCTGTTCCTAGTGTAGCTGCACCGGCCGAAGCATGCAGCGAAATTCGACTCCTTGGCTTCCCTTTCCATGCTGGCAGTCTCGCTGTGTGAATCCAATTACACGATTCAGCACTACTCCGATATATAGTTTGGCGCAGCGCATACGGCCGAAACGGAGTGCGCCCGCAAAGCCGGCCAAAGACAAAGCCAGCCCTCATATCGGCGGACTCAATTCCAGGCCGAAACGGGTTACTATCATAGTCGAATCCCCATGAAGAGTTTCCGTGGTTCGAGCATATGGGAGAAGAAGGGAAAAGAGAGAGAGAAAAATAGAGCACGATATCGACCCGGAATCACAAGCTTCTCTGCACGAATCCTTGCAAACACGGGAATCCGAATCGGTGACGTACGATTGACACGGCGATAATCCGGCTAAACACGTGCCCACTTAGGCACCCGGGCCAGAAGGAAGAAAAGAAGTTTCGGGCTTGGCCGATTTGGCTTAAGAAATTTTTAGCCTCAGATCCTCATCCACTCTGCTACTATTCTCCGAATTTCTCAGCAACTCTTGCGCTTCTGCGACAAAGCAACACTTTCGAATTTTCGCTATTATTTTTTAATTTGTTTAATATCTCCTACAACTTTTAATTCTCACAATGGGCTGGTTCTGGGCTGAACCTGCCTCTCCTCCGGCTGGGCTTCCTGCAGGACACCCGGCCGTGTCCTTGAACAAAGAGCCTCCGGTATGATGATTGATCTGCGACGCAAATCTAGTAGAAGCTCACGCATGGCAGGCCGGTTGTCCAATGCATCAGAAATCCGCCGATTCTTTCAACACACACAAATCCCCGCCCGCCGATAAATCATCTGCTTCCGGATGTCCCGTTCCTCATGGTTCTTCATCGCCATCGCCAGCAGCATCTGGATGCCCAGTGCCTCATGGATCGCCACCACTGCCGGCGTCTGGATGCCCGGTGCCCCATGCCGCTCGAGAGAAGGAAGAGCCAAAGTCGGTGCTCTCTCAACTCAACCCCCTGAACTACATGTTCCGAGATCTGTCACAGAAGCCCGCGGACAACCAGACGATGGCGCTGCCGGTCGAGCGAGAGGAATCTACCATTCCTAGGGGAGACGGCGAGGGCACGTGGGAGTACCCTTCGCCTCAGCAAATGTACAATGCCCTGTTGCGCAAGGGATACACCGATACCGACATCACAGCGGTTGAGTCCATGGTCTCTGTCCACAACTTTCTAAACGAGGGTGCATGGCAAGAAATCATTAGCTGGGAAGAACGGTTCGCACGAGGATTGTACAAAGGGTGGCAGGTCTGCAAGCGGGGAGAGGAGCATGCGGCCGAGGAGTTGGATCGCAACTGGGATGGAACAAACGTCACCCCTACGCTCATCCGATTCCAAGGCCGCCCCAAGGACCTCACCCCCAAAGCCACAATGTTGCAAGTCCTAGGCTGGATCTACCCCTCCAAGTTTGGGTAAGATGACATTTCAATTCTAGCCCGATGTGATGAGAATGAACAAAAAAGCTAACAAGACTTAGAACTGACCTTCCCTTCGATCGCCACGACTGGTTCGTCTCGCGAAACGTCAACGGGGAAGAGAAAGAGATCCGATACGTCATCGATTACTACTCTGGAGAGCCCGAGCCTACTGGAGAACCCGTCTTCTATCTGGATGTCCGGCCGGCCGCCACGCCTCTCGGAAGCGCAGAGCGAATCATCCGATGGAGCACAGACGTGTGGTGGAAGGCCATCGGAGGTGACCAGCGAGAACAAAACCCACAGCCCTTCTTTCGCCACAACGCTGTCAAGTCCCAAAATTAAATGATTAATGCGTCTACGGCGTCTATGCGACAAAAACAATTCCCTGCTCTTTTTTTTTTAAAAATTTTTTTTTTTCATGATTATGTTTGTATTTTGTATACTATCACGAATGGGATAGGGGATAGGCGTTACTGCGTATTAGATATTATCAGTTTGCTGTATATTTAGCTTATATCCAATTCTATGAGTGCCATTTGTGCCTGTATATCCATTTTTGCGCTGGGTCTGATTCCTCGCTGTAGCTGGAATTGTATGATCAATTACTTGGAAATGCATCATCAAATGAAAATCAATTAACAGTGGGGGTTGGGGGAAAAAAAAGAAAGTAAGTTATTAATCTTGTATGTATTGTGTTTCGCTTATATCCCCTTGCGCATAGCAAATGTATTTCCTCCGCTGTTACCTCCCCACGCTTTATACAATGGTGCCTTTGCATCTACAGATAGGTACGCTTATGTTGAACAGGAGATACAAAACCGTGCTTGCACATTGTATCCTATAAACTCCGAAAATCACCAAGAAAAGTTGTCCGCAATGAATTGGTTAAGCGGAAGAAAGAAAAATAAAGTCGCGTCGAAGGTCTCGTCGCTGTTAGCGAGCTCTCTGGTTGGCTCTCATGCTTTGGGGGTACGCATAGCCCCCTTCCGCCGTATATACCTGCTGGTGCGCCAGCATGATTCATCTCGATTTGGTTTCATGAAGTTGCCATGGCTACAGCCCATTCAAGATCGAGCCTATAGCTTTGTCTATGTGTTGCTCAATGTGCAAGCAGCTCTTGGTGTGCCCTTTCCGCCGCGTGATACCACAGAGCTTCTTTAGTCTGTGCTGGCACTGAGATCCATTGGTTTATCCCAGAGGTTGCGAAGGAGACCGGTCATAACATCCTCCTCCTCGCCTCCGACCAAGCTGGAGCCACTAAGCCTTTCATTCAGTCGGCTCACATCATCTCCTTCGTAGCTCGAGCCTGCGCCGTTGGTGCCGTTGGTTTTCACCGACGCCGTTCGTTTAATTGAAGGTGCTTGGCGACCTTCGGGCATGCTAGTGTTTCGAACATGGCGAGCTGTGGGATCCGCTGACCGTTTGCTGGCTGTCGTTGAGCCCGTATTGGTACGAGGGATCCTCTTGGTCTTGTCCATCCCTGGAATGTGGCTAAGGCGGTTCAATGATCTTACAATGGGATTTTGGTGACGCCGGACAACCAGATATTCCATCCCCGTCCGCTCCAAGAGCTTAGTGACACGAGGGTCTCGGCTGTTGCCTCCATCATGTCCTGGATCTCCAATACCAATTAGAGGTCCGCTTCCTACAGCTCCACCCAGACCAGGAACAGCTTGTCCAGGCTCAAGAGATGAACTTGCGCGCTGCAAGTTGAGCTTCTGTTGTGTACGCGATGTGATTGCCGAGGGCGCCGCTGTTCTCCTGGCGGGTTTAGGTACCAGAGCGCTGATATCACTTTCTATAGGCGACACATCTTCGCTAGGATGATACTCGTGGGATCTCGATAAGTTGGCCATTGAATGCGGCCGTCGAACAAGGTCCTCAGATCGATGGGAGCCCCCTCCGCGAACGGGGTTGTAGAATGAACCCTCGCTGGTGAGGCCTGAGCTGGGGACTTCGACGAAGCGCGAAATAAGTCCCTCTGGCTGGCTTCCGGTCGGCGGAGAGGGCTCATGGCTGGTCGAGGCAGGCGAGATGTGCGTGGGAGTAGCCTTTGCCATTTCTGTGGACATTTGAGGGGGAGCGCCGTGAGATGCGACTCGCTGTAGCAGTCGCGTCGTCGGGTAGTCTTTACGCTCTGCCGTTTTACGATCGGGCGATGGCGATGATTCCGGTTGCGCTGTCGAAGCTTCCGTTGAAGCCTCTGCTGATTCTTCTATTAATGATGCCACCTCCGGCGCTGCTTTCGACGCGCTTGGAGTCTGCGGGCGGGAATGTGCCGCACTGCCTCCGGGGGGGAACGAAGAATGCGTGCTGCTGTTTAATGAGCCCTTTCGCGACAAATAAGGCGAATTAGAGCCACTGGCATCAACCCATTCGTCTTCTGGGTCATCCGAACCGAGGTCGAAGTGAACCTGGGACTTTGTTGCCTTGTGAATGCCGGTGCCGCTGGCGCTGCGTTTTAGCTTGTCAGACGAGGAGGATTTGGTGCGCTTGCTGATCTCGACGTGCGAACGATTGCGCTTCAGGTTGCTCTGGGACAAGCTCTTGGGGATGGCCGTCGCCGAGTCTGGCTGCGTTAATAATTTGACCTCGCTGGTCGCGCGGCGGTGCGGCACGGGTCGCTGAGCGAATTGAGCCTCGAGGTCGGTGGGAGAGCCCTGCTTCTTGCCTAGATTGACTCGAGACGAGCTGTTGTGCGGCTTGTGCAGGACCTTGCTGGAGGAGGGCACGCGGGCGTGGAGGCGGCCGACGTGGCGTTGTTTCTGGTGTTTGGGGCGGTGATGCGGATGGCCCGAGGAGGTGACAGTGTTGGCGTCGCTTTGGTCGCTGGCGTGATGGTTGAGGGGAGGGCGCTTTGATTGGCCCCCGGTCGCGGCAGATGCAGATGCAGACGCAGATGCAGATGCGCTGTCTTGGTCGCTCTCGGACGCCATGGCTGCGGTGGTTTCTGCGCTGGCTGGGCCGCTCCAGGCCAGATTGCTCACGGCACGGGCTGGCGATGGCTCTTCTGTCACTGCGGCAGAGGAGCTGCAGAAGAGCCGCCTCGGGCTCGATTGCGGTGATGCGCTGCGATGCGCAGAGCCGGGCCCGACTCTGGACTCGATGGACGGCGGGCTTGTAAGTGCCTGTGGCCTGCTAACGCCGGCACCGAAAGGGCTGCTGGTGGAGGGTGAGACACGTGTGAATGGCTATAAAGGGTGGTTGATGTCGGCTCCAAGCGACGCGATGCGACAGGCGGGCTTCCGGACGGTCCAGGGGGGGCAATCGACGGCGGCACCTGTAAAAAAGAGCTCCAGGCGTCCAGCACGGCCGAGCGGCAAAAGGGCTGGGGATGCGAATTGGCGCGGCCGAGGAGGGATGCAGGATGCAGGATTGCAGGATGCCTGATGGACGAGGAGAAGAAGAGCTTTAAGAGAGGTGGAAAGACGGTGACTGGCCTGGGCTGGGCTGGCTTTAGGAGAAAAAAAAAGTGCGATTGATGCGTTTGCTGCTCGCGGCAGGTGGAGGAGGGTTGGACAAAGTGTAATTGTCATGCCCTAATACAGGAATAGTCGCTCTTCCCGAGACAGACCGCCGAACCGGGTCTTTGATGCCGCCGGGGAGAGAGGAGCAGAGACGAGGAGATGGAGGGTGGCCGGGCCAGCGCAGTGGTTGAGGCTGGACGACGAGGCTTCTGTCGGGTCTCTGCTTTGTTTGCTTGTTTTGTGGCCCATCAGAGCTGGCCGTCGAGACGCTGATGCGAAGTGCGGAATACCAGGAGCTAGCAGTAGCAGATACTACATGCATCTACTAACCTACGTAATGGCCGGGAGTTAATCACTCAAGCTTTCGGTCCATGGAGCGTTAGCACTGTTAGTAACTGGCATTGTGTTACAGATGCATTGTTATTGTTATCAATTCCCCTCCCTTCCTCCTCTTCTGTTCCCAGCTTTCTTCTCCCCTCTTCTGTTGCTTCGCTGGAATGCAGCATAAAGACATTGTCTTAGCTCTAATCAACCACCTTATTCAGAGCCATGGCATAATTTGCGTCATACTACTACGCATTGGCTGCCACCTAGTACCGAATAGGCGCTGTCTCTGCTCCATCCTGGATTCCTGTACTTCCTTGCGTTCCACGCTGCTCTTGGGCCGCATCAGGTCGTGCTACCGTCCAATCTCGCTCTCCCAAAAATGGCGAATCCGGGCTCGTTCAGTGTTACAATGTTCAGGTGAGTGGCGCACCGGTGAAGGGCCCTGTGCACGACTTTGAGAGATTAGGCCCCTCTACCAACAATGAGGCTTGCCATGCAACCCGTCGGAGCGCGCGCAGAGGCTCTGCGTCCCCAAAGCCGTCTTACACGCACCCCACGGCTTTCGATGTGATTAAGAGCTCACGGGGTTTTCAGGTTCCATCTGGGGTACCGATTATACGCTGAACAGCTGCTGCCTAGAGTTGCCCAATCTGTGCATCGTTGCCCAATATCCTCCGTTCCCACGCTGTTCTTTGGAGACACATCCACCCTGGCTTGCCATGTAGCGATGACGTTGGATTCTCGGAACGTTCCATTGCCGCGTCCCCCTTTTCGATTTGAGCTTGCAACAGCAACAGCCTACTGCTACCTATAGCAGACTTGAACGTCTATTGATTGCTAATTGTAAAAGAAAAGGCCTCGTATGGAGTGTTCAAAGTGCTACCAAGAGCCGAACTCGAAACAATACGCGTACTCTCGTGCTAGCCCCGATCCCGGAGTGGTTACAGATCAAAGCTGATAAACTGATTGCTCTTTACTGTAGCTGCAACGTACAGGCTCGGCAAAATGCACGTTTGGGCATTTTAAAATCATAATACTAAATCAACGAGAAATGTTCCATCAATGGGCGCATCTTGTCATTCATTCGGGCATAAAGTGACCATCTGAAGTACAACCTGGCTATGAAGAGTCACGTGACTTTCTTCAATTCTTGATACCGTATCCGTACTTTCGCCCCACCGCCGGATTCTTATCTCCATACCTACCTGATACAGAGCACGTACGGAGTCGCAGTTTGAGCTTCAGCCTCTTTTCAAACTCCAAAGCCTCGCGACAGTCTCCATCGCCCTACTTTGATCTAATTTTGGTATCTGCGCGACAGACGAACTGCTAGCTGAACAATGTCTTCCATCTCAGAGCTTCAAGCAGAGCGGCAAACATATCAGGAACAGGTACGAGGCGAGACTTTGCCGCCCTGATTTCCGTTCCCCATACTGAAACCCGCTGCTAACTTGACCTTAGCTGGATATTGTTTTTTCCCAAATCCGCGATGACCCTGATAATGCCGAGCTCCAGGCGCTCCAAGGAGAGCTGAAGAACTTTGTCGATCTCCTAGACGAAAACATCGCCGATTTAAAGTCGAAGCAGGCGCCCAAGCCTGATCCAAAACCAGCCGCGCCTCCTCCAGAGCCGGCCAAGTGGTCGAAAGAGAACCACCCCGCCTTCAAAAAGGCTGCACCACCGGTTGAGGAAAAAGAAGAGGTTGCTGTGCAGTATCAGGTCAATGACTCCGTCATGGCAAAATGGCTTTCGGGCGACAAGGGTTTCTATCCGGCGCGTATCACCTCCATCACTGGATCATCTACGGATCCCATCTATATCGTGAAATTCAAGAGCTACGACAACACGGAGACGCTTCGATCGAGAGACATTCGCCCTATTTCCAATAAACGAAAAGCCGAAGGCCCTGCGTCAGCATCAAGTACCCCTGTGGCCACTACGCCGGCTCCAGGAGTTGTTAGCTCCGCCGGCGCTACGATGTACCCAGAGGCGAAGAAAGAACCAGAGGCAGACAAAGATGCTGCTAAGCCACCCAAGCCAAAGAAGATCAAGGCCAAAAAAGAGCTAGAAGCTGGCAAGTCCAAATGGCAAGATTTCAACGCCAAGTCAAAGTTTGGTAAATCTAACAAGAAGGACTCTATGTTTCGCACACCCGAGGGAATCCATGGGAGAGGTACGGCTCACACAAATCTTATATGAAAATCTTATATGGGGTACACTTTTGCTAACGTTTCTGGGGTTAGTTGGATTTACTGGCTCTGGCAAGACAATGAGCAAGGACCCTACACGTAGTCGGCACATCTACCAAGTTAATGAAGAACTCGACTGAAAATGCATTGCCTCAACTAGGCAGCCACTGGGGAAAGCTTGAATTGATGACGAAAGGCGTTAAGGAGCTGGGAAACTTTTGTTTATACCGCGGTAATATGCCTTGCGATAAGTTGTTGAAGAGGCTAACATTTATGCATTTGGCTTTTTTTTACACCAGAATTTTATATCGCGGCTTCGAGAAGAGGAATTAAAGTTATGGGAACATTGGCTGCCACTTGGCAAAATACAAGACGCTTTATTCAAGAATAGGCGGCCCCTTTTGGGATGTGGAATGCATTGCTAAGTTACGATGGCAGGTTCCCACGATCACCCTTTCATCAAACGAGGTTTAAATTTCCAAGCATGCCATCTAAGTATTTTCTTTTCTTTTTTCTACTTTTCTGCTTGAAAGAGAGATTTGAAAATAAGAAGAGTTAGTGACTGTGACGCTCGTGTTCTTTTAGATCAATCTTGGGGCAGATAGCTTTAGCTATATCGAGAAAGGCTGATGCTCGTTCGCTGGATGGCTCAGCGACGACAGTCGGCTTTCCTCTCTCTCCATCATCACCAATGTTGGGATGAAGCGGAATGTCTCCTAGAAACTCAATTTCATGGTCTTGACATAGCTTTTCCACTCTTTTATTTGATCCAAAAACGTGAGTGTCCTGATGGCAGTGAGGGCAATTAAAGAGAGACATGTTTTGCACCATGCCAAGGATATTGACGCCAACAGTTTTGAACATGTTGATTCCCTTGATCGCGTCTTTCGTTGCCAAAGTGTGTGGTGTAGTGATGATGACAGACCCTAGGCTGATAAGTATCAAGAGACTAGAAGTAATCCTGTTCAATGTGAAGAAGAAACAGCCGCTTACCGTCTAGAATAACTTGCTGGGTTATAGTCAACTGTGTATCGCCTGTTCCGGGAGGCAAATCCAACACAAGAATATCCAAGCCACCCCAGTCTACCTCGTGTAGGAGTTGCTGAATCGCCTTCATAACCATTGGCCCTCTCCAAACAACTGGAGCACTCTCGCCCACCAGATAGCCCATTGACATTGTCTTGACTCCGTAATTAGTTAGGGGTACTAGCTGATTGTCTAAAATCGTCTTGGTCAGCATAGCATATTAATATAAAGAGCCAAGTTACTTGCTGCTGGATAGCCTGGGCTCTCCCGATAGATCGAATAAGGTCGGAATAGATGGGCCAAAAATATCGGTATCCAATATTCCAGCGCGGAAACCAAGTCTAGCAAAAGCTAGTGATAAGTTTGCTATTTCATTTCAGTTAGCGAACTGGTTCTATATCTACTTATCTGTCTTTTACTGGACATCTTTAGGATCACCCACCAGCGACAGTGCTTTTACCAACGCCGCCTTTAGCAGAGGACACGGCGATGACTTTGTCTACACCGGTAATCTTCCGCCTCTGAGGCCGTTTTGGCCAGTTTGGTGGAGTACCCGATCGAGGGAGACCCTAAAGATATTGTCAATAAAAGCTTCCTTATGATGGAAGTATTAAAACCGTACCAGTGGATTTTCATGTTGAAGAGCTCTTATAGCTCGAAAGAGCATCGAGGAAGTAGAGCGCATTGTTGACGACTACACTGAAAGATCTTAATAACACTATCGAGTTAACAGTGAACTGTAGGTCATTTCAACTGATTTAAATTATCAAAATCATGTGACGCAAGATGCCAATATCAGCCCTCTACCCCTCGAGTAATTATTGCGTTCTAAGAAGCTCACTCATGTACAGCATTATTGGAGAAGACAGTATCAGCATCGATAGACCCACTTATACAAGCTATATACAGTTAGTCTGGTTGCGATTTATGCAAGCTAATTTTTGCCGCGATTCACCGCCTAAAAGTTTAGTTTCGCAGCTGTTTCTAGACGGCAGAAAAAATCCCAGCGTGGGGCTTTAACAAACTCGCAACCAAGCCAAATCACATCCAAAATGGCCAAGGCAAAAGGACGCGCAAAGGCATTCCAAGATCCGGATGAGGAATTGGTCAAAGGTATGACAATTCGGCATTGTATGTTTTTGCTCATCTATCAATATACTGATAACATGTAGATTACGACCCCGAAGCCAATGGGAAGAACGATAATGACAATGGAAGCGGCAGCGAGGATGAACACGCTGGCACAGAACATTATGTAACTGTTGGACACAGCAAACTTAGAGAAAAGGAGGGCCTTTCTTTGGGAAAGCAGTACCGCGGATCGCGAGTTTCGCGCCATGCCCTTGAACAGAGCAGCGATGATGAGGACGAGGAAGAAGAAGACGACGAGGACGACGACGACGCTGAATACGATGATCCGGAGACTGCCAATCTGGAAGCCGATACCGCAGAAGCTAGCGACTCAGAAATCAGCAGTGACAATGCTTTGGCAGAGTCTGATGACGAGCGATTGGACGCCTTCGTATTCCGCGGTAGCTCAAAGCCCAAGAAGCTGAAGAGTAAGCGAGCTTCTGCGGCGGATTTTATGTCTGCTTCTGAGGACGAAGAAGACTCCGAGGAGGCAGAAAATGAGGAAGACGAAGATGAAAACTCTGACGAGGACATGGACGATGGTCTTGATGCATTGCTGAATGGTGGAGCCTCCGATGAGGATGAGGACGAGGATGAGGACGAAGATGAGGATGATGACGAAGAGGAGGATGAAGAGGAGGATGAGGAAGATGAGGACGAAGATGAAGAATCAGGCAAACACACCGCAAAGCCTTCTTTGGACGCTACATCAGGCCAGACTGAAGTACAAAAGGGAATTGCCATTCAACAACAGAGGAAAATCTACGACGGACTGCTCAACATGCGCATCCGACTCCAAAAAGCAATCGTCGCCGCAAACACGTTTACTACCCTGGACTCGGACTCAAGTTTCGAAGCGGAGGCTTACGAGGCTGCTGAGGAAGCCGCTATCAAGCTGCTAAACACTATCAGCGACCTTCGAGAAAATCTGGCTCCGCCAACTGCCGCGGGCAGTAAACGCAAGCGAGCATTGGACATTAATTTTTCCAACCAACAAATTTGGGAGCAGATTCAAGAAGATGATCAAAGATCGGTAAAATTCCGAGAAGACAGATTAGACAAGTGGTCTCGCAAGGTGCAAAGCGTCACTGTGGCTGCGCCAGCAAGCAGACTGGGCGCAAAGCCCAAGACGCTCATCAGTGTTTTGCAAGACCAGCTTGCCAATCCTGATGGCAGACTTGTCAAGCGCACGCGAGTGCCTCGGTCTTGCGCACCAGTTCAGGCTTCCAAGAAGATTACCGAGAGTGAAGACATCTATGACGATGCGGATTTCTACCAGCTCTTGTTGAAAGAGCTTGTGGATCAGCGCACCGTCGAATCGGCTGCAGAACAGTCAAGCGCCGTAGCCTCCGTCATGCTCACCGCCAACAAGGAGGCCAAGACTCGAAAAGTAGTGGACAGGAAGGCAAGCAAAGGACGAAAGCTGCGGTTCACAGTGCACGATAAGCTACAGAATTTCATGGCTCCAGAGGACAGAAGAGCTTGGGAGCAGGGTGCAATTGATCGCTTCTTTGGCACCTTGTTCGGTCAAAAGTTGGAGTTGAATGAAGAGGAAAGCGAGGACGAGGAGATGGAGGCTCTTTATAAACAAGATGAAGGGCTTCGGTTGTTTAGATAAAGGAAGAGAGCCGAAGAGCATATGGTTTCCTTTCTTTTCCTCATCTTCATAGAGTGAGACTGATAGATGGCTAAAAGAGACATCGGCGAAATTGGATAACAATACACTGTTAATAGTTTCTTTTTACACTTGCCAATAATCCTTGATACTGCACACTTTGATTCATCATTGGTTATTAGTCTCTGTGTCATTCAAACGACGTGCTTGTTTACAAATCGTCGAGGTAGCTGACAATTGGTTCTGAGCCCTATGCTCGGTGTAAGTTCTTGGTGTGAGCGCGGAATTCCGATTCCGATTCCGCTTCGGTACGTCCATCCGGGGACGGGCGGTTTTTCACGGCTCTCCCCACAGCGCGGAAGTGCTCCATCCCATCCCACCTTTATATGCCGAGCAAAGAAATGTAGAGGGAGCTTGAAGATTTCGAGGTCAAGCTTTTGTTTTAGATTTCTTCTTTCAAAAATAGCTTTTAGTGAAGACTTCAGACTTAGGGAGGAAGAAAGACGAAGACAAAATAAAGATGGCTTCTACAACTTCTTGGGTCCCATTGGACCGAAACGGCGACTTCTCAATTCACAACCTGCCCTTTGGCATCTTCTCTGAGGGCACCTCACAACCCCGCGCTGGAGCTCGAATTGGCGATTTTGTCATTGATCTCAAGGCGCTGGCCAGCGATGAGCAGGCCAAACAGCAGCTGAGCTCTCTTGGCGATCTGGAAGCCGTCTTTGGACAGTCGTCTCTCAATGCCTTTGCCGAGCGCGGGCGCTCCGTGCATCGTGCTGTGAGAGGCGATCTTCAGCGCATTCTAAGCCAGTCGACCGATGTGCCGGCCATTCTCAAGGACAACGAGGCGCTGAAGCAAAAGGCGCTGATTCCAGTCGAAAAGGTCAAGATGCATCTGCCGATGCAGATTGGAGACTACACCGATTTCTACGCGGGCTATCACCACGCCTACAAGGTTGGTGTCCTGTTCAGAGGACCCGACAATGCGATGCAGCCCAATTACACACATCTGCCTGTGGGCTATCACGGCCGCTCTTCCAGCATCGTCGTCTCTGGGACTCCCATCCGACGACCTCGCGGTCAGATCCTCCCCAACCCGGCAGCGACCCCCAAGGAGCCGATTACGGTGGCTTGCCGCCGACTAGACTTTGAACTGGAGCTGGGGTGCTTCATATGTAAGCCCAACGAGATGGGCGAGTCAATCGACATCAGCAAGGCCGAGGAATACATTTTCGGCTTCGTTCTCTTGAACGACTGGAGCGCCCGTGATATTCAGGCGTGGGAGTATGTCCCTCTGGGGCCATTCAACGGCAAGAACTTTGGCTCAACCATCAGCCCATGGGTTGTCCTTGCAGACGCGCTGGAGCCCTTCCGCACCGAGGCGCTGCCAAACGACACCCCCGTGCAGGATTATCTCAAGGAGACGCAGAAGAAGAGCGTGTTTGACATTCAGCTCGAAGTCAGCCTTACCAGTAAGTGCCCCTTCCCACCCCACCAAACATACCCAGCTGTACACAGTAAGTATACGGAATGCTGACCTTTGCGGTGCGCCTTAGCTGAGAGCGGCGACCACGTCAACTTGACCAAGACGAGCGGCCGGAACCTGCTCTGGTCCTTCCCACAGATGATTACGCACCACACCGTCGGCGGATGCCCCATGCGGGCCGGAGACTTGTTAGGGTCCGGAACCATTAGCGGCACAGAGCCTCACGAGCGCGGCAGCTTGTTGGAAAGGACCGAGGGCGGCAAAGCTGATGTCCAGCTGGAGAAGGGTGGTGTGCGCCGCTTCATCGAGGACGGCGATAGCCTGAACATGAGGGGATACTGTGAGAAGGATGGTGTGCGGATCGGATTTGGTGACTGCGAGGGCAAGATTCTGCCTGCTCATGGGCCATGAGGAGGTTGACAAGATGAAGAGAAGGCAAAAAAATGCATAATGTGAAATGTGAAATGTAATAGAAAAGCTTACAAACATTCAAGTATGGTAGACGAGCTCTTGACAGAATAAAAGCAGAGCATTCTACTTGAAGTATACAAACTCCATGTCTCTTGGAGCTTTGCATCAAAGATTCTAGTTCATATGGTTACGTGACACTTAGCACGCCTCCTTAGGTATTACTGTTTCACAAGCTCTCAGCTTGGAGCGATGAAGTCTTTGAAATAACGTTACCCCATGGACCTAGGCATCTATTACCGAACAAACAGTGACGTCCAGGCCGTGCTCCGCGGGCCCCACGCGCTGCAACCCATACGACGGAGCAATTGAGGCCGCTGTTGCGTTTCCCACTGACAGTGTGCAGCGGAGGATCGGAGATTCCACATGGCTTTTTGAGAACGTTGCCGAAGCCCTTGTCGTGCCATGCTGCGCCGGGGGTGCTATGTCCCTGGTTGCAATATTGCTTCGTGCTTGTAGCCAGGCGTGTTCCTCGATTATACGCTCCGGGGTCCCTGTCAAGGCAGATCCTGAGAGTGACGAGTAACATTGCCCACGCATCGCGCCGCCACGTCTCCACCGCTCGCCAGCCCAGCTGCGACTCAGCTTTCCAACGGCTTGCAGGCTACGGAATAGTGCCCGTGGCGGTATTTTACACGCGCCGGCAGTAATCCGTACTTCAGCTGCACTTGTTGTCGTCTTGCATTCGTTTTGCTAGCAGGGCATTTTTACCGGTCGAGTCGGCGTTCCAAAGTCACGTGGGCGCGGCTTTATGCCTTTGCGGGAGCGTGCCACAAAGTCCGAGGTTGTCCTGTCAGTGGCCCTCTCCTCCCTCTGATTTTCTCTTTTGGAAGGGCGGAAAGGAAAATAAAGAAGGGCATTCGCTGCCTGCACCTCGCGCGCCAGCCATGGAGCAGATTGAGACGCAGGCATCGGACTTGCGCTACCTGACGGCGCCGGTCGGCGCTTTGAGCGACTCGGCGAGTGTCTCGTACGAGACGCCGCAGTCACGGGCGCAGATGAGCCCAGGTTCCGCCATGTACGGAGACAATTCCGCGCTGCAGGCCGGAGGCGATTCGCCTGGAAACGCCAATGCGGGTGCGAGTAAGAGGAAGTCGATTGAGGATGGGGCTGCAATCGCGAAGCAGACGCGGAGCAAGAGGAATCGGGTGAGTTCATGGGTTCTTGTGCGAGGCTTGGGCGGGTGTTTGTTGAGGTGCGGTGTGATGATGCGGCGTGAGGCGCAATGCGGCCAGGAGGGGTGAATAAGATGCGATTCACATGCTTGCGGAGCCAGCGTCAAATGAATGTGATATTATAAACATGTCGATTGAGTTCCATCAGCTGACATCAAGATCTATCTAGTACATCTCTATTGCATGGTAAGCCTGCATTCAGCTGCCTCCGATGATATCCGATGATCTATCAGGCCATAATTACACATGGATTCATATCACCATTCATCCCTTTCGAGGATACTCTGAGCATTACACGAGCTAAACTGGACTATACTGACTATTTCGGGGCAACCCCATGTAGTAATGAGTGTAAAAGGCGCAAGATCAAATGCAACGGCGAAACGCCATGTCAACGATGCGGCAACCTCAACCTTGCCTGTCTCTATGCTCCCAATTGCTGTACCAACAACTTTAAAGACTCCGACGAATTCAAGATGATCGCAGCGCAGCTAAGTCGCCTCCAGGAGGAGGTCAATTGGCTCAATCAGTCCATGAGAAACATGCAGAGCGAGCCGCGACTCGCGCCACCAACTTCGGACCGCATCATGCCTACTGGCGGCTCAGTTATTGCGCCGTCTCCATCACAAAGCTCAACATCTGGTCATCGGCCAGACTATCTTGGGAAGCAAATGCCATTTCAAGGTCCGACCAGCACGGCATTCACCTTGGATGTTGCCAGGGAGACGATCAGTAACATGGGGTGGAAGGCTACCGAGGAAGGAGACGACATTGAGCCGCTACCGAGCAGCAATATGGTCACTACAATATCGACCCAGATGGCTGACCCGCTCTTGGAATTTGATAAAGACGAGATGGTGCGCCTCTGTAGAGTGCACGAAGACGAAATCGGCATCATGTATCCCGTCATCAATATCCAAACCGTCATTGCCCATGCCAAAAACGTCTCGCTATATCTAAGGAATCCACGACCAATGGAGCTCTTGAATGATCTTGAAACCTTGCAGTTGAAAATCATCATATGCTGTGCTCTTGTCGTAGAAGGACATGGCCATTCCGAAAAGGCATCACGCTTGTATGAGAGCATGGAGAATATCATTAATCGAAAGCTCATGTCAGACGGCCTTGATGTCTGTGACCTTCCCCTCTTAGCACTTGTAGCTGGCTACCGATTCTTGTCTAATGAGGAGGTGCTCGCATGGCGTGTCATGGGCCAGGTGGTGCGGCTCTGTGTCGAGCTTGGTATTCACCAGAAGAGGGGTTTGATGACGATACAGAATGAGGCCGAGAGAAAGAATGCGCTTAATAGTTTTTGGTCGGCTTACGTTCTCGACCGCCGCTGGGCGTTTGGCACGGGTCTACCGTACGCTATTCAAGATGACGAGATTGACCCAACCCTGCCCATGCCAGTAAGTCTTATCAAAGCTTTTGTATAATATAGAGTTCAGGTAACTAACGTCTTCCAGGAGGAATATCCTTACCTTGTGGCCATGATTACATATTCTCGAATAGGCGCCAAAGTGTGGCGTCAAGTAAACCACTTTGGACCCGTCCTTGCGCACGAACTGGGCCAGGAGGAAATCGAAAGACTCGACCAAGAGATTCTACGGTGGTATGAGACTGTACCAGAAGAGATTAGAGTGCGAAGCTGGGACAAGGAAACCCAGATAACATCAACACCATCATATAACCTCCAACGGCTAAGGATATGGACATATCTACGGTTCAATCAGGTATGTCATAAAGAAATGTTCCAGGCCACGCTCACATCGCAAACTAACAGCTTTTCAGATACGCACATGGCTATATACCCCTGTTCTGCACAGCGCAACCAGTATCATGGCGCATCCGTTGGAAGCTCAGCGCGTTGTCGACTTGGCCAAAGACACAATTCAGTACCTCCACCACCTTAACAGCACCACTAATTTATATCGAAGGGCGCAAGTCTTTTATCACCAATTCCTTTCGGCAGCAATAGCGGTTGTCTTTCTCGCATCGGTACATGCACCTGTGCGTTTCAGCGCCGTCTGTCGAGAAGAGTTCTACATGGCCCTTGATCTGGTCAAAGATCTGTCCGTCAAGAGCTGGGTCTCTCAGCGACTATGGCGAACTATTAAATCACTCAAAGACGTGGCTCCCCGATTTGGCCTGAATCCAGACGAGGATCCCCATTCGAGCGCCGCGCTGGGCATGATTGGCCTTGCAAGAGGCCACATGGACACCATGCAAACCAGCCAGCCCATGTTTCAACATCCACCAATGCCGCCCAGGCAGAGTGCGGACAATATGATGCCGAATAATAATGGCCAAAAGATTCAGAGCGAGATGTCTAGGATATTCGAGGGTTATGTGGGCCTCAACGGTGTTCAGTTTGGAAGCAATGGAGAAGACCAGCATGTGCCGCCTCCTCATGCTTTGACTTCTCCAGATTCACAAAACACCGTTTTCACATCTGCCGATGGGACGGTATTCCCTCACTTGCGCGAGATGTTTTGAAGAAAATACTGATTATTCGCAAGTGTATATGTAGAAGTCATGGACGATAGATTTCTCCGAATTTTTCTTGAGTTTAACAAATAGCTGGATTTTAAAATAGAGTAGCCATTTGCTTTTCAGCTTGCTCGCTTTTCATAACCAGCTGGATGTTTGAGTCTGGTCAAATTCATATAAAAGTAAAGCTTCGTTATCCGATAGAGTCTGTCCACCGCCTTCAGATTGATTGTTTGCCTGAGGCAATCCGACGTATTTGACCAAGTTTTCTAACCGTATTGTTACTCATGCAGCTTTTTTTTCCAATGACTTACCTAGGCAGAATCAGCTTCTGTCAAACCAGATAGTATGAATACCGGCATCAATTTCCTCAATTCTCCGAGAACATCGCCCGGTGATCTCTGGCGAACAAGCTACGCAGCGTGCACAGGTAAAGTCCTACGTTGGGTCGCTACTTTCAATCAAAAATCAATACTCATCAATTGAAGGATTTCTACGAACAGAAGAAGAAGGTCACAACGACCAGAATGCAGATAAGCGAAGGCTAAGGAAAAAAAAAACAAGTCACCGGATCACTGGCAAAAAGGCGGGCAGACACATGGGCAATGCATGCGCGGCAAAGTCCCACGTCGCGCGTTGCCCGCAGCAGTCTTCAACGAATTTGGAGGGGAAACAGACCCCTGAGCGTGGATGTGACAACTGTCAATTGCTTAAAGCGGAAATTCTCAGCGGATTTGACCACTAAGATCTCGCCATTTGGAGGGTCCAGACTGTCGCAGCTTTCCAAAGTTTCCCGCGGCGACGGGGTCCCGGCAAAAGGCGCTTTCAGCAAAGAGAAACCGCCGATACATGGGCTTTCAAAAATGGCATCAGCTAAGAAAGAAAGGATGGACTAATGAAAGTGTGTCTTTTGATGCTGGAGGACTCAGTCGGCAGATGGGTGCGACGCGACCGGTACTTTGGGCGGAGGCGTCAAGATAATGCTCCTCGGGCTTTTGCCAGCGAATCATCTCCAGTTTTGCTTATCCTGCACTGATCCTGGGAGATGATGACATCCAAAAGCGAGATTCCATATCAGAAACTCGAATAGTATCACTCCAGTTATAAGTGCTGTTTACTGATCTGGAAAATGGTTATGCACTATCCACCAAAGAGTGGTCATCGCTTTTGAGCACAGGCTGTCAATATCCATTCACCATGGCCTTCGCCTGCTTATCTGACCCATACAGACGAACACTTTGTGTGTCTTCTCCGGCAAATCATCACATTTTCCGGAAGATATTTGTCTTCAGGTCTGCGCCGTTGGTTTTCCGCGGGAAACTTCCATTATCCACTCCACCCACTATTCACAATCAATGGGGTCCACCGCGGCGCCCAGGGCAGAAAGTTTGCTAAACAATGCTGGCTTTCGCAGCCGTAATCGGGCGGCTTGACCCAGATGAGCTTCTTCTGACAAGATGAAATCGGTGGTGTAACCCATCCCCATCTGATCTGGCATATTCACCGACGCCTCCAGCGGGCCAGCCGGAAGGCTTGTTAGTCTCGCTTACTAGATAGGTATCACAACTCTAGTTGGAGCTGTCATCTTTGAAGACACTCCGTTAACGGCTATTACCTACAGCAGCGCTACAAGGGCTATTACGAGAGACCCTGTCTTGTATAACACGGGCACTCCGCCTATCGCCTCAATGGCCAGCTTTCGAGAAACGTCTAGCAGCCCTTCGTCCCATGTAAGTAGCGAAGCTTCCTTGCTAGCGCTTTTGATTATCAAGTACGGATACAATTTTAGGACTTTGCCCGGAATTGCCTTGGAGAACATTCCCCATTATTGATTACAAGCGTGGACTATACAAGTTCAATCTTGTAGATAGCTGATTAGTCTACTAGGTGCCTGTACTTTTTCAATTGGGGCCATCTTAACTCCGTGTGGGAGCGGTCATAGTTGTATCATTGCTACAAGTACTTATACCATGGCTTTTGCACTACGGCGGCTTAGGCACTTAACTGATGCCGCTTCAGACTATATTATGTCGAATGAGCTACAGCATTACAAACTAGATTGAGGAAGGTGAGGCTCTGCGGCGGAAACCGTCGGACTGTAGCTGCTTACCTCCCTAAAAGGCAGCACGAGAGAGCTGGTTGCACCCTGTTCTATAATTCCTCGTGTAATTGGGCCGATCTCTCGCATTTTCCTGCACCGGCTATCTTGGTCAGTAAGTTCATCATGTTGGTGGCACACGAGATTTTGATATTGGATTTGAGCTAAGACTGCTTAGTTTCCAACAACCTCGGCCACTAGCCAGGGCTCGTGTTTTGTCCTTCTAGCGTGGCAAACGCAGTCTTTTCCCGCGGCCAAGTCGGATCATCTCGTTTTGGACGCTGCGCATTATCGGTTCTACTGGTTTTATCCTAGACGAGGTGTATTGATTTCGTGGAGGCGTCCGTCTTTTGTTTGCTTTCTTCACTTGCCAAAAGTTCTCATTCTGGCTAAATATGGACGGAAGCCAACAACAGAGCGGCGGCGGCGGAAGGCCATACAGGTCGCATCTCCGGCCGGCTTGCATCCCCTGTCGCCGGAGAAAGTCTCGATGTCAGACCGCAGCCGATAATACGGCGTGTGTGACGTGTCTTGCGCACCAGACAGAGTGTTACTTTCCTGAAGATTCTCGAACGTCAGAGTCTCCGGAACCCGCCCGCCGTCGCCGTCGAGCAGAGCCTCGAGCCTCTGTGGAAGCATCCGGGTTGACCCCAGCGAGGGCAGGTGTACGAGCCGCGGCATCATTCCATGGGGGTGCAAAGGCCAATACTTCAGCATCAATGGCTGGGTCAGGAAGTGCGGCCATGGGGCGGCAAGCGTCAGTGCCGGTTTCCATTGCACCGCCCATGTCAGTTGCTGCAATGTCGAGGCCGGGCCAAAATTATCACGACAGGGCGGAAGGGCCTGCAATGGCACTGGGCTCTGATGATGACCAACATCTCAATCTACACATCGTAGGGCCGGCCACCACCAATGACAGTCAAGTTCTGTCTACATACCTCTCAGGCATACCTGGGGCTACCAGGAGCACCAGAATGATCGTCCCAGAGCCTGCCAGCTGTTCTCGCCCTGTTCTTTTTACTGAGGTCCAGAAGAGACCAGTTGGTGTCATATTGAATCGTAGTTCTTCAGCAGAGAAGCTGGAGATAATTGAGAAGCTGCTAGAACCTCATAATGAGGCCGTTATTGACGAGTTCGTCGTCCTTCTTTCTAATATCCTGGAGCCTCCACGTAGCTGACTGTTTTCTTTGTAGGTATTTCAGAAAAGTGAATGTATGCCTTCCATTACTGGATGAAGCCTCATTCCGCCGCCAGTATCAAGAAGACAAGACGCGGATATCACCGGCGCTGCTGGCATGCTTGTATGCCCATACGATCATCTACTGGCAAAGCTCTCCAACTCTGAGTCGATATAGGTGTCCAGAAAGCCGTTTCATTTGGAATCTTGCTAGCGAAGCAGTATACTCTGAGCTCCATCTATCTCCAGGAATGTCCATCATAAAGGCGATTCTGCTCAACATTGGTGGTCGTCCTACTACTTCATTGATAGGAAACGGTGTGCTTCTCGGGTCTGCAGTTTCTATTGCACACTCCCTAGGCCTAAATCACAATCCTCTTCCATGGCAGATCCCGCAGGCAGAAAAGTATTTACGCATGAAAATCTGGTGGTCAGTGTTGGTTCATGACAGATGGTACGTGTGACATGTCTATTCTTCATACTCCAACAACAGAAGAAGATGAGAGAACTGACTTGTGAATCGGATTTCAGGACAAGTTTGGCGCATGGAACACCGCCTCATATCCAAAAGGCTCAATATGACGTGCCTCCGCCAACTATAGAGTACCTTCGGCAGAGTTCAACGGAAGCAAATAGTTCACGTTTTGAGATCACTGCCAAAGTATTCATTTCGCTGGTAGCTCTAAGCGAGGTGCTTGGCCTATTTCTGCAGTACGTGTACTCTGTTAGAAGGGAGAGGCTGACCACTACGGATCTCGAGCTTGCATTGAATCAATGGACTGAGAAGCTAGAGGGTCCCTGTCGCCGCATTGTCTTGCTCGGATCTCACCTTGAAATCAATGGGGCAGCAAATCTTCGTTTAGCATACTTGACCGCCAAACTGCTCTTGCAGCGAATACAGCTCGAGTCGGAGAAGCAGACGGAGGCTGTAAACGAGGAGCAGATAATGAATCGCTATTCGGCAGCGCGCATGACATCAGAGGAAATGCTGATGCTCATACAGGATTTCCAAAAGGATCATCTTGGCGACTTTTGGATGGCCGTCAGCTCTTTTGCCTTCCCCTCTGCGGTCAACTTCTTGCTGCGGTGTGCGCTGGAGACGGAAAACACTCCCGAGGGGCTGGTCCAAAGCCACTCCTTCAAGATTGCTCACGACCTGATTGCCGCGCTTCGCTCTCACCAGGAGCAGCACAAGTGGGATCTGGGCGATATTTGCATTGCCCAACACGCCGAGATTGTGGAGAAGATCCTGGCGGGCGTGGCACCGGATGAACAAGGTGGAAACAGCAGCAGTCTGGACCTCCAGGAGTTTGACGCATCGATTCTAGACCACGTTTTCCCGAGCATATGGGACCCGTTACAAAATGCCTTTACTTGGTAACAAACAGAGAGCCCCGTGGCTGGTCTATTTGTGGATTGAACTAGAGTTGGATAGGGGGCGGTCCTGCAGATAATACGGATACAAACTCTGCCGCGGGAAAGATTGCGGCCGCGGCCAACCAGGGCGAGTTTCCCGCGGCGAAACTAGGAAAGCCAACAACCGCCACGAAGATATCCACAACTTCTCGATACGATATCGGAAAAGAAAGTAATAAACTTGAGGAGTGAAAATCTTTTCTTCAAATTTGTATATAAGACTGGCCTATCCTTGGAAGTCATCGAACTCACATCATCGAATACCTCAAACAACACATATACTGGAAGATTTTTGCAGATATTTCTTCGAACTTTTTTATCTAATATCATAACCTTTCTCTTTATTTGTCAACTTTATTTCTTTCCCAGAAGTTTTTGTTTTTAATTATCATTTCAGTCAAATTACAAGCATCTACAATGGCTCCGGGAGCTCTCGTCGGATCTGATAGCCCTCTTCTGGCTCCCGTCTCTGGAAAGCTTGATGCTGCTCCCACACTTTACGGCGGAATCAATGAAAAGGAGCTCCGGGAAAAGTCTGAAGCTTATTTGGCCAACTATGGCACCAAATTCCATGACGACGTAATTATTGGTTCTCGGGGAATGTACATTTACACAGCGTCTGGCCACAAAATTCTTGACTGGACATCCGGCCAAATGTCTTGTCTCCTGGGCCACGGACATCCCGAAATCGTCAAAACCGTCGTCGACCATGCCATGTACCTCGACCATCTCTTCTCTGGAATGGTTTCACCTCCTGTTATTAGCCTGGGAGAGCGTCTTTGCAAGGCTCTCCCCAAAGGCCTGGACAAGACCTTCTTCCTCTCCACCGGCGGTGAGAGCAACGAGGCCGCCATCAAAATGGCAAAGATGTACACTGGAAAATGGGAAATTGTCGGTCTTGGAGCTTCCTGGCACGGGATGACTGCACAAGCTTTGGGAGCTCAATACCACTATGGTCGCAAGGGCCAGGGCCCAACCCTCCCAGGCCAGCTCATGCTTCCCTCTCCCAACGCCTACCGCTCTGAGTTCCGGAAGCCTGATGGCTCTTATGACTGGGAGGCTGAGCTCAACTATGGCTGGCGCATGGTTGACTTGCAGTCCACTGGTAACCTTGCTGCGTGCATCGTGGAGTGCATCCAGAGCTCTGGAGGCATGATTGTTCTGCCTCCGGGGTACCTCAAGGCTATGAAGAAGCACTGTGAAGCAAGAGGCATGCTTCTCATTGTCGACGAAGCTCAGACTGGCGTTGGGCGATGCGGCGACTTCATGGCTATTAATCACGAGGATGTTGTGCCTGATATCCTAACCCTGTCCAAGACATTGGGCAACGGTCTTCCTCTCAGCGCAGTTGTCACCAGCGAAGAGATTGACCGTGTTTGCAACGAAAGAGGCTTCATGTTTTACACCACCCACGTCAACGACCCTCTTCCCGCTGCCGTCGGCGATAAAGTCCTCGAGATTGTGTTCCGAGACAACCTCGTCCAGCACGCCCGAGAAGTAGGCAAAGTCCTCCAAGCTGGCCTCTTGAAGCTAAAATCACGATACGGCTGCATTGGCGATGTCCGCGGCCGCGGCCTCATGGCCGGTGTTGAGATTGTCGCCAACAGAGAAACCAAGGAGCCGGGCCTGGAGCTGGCCAAGAGGGTTGGCGATACGGCGTACAACTTGGGCGTGTGGGCCAACTTGAGCAGTCACCCGAGCTTTGGAGGCACTTTTCGAATTGCACCGCCGATTACTGTGACGGCAGAGCAGATTGAGCAAGGGCTGGCGATGTTGGAGAGGGCGTTTGCGGAGACTGAGGGGACGATGCCGCTGTATTAGCTGGGGAGGCATTGAAGGAAGAATACAATATAAGAGAGGGAAGTTGAGGGAAGGTTGGGTTTAATGTTTATGTATATGATAAGTGTTTTTTCTTATGTTGGCGCATTAATTATGAGCGGTTTGGTATCGAGGGGACTATTAGAGAGATGGAAATATATTCTAGAAGATTACTTGGTAGACTTGTCTTGGGATTATGAAATTGTTCTTTGGAGGTCATTTTGAGTACTACAAGATGTTCACATGGAAAGGGTAAATAGAGCTTCAATTGTACGCCTTTCTTAAGTGCGGCATTGAAAAGAAGAAGGAAGAAAAAAATTCATTAAATCATCTGCTTGACATTCCACATTTCGCAATTCGCTCGTCTTTTCCGTAATTGAACCAAACTTTTCTGCCATTTCGCTTGCTTTTCTTCCATGTATGACATTTAACCAACAAAAAAAACTCCACCCAATTGAAAAAATAATTGCAAAGGTATCAAAAACGCCCGTGAAAAAAAAAATTCGTTGAGTAAAAAGAAATGCTGCCGCCATGATCGCTCGTTCGCTGATGCTGTAACGTTGAAAGTTGAAGAATAACAAAAGGGTATGAGATGTCAAATAATAATATGATGTTGTGTCATTTGGTATCTTTTGTGTCGTATGTGGTTGGAGTATGTTGTTGTTGTAGTGTGGTGCCGGTGAGAATTTTAATTTTTTTTTTATCGTGATGGTAGCTTGAGGTGCGGGCTGAATCGTCGAAAGAGGCCCCGTGTAGCGACCGCAAGCACCATCAGCACCTCCAGGCCCACGATGCTCACCCAGACGGTGTTGAGAAGCTTCTCTTCATAGTCGGAGGCGTAGCCGTTGAAGGTTGAAGTCATGGAGTAGCTGGACATGCCCCGCGCCATGATGGAAAGTTTTTTTGAAGGGTGGATCGTCGATTTTACGCTTGGGATTGAGAGAGAAGAAGAAGAAGAATTAAAGAACAAAAATAAAGTTCTAAACGGAGGCCTTTTTAGTTTCTTTTCAGGTTCCCGTGTGGCTATGAAACATTCCCGCGTCAGAAACAATGAATCAGTTGAGGAGAAGGAATGTGAAGAATTAAATAGAAAAAATCCAGGCTGGCTTGAGACATTATCGCATCACTGCATGCCTGACTTCAGCCCAACCCTCGGATCCCCGCCACGAAAAGGGTTCAGTCACGAGTGCGCAAGGGAAGGGTGGCGGCAAATATCGCATGGAGGGGACTGAAGATGATCTTACCGTTTTTTGTTGCAGATATGAAAAGTAAGAAGGAAAAAAATTGCAAAGTCACTGTGAGCTGATGGTGGTTTATGGCAGCTCGGGCCTCAAGCACAGGGCACTTTGATATCCCGTCTCACAGAGGGACAATGCAAGGACTCGCGGTCAATAAGATCCACGGCTGATCGACATGCAGAAGAGAAAGAAAAAACCGGCCCAGAGGTTTGATATCTCCAGATGCCTTCTGGCGGTCGGGGGTCAGACGTCGAGTCAGTGCTAGTCGATATGCACTCGGGTGGATTCTCTACGAGATGTGCGTCGCGTGAGCCCAGAAAAAAGAGACTGGCTGCGTGTTGCCCTGCTCCTTAGCCCGGTTCTAGCAGAGAACTATTGGCTGGCTACGTGGTTGGAAGAGAAAAAAGACAGGGTCTGTGATAAAGAATGAGGATCGATAAAAAACAAAGGTCAAAAGTTGCGTATAAGAAATGAGTGACGGAGTTGAAGAAGAAGGGAGGGATGTAAAGGAAACGGTGGCTTCTGCCGGATTCTTATGGCTGAGCTGTCCTCTCACCTTGCTTTTTTTGGCTGTTTGTTCCCTTGTTTTTTCAGATTTTGCCGTTTTAATGCCCTTGTCATCGTTGAGACGGGACCCCACGCATGCCACCCTCGTCTATTCCCTCGGGGGCAGTTCTTAGCTAATGAGTTTGTGAGACCGGCGACGAGAAGAATTGGCTGCCGGAGGGGACAACCGGGGGTGGGGCCGATGGCCGGGCAAAGTGAATCATTCTTTTCTGTTGTCTCGCAAGTCCAGCTTTTCTTGTTCCAAAAGGCAGGTGAATGCTATTGAGATCTGTTGGTTTTTATTGTTTGTTTCTGATGTGTGCAAGGGACGCTGCAAGGCAAAAATCAGATTTTCTTTTCCTACTGGCTGGGAACGTGCAGCTCGCCAAGGGCCCAGCTCAGAGACCCCCGCCCCTTATCCCTGCTGCGTCCGTTGGGGGGCACAGGGAAGAGCATCGGGGTCAAGCGATGAAAATGCGGTGACGCCGACTGATGCAAATACTTGCTGCGTCTATTCAGTGCTTTGACAGCGTAGGTTCTGCAAAACGGCAGTGAATGCCGCTGCCATCTTCACTGCATGTCATGTTGAAGACGTTGAACTGGCGGCTGTTTGCTGCGAAAAGAGCCGCTTTCAACGTGTACACACTTTAGTAGAGCCAGAGCTGAGTCAGTCGCGCCACTAGCCGTATGTAGGGCGATGTAATGGCATTATTGGCAGCGTGTAAAAGGCAATTTCCTGGTTAATGGCGGGATCAAGACAATGTCCCATATTATCCAGATTGCAGGCACACCACCTTCTTCATCGGGTCCGCGTAGCAACCCATCAGGCGCTGTCAAGATTATGCATGCGAGATCCAGCCTGCGATCGCACCGAAACTGTAATCCTACGTTGCGTCTTCATGCTTCAATATACATGTTTCGCTTGTTGTTTGGCGTCTCTAATTGCATTATACTGCAAAGACTCGCTTATTGTTGCTACTATCAATCGCCTTGCTCCGTAGCACATCTGCGCGCTAAATAAGTACGTCGTTCCCCGTATGGAGCAATCAGGGATGTGGGACCGGCCTGCAACTTGGACGGTTTGAGCTGATGCTGGTAGATTCATGCTCTTTAAATTTATGTTGATCTGTCGTATGTGAGGTGAGAGAACCACGTATAATATCCTCGACAGTGTATTTTGGTGGAGGTAATCTCAGAAGTCGCGATATACCTGTACGATAAAAATAGATGTACACGTCAATTAATGCGGTAACTTGCCAAATATTGAAGTAATCGGTGAAGCTTTTGATAGTGGCAAGCGGCGATCCAAGTCAATACGCTACCAGTTGTAAGCGACAAGTGAAAGAAGATGTAAGAGAAGGGTGCGATATGGCGTATATTCGTCAAGCAGCCTAGTGTATTGTTCTCAAGCGCAGACTCTACTTTAGCTAGAGGCCGGCTTTGCTATCATAGTTCACCTAAACGTTATACACACGCCGACATGGAAAATCAATGTCATATAAAGCATAGGTATACTAAGATGTGCTAGGTATGTACATGTATGTTTCTTATCGAATACTACACAAATTGAGCAAAACTTCCTACAGACTGCTTCATCTACGCTCCATTTACTTTGACAGCTTTCCGTTTCAGTTTGCTCAGTCGATGATTTGTATGGACTAGGTAAGCATAAGTATGCATTACATCAAGGAACTCATGTATTGTCCTCTTTTATCTTCGTGCTAAATAGTATATGGATGAAAATACATTTATCAGAGTTCTCCTTCTAGGTTCTCAAGCTCTAGGCGAAGCAATTTAAAGCTTTGCGGAAGAGAATTGAGTTTACGCAATACTGAGAAACGCCAGTAGATGGCGACAGTCGCACCCAAAATGGAAACCATCAGAACAGACAATAATCAATACTAGGATATCCAAGTCTGATTGGTTCGCATTGATACGCAGGTGCTAAATGGGCTTAGAAGATTGCCTAGCCAGGAACATGGATTTTGATAGAATGCTCACTCAACGTTTAGACATGCGGCTTGAAGAGAGGCTGATCATGGCTCGTGGCTGAAATATAGCTCCTAGATGACAGTTCTCTCTTTCGCATAATCGGCACCTTGTTTTCACCACAACCTTCTCCCACGAACATCTATTCGCACTGACTCGAGCTTTCACATGTCTGGACCGGATCGAAACGTCATCCACGTCGCGGTGCTGAGCCACGACGAGGTTCTGTGGAGACTTTGGCCAAGATAGCACCGCCACATACCGCATTAGCCTCACCCCTTCTTCATGATGACGTCGCAAAATTGCCCCGCCTACACCCCTCAAACAAGAAGCTTGCCAGGAACTACGATAGCGAGCTTGCGCTGAAGCCACGGTCTGGTCACTCAAACGCGTTATATATCGCCACCCTTCTTTCTCCCTGGATCGCTGTTATTTCCAAAACTCTTTCAAATACCTGATAACCATCTACCATACCTATACAACTCTCCCACCATCACTAAGCTCCTAAAGCCAAAATGACCACCACCGTCCACGTCAAGAACATTGCTGCCGCAACAGGCGACTCTGAAGTCAAGGACTTCTTTAGCTTCTGGTTTGTCTCCCTCTCCTATAACGTCCTAATGTCTAATCGCTGTGGACCAAGCTAACATTTGCACAGCGGCAAAATCACCGATATCAAAGTCACCACTGAGGGCGAGACGAAAAGCGCAGAAGTCACTTTCGAAAAGGAGACTGCCATGAAGACAGCTCTCCTCCTCAACAACACACAGCTCGGCCCCAACCACATCACAGTCGCCAGCGCCACCGGCGATTCTGAAGACGATGGCTCTCACTTCGCTCGACAGGGCAACAACAACGACGAGATTACCCAGGAGATGAAGCCCCGCTCGCGCATCCTTGCCGAGTACCTGGCGCACGGCTACGTCGTTGGCGACGTGGCGCTGCAGCGCGCCATCGAGCTGGACCAGAAGCACGGCATCTCGTCAACATTCCTCAACAAGATTCAGGAAATGGACAAGAAGTATCAGGCCACCGACCGTGCCAGAACCACCGACCAGACCTACGGCATCTCCCAGCGCGCCGGCAGCTTCTTTGGCGGCCTGAGCAGCTACTTTGAAAAGGCCAGCAACACCCCTACTGGCAAGAAGATTGCCCAGTTCTATCTCGAAGGCTCGAGACAGGTGCAGGATATCCACACCGAGGCGCGGCGACTTGCTGATCTGAAGACGGAGGAGCACGGCAGCGCATACAAGGCTGCTGGTTTGGAGAGGGTCTTTGGCAAGGAGGCTGAGAAGCAGAAGGAGACGTCTACTGAGGAGAAGCCTGCCGCTCCTGCTGCTGCGACATCTTCCACTGATGCCAAGAGCGGTTAAGGCAATTAGAGTCAGCTCACCTGTCGTATGGAATGGCTCCTGATGATTTTTTAAGCTGAAATTGTTTGGTCTTATTGTACTGAGTTCAGATGGTGATATGGTTCTACGGTTTCAATTCAACGGGCGTAGGATAGTTTAGCGACGCAAATAGTTGATGCTATGAAATGAAATGCAATTAAATGAAATATTGTACAAATGCCAATCTCTTCTTTATCCTTTTCCCCTCCTTCAACCGGACATTGCCCTAAGAGTTGAGCGGAGTCCCTGCGGGCTGATTAGTAGCAGGTTCTATAGAGTTCGCGCGACCTCAGTTAGATTCACAGTTTCCTTCTCCCTTGGAAAACTTGTGTTCGAGTGCGTCGTCCATTGGTCCTTTGGGGTTCGATGACAGGCACTGCCGATGAAATTTCAATTAAAATCTGCTAATGAACGATGAAATGAAATGTTTAAATGCACTCTTACATCGAGTTGATGGTTAGGATCTATCTCATTTTTTTTGGTAGCATCTGATGCCTTGCCGGATCCGGTGGGATCCTGAAGCTGGCGGCCGGATTGGCGTTCAGGAGGAGGAGACTCGCGACCTTCAGGCATGATGAATTTTGGATTGTTGTTTTGATTGATTGATTGATTGATTTGGGAAAAAAGCTGTTCAAGGAAATTTAGACTTTGCGGCGATGATAGATTTCTTAAGTAGAGCTTTGACTGCTCGTTGCTCTAAAAGAATGGCGTTGACGTCAGCGCCCTTCATCATCGACAAACGATTGCATCATGTTGATGTCGCACAACGGTTCTGATAGTCCGATAAGATAGTGAATTGTATCGATCGATTGAATCAAAAATGGAGCTTTTCCACAGATGGAGGCGTTAATTGGGGCTTAATTGGGGCCTTTTTCTTTGCCTTTTCTACTGCATTATGCCCGATCATCTCGACAGGTCTGCGGCGTACCTGAAACCTTGTTAGCACAGAGAACTGTAGCTATGGTGAGATTGTGCCGCTCCATTGTGCAATTAGGACTTGCAACTTAACAAGTTGGAGATTAACAGAGTTGATAACAATTTGTAGTATCGAGTAGTATTATTCTTTTTCTTAGGTACTGGCAATGCTCAAGCAAACCCTTTATCGGACAACATGTCTCAGTCCGTAGTCAGGAGAGCCTGCTCCATGTTATTAGACAATCTCCTGGGTGAAGACATGCGCTGCTTAGGGGTACTTTGCATCTGAATTAAACACGCACTTCTCTCAACATGCGGAAGAATTTTGTGCTGCACCGCCATGGAGCTCACCCTCCATCAAATTTGTGTACCAGCCGCTTGCAGCACACTGAGCACAGGCACCAAGCCCCCTAAAGCACCGCCAAGCACCTGCCGAGTCGCTGTACTTTAGCGGACTTGTCGGGTACCGTCTTAGTGCCCGCGGCGGCCATTCCCACCATATTCCCACTCACCCCGCACCAAACGCCGGCCAACGGGGGGGCCCTTTCTTCGTCGTACCGCCAAATCCAGATGGATCCCGACATTCTCTTTGTCTCAACCTTGCCTCGTCCAGCTGCGACACACCGCATCTTCAATCTCGTTTTGCCGGTGGCTTTTCTCGCTCCTCTCCTCGCGCCTCTTTGCGCCGCAGCAGCAGCTTGGCCCGTCCCAGCCACCGCCGCCCGGAAGACGCGATCCGACAAACGCATTTACACGAGATTAACTTCCCACCATACTTTCGACTAGGTCACAGAGGACACCATCACAAAAGGGCGTGGCCATACTCTTTGGTACAAGACCAGCAAAGATGCCAGATCTAAACTCCGTGCCTCCTTCGCCTCACGTGCTAGCAAGCGGCACGCATTCTCGTCGCCAGTCGGCCAACCTACAAGCCGCAACGTCGCCGTCTTCGACATCTGTCAACATCCTGCCGTCCAACCAGGCCGCCGTGAACCAGCAGATCCCCTCGCAAGCCTTGCCGTCGCCCGGATTCCCGCCGCAATCGCCCATGAGTCCCCCGGCAGATGCTGCAGTCGGGCCAGGCCCGGGCCCTCTACGACACCCAAGACCGCTGACGGCTTCCGAGCTTCATATGCAGCTGGAAAAGGAGCAGGAGGCAGTGGTAAGGATGAGCCCATGACTGTAGTTGACATGTCTTGGCCTGTGATACCCGTTGCGCGACTATCGACTGACCATCGGCAGGTGAATCGTCTGACCCGTGAACTCTCCATTTTGCGTGCTGCCCACAATGCGTCTGTCGTTTCAAACACGTCCTCGACGTCCAACGCTGCCTCTTCCCATGACCCCATTGTCGAATCTTCGCTTTTGTCTGGCTCTGGCTTCTCGATTCCTACCGCACGCCGCCATCACAGAACCTCTTCTTCCACGTCCCAGACCTTCCCCAGCTTTGTTTCCTCGTACGACGCTCGAGCCCGGCCATCCCACCCCGCATCGCTCTCGCGGCAGAATAGCAGTGCTTCGCGTCGAAGCCAGACAGGATCGCCGGCACCAGCCAGCTCGATAGACCCGTCCAACTATTTCCATCAACAGAGAGTCCCGGCCGCCGCCTCCAACTCCATCATGATGAGCTCTGTCGTGGCTACTCCTGGCAGCTCCATTTTAGGTGACCAGATGAGCCCTGGGTTGATGCCCGCGACGCTGCGATACGAGGAGACGGCATTTTACCGACAAGAGCTGGACAATGCAAAGAAGGAGAACGAGGCGCTCAAGAGACGCATTCGAGAGCTTGAACGAGTCGTCCGTGAGAGGCGATCGAGCGATGCAAGCCGCAATAGAAGTGATAGCGCGAGCACTACAGCTAGCGCCAGCGTGGCCCCGGGTGGTGGCGTCAGTATTGCGGGCCCTCGAGAGAGCATCTACGGCCATGGCCGAGATCGTGAGCGCGCTATGCAAAGCTCGACGAGCCTGGCTGGAGGCGTGAGCATCGGAGTTTCTGATGAAGAGGTCAAGGTTGGCGAGAGCGCTGCTAGTGGCCGATCGGGAAATGATGGCCAGCGGTAATGATCAAAACAAGATCGACTAGACTTACAGTTTTCTTTGTTTGGCAAGCGGATGGGTATGGTATACAAACTTGGGCTCTAATCAACACAAAAGGAAAATACTTATTGGCGTTTGGGGTTATCAGCGAGACTATGAGTTGGTTCTCAAAATTCTTCTTCATTTTGTTGTCTCTCTTGCTTTTTCCTTTTGCTTCGCTTGCAGCTAACCAGCTTCAGCTATTTCTTTTTGTCCCTTTTCTATACAGAAGCAAATTATATAGTTTGGTATAGAGTGAGCGCTTTAGCTTTCACCATCAAAAATTAATGACTTAGGAACCATCGCTCATTAACCAACTTGCTCAACAATGCTCCATTGCTACTAAAACAAGAAGAAGGAAATAAACACCGTGCCATGAAAATGAAGAAATCCAATCATATGTCCTAAATCAAGTACAGACGCACCAAGTTCTTGGTAACCAAAGAGACAGGAAAGAAAGCACCCTCGAGTAGCAAACACCGTCTTCTCACAGGATCTCGATATCGTGGTCGAACTTTTTAGCCCTCTTCCTGCGGAGCTCGAGCAGAGGTATGTCCTCTGAATCCTCGCCAGAGGACTGGTCCTCATCCTGGTTCTTCAGTATCCTTTTCCGCCTAGAAGATGGGCTTGACAAACCCAAGCTCGAATCTTCTGCTTCAGCAGCCCTCTTCCTGCGGAGCTCGAGCAGAGATGTATCCTCTAAAATTTCGCCAGAGACCTCGTCCTCAACCAGGTTCTTCACTGGCCTTTTCCGCCTAGAAGATGGGTTTGACAAGCCCAGGCTTGAATCTTCCACTTCAACTGCGGCGTCGACGCTTGAAGATACGAATAAAGAAGATTCCTGTGCAGAATGCTCAGTTTGTGCTTCGTCGTCTTCATTCTGATCTTGGTTTGCCCGTCTTTCACGTTGTCTCCGTTTCTCATCGCGCATACGACCAATGACGCCCACGAGAACATCTCGGATGGTACATTTCTCCTTGACGGAAATGCTGCATTTGAAGACTGTGCTGTAGGCGCAGCGATATAGATGAGACTCGTGAGTTTTTTCCTCCAGCATCATTTCCGAGGACGCGTATTTATCGGACATGGCGGCGAGCTCAATGGTGAGATTGACGTTTTCGTTTTGCAGAGTCAGGTTCTTTTCGCACAACTGCTCAACTTTTTTTCTTTCCCTGTCGAACTGGCTGTTGAGATTGCTCATGGCAAGTTTCTGCTCTGCTTCAGAGGCTTCGTAATTTGCTACGCACAAGTCGTACTGTTTCTTCAGCTCTGCTTCCACCGAAATCGACTTTGCCTCTGCAAGCTGGCATCTCTGCTCGAGACTCGTCTTGTCTTCATCTCTTTCCTTCGTCATGCGTTCCAAGGCCAGGCTAAGCTCGCGACACTTTTCTTCCAGGCGGCTGCACTTGCGTTGCGCCTCACGCTCTCTCCGCTCTAGATTCTGCACTTGGCGAGATAGGGGGTACTGGTTGGATGGAGAAGGGGCGCGTAGTATCGAGCGAATGGTCTCGTTGCTGGGGGGAGAACTGCCATATCCATCGCTTGGCGATTCGATTGGCGGCGGAGAAGAGAGTTCTGTTGTGTGGTGATCTTCTGGTTCAAGAGTAGCACTGGGACGAAACGTAACTGACGACATGGTTGTTGTTTTTTTTCCGTCTTGCGAGAATAAGCGAATGTGTGAAACTTTTGTTCATGAGAGCATTTTTAGAGGCTTGTTCCTACGCATTGCTCGGATTATTTGACGTAGGGGTGAGTGAGCAAGTGAAGTTGTGACTTTGTCACACTCCAAAAAAGCGAGGTAGAAGTAAATGAAAAGTTGAGCAGAGAATTTTTTTTACAAAAGTATGGGCCATGTAATTTTCGTCTGAACCTTTTTTCTTCTTTTAACAACTAGTTCTGCGGCCTTGGCACAGGTGAATCGAAAGTGAACCACAAGTGAGTAGAGAGGTAGGTCAGGTGCGTGAGTCCAGCGCTTTGCAAATTTTATTCCACCTAAAACGTTCAAAGCCTTGGATATCTCACCAATGTAAAGAAAAAATAAAATGCATAAATTTCTAAATATAGACAATCAATTACAAAAACACTTTGGTTACGGCTCGACGGTTCGGCTGGTCAAAGGCGTGTATATGAATGTCGCCTCTTTGACAGTTACACTGCAGCCCTACAGATTCACTGGCACGCGAGTACACCCAATAGGATCAGTCTTGTTCTTTACACTCCTGTAATCAATGAAAAGCCTAATAAACCTCCTTTTCTTCTATATTCTAGCGGTGAGGTGGACCATTTCAAAGTTCAGCGCGCTTAATGGGAAGAGACGTCTAAGATGAGAAAGAGCATCTATAAGGCTTTGGATTGGCTCTTTAACTTATGATCAAGGATCAAAGTAATACTCTCTTTGTTTTTGTTGCTACGACCCGCTTATAACGCCTACCAGCTCCTCATATACCTTGGCTAATTCCCTCGCCGACGTCTTCCTCTAGAAGGTGGGTGATTGGGTTCAAAGACGGCAGCCAATTGCATGCATTTCTTCAAAGCAGCATGCTCGTTTCGCATATGATGGTCCAACTGCCATAGGTACAACGCCTCCTGGAGGCTGCTGCTGCGCAGGCTTTCAATGTATTGAGAGGTCCAATCCCCAGACTCAGGGTCGTGGCCAAGTTCAAGGACTAGGTTCAAGTAATAGATGTTGTAATCAAAAACAGGCCTGGTCCCCTGGCTAGCACGAGAGAATCTCAGATGCGCTCGGTGCCAAGCCCCACCATCGATGAATACTTTATCCATGTCTTTGAAGAGGGCTTCTATCGTCGCGGCGGCAGAAACAGGCGCCCCGTCGATTACAGAGTACTGGCGAGGCTCTTGAGACTGCGCCTATCGTTTGGCGCGGCCAGAAGTGTTGCGCAGGACAGCAGCAGCGACTACGTTGCCGGGTGCAGATTCATTCACAATGGCCCAACTCTTGATTTGGGGTTTCCATCGTCGATAGCCAAGGGCAGTTCCGGTAAAAGGTGCGGGCATGTCGCCTCTAAGCCCTTTCTTGGAGGACCGCCAAGCGTGCCTCCGGGCGAGCTCCAGAATCTCTGGCCAGGACCCATTAGCGGTCTGAATATCTCCAAGAGCATTGGCCAGCTCATCTTTGTGTCCGCATTGTGAGCCTATTTGGGCCTTTCCAACAAGAGATTTAACAGATCGAGATAGGGCGTCGAATGAACAGGGCCCACTAGGGCGTAGGTCGTTGGGGATAGATTCCCACAGCTCAAGAAGGCTCTCCTGGGGCGTTTTGGTGGCTGCCATTGAGCACACGTTTGTGGTACGTTTGAATGTCGAATTCTGAATGCTCAAAAGGAAGAGCCAGCTGACTATGAACAATTGAGGCATTTTATGACGGATCCTACATTCAGGCTACAATGCGAGGTGCAAGCTGAGACATAACATGGACCAAGACATTGATATACACACCTTTGTAAATTGGCTGCATACGCGCCGCAGAATATGCATGTGCCTTACTTTTCATTCCTAGAGTAAATCAGTTTCTTCGATATCGACATAGTATTATTACAGCGATAGTAAGGTTCAGCAATTATACCACCAAAAACCGCATTCCTATTACTGTAATATCGAGTATCATCTTTACTCTATAGTAAGTTCGTAGAATCGCTTTGATATCAAACTTACAAGGCAGATGGACTTTTCAACGGGTATCTCACGTATTGACAACTTATGTTGTAACAAAATTGTACATTAAACTAAGACTCGGTTATATCAGAGCATTCTCTTACTCAAAACCCGACCATCCATCAACTTCCACATCACAGAGCACCTCAAGCCTCACACACCGACTCTCAATCTGCTTGACGATCCAAAACCACCCCCGTAGGATCTCTCGTCTCTCTATCCCCCCACGTAGCCTCCCACCCGTGATCCGCCAAATACACCTTCCACGCCGCGTCATCGTCCTCCAGCCGGCGGGACACGTCAGGGATGACGAAAAAGGCCACGAGGGCGCCAAGCACCGCAAACGCAGACCCGATGAGAAACGCCACTTGGTTTCCCTTGTCTGGGTTGCTGGCGTATTTGTTGAGGATTGCCGTAAAGACTTGAGTGCCAATGGCGGCACCGGCTTTGCTGCAGGCGCTTATCAAGCCCATCATTTGGCCACGGATGGAGGTGGGGAAGCACTCGGATGCGGTCAGGACAACGGTGCTGTAAAAGTATTGGTTAGCTTTACGTTGAAGGGATAAAGAGAAAGTTGTTTGTATAAGTGACAAGGATAGGGACTCATGTATCAAGCAGCAATAACCATACCTTCCAGGCCCCACCTCACCAAGCGTCAAGAAGATTCCATACATGACTACAAAGAGAGGAAATACAGTCTGAATAGGACCAATGGCCCCTCCAATGATGAATCCAAGTATGGCCTGCAGACTGAACCCGAGCGCCATTGTCTGCCGCCTCCCAATCTTGTCAGACAGATAGCCGCCCAAAAAGGGGCCGGGCACATAGAAGCAGTTGATGAGGACGCCCCATCCAAGAGACTTTACAAGGCTCTGCTCCGCGTTGACTCGGCTGATGATTGTCGAGCTGAATATCCCAAAAGGAATGGAAATCCAATTATACAAGAACCAACTGGCCGCAGACCCAATCAGCGGCCGATAGTACCGCTTCAGCGCCAACCAGTACGGCACTCGCTGCTTTCTCATGGCGGATTTGCGATAGGCTGTAGCAACAGCCATGCGCATCCGAAACCAAAAGATGCCCAGCGGCGGAATCGCCCCCAGCGCAAAGGACGTCCGCCAGACAATGCCATACTTGTCCTCTCTCTGCCCGACGCAAAGCAGCAACAACAGAGGCACCAGCCCGCCCCAGACATAGCCAAGATCAGAAGACAGATCGGCCAGCATGGCAAACATGAAGCCGCGGTGCTTGCGGTACGCGCCGCTCTCGTCGGTAGCTTCGACGGCGCCGGCGCCAGACACGGGATACTCGCCTCCGGCACCGACGCCGGCAACGCCTCGGGCGACGATGAGCATCCATAAAAGGCCGTTTGGAGATGTGCCGTTGGCGGCGGCTGACAAGGCGATTCCGAGGACGAGCAGAATGGTCGTGGCCACGGCGCCGGTCTTGCGGCCGAGCTGGTCGACGATGACGCCGAAGAAGAGCATGCCGATGATCATGCCGATGAGGAAGGCGTTGCTGAGGCGCGAGTAGATGGAGCTGGTCAGGGCGTCGGGGTAGATGACGCCGAGGAGAAGCTCGACGTTGCCTATCACGGCGGCATTACTATGAGTTTCATATCAACATTGAATCTTTATCATAGTGCGAATGGAAGAACAAAGCTTTGTCTTACTAGCCATCTGATCCAATTGCCAAGCCAGAAAAGAGAACCATCAGCCAGACGGAGACTTTGCTGTAGTATTCTTTGGCAGACTCAGCTACACTGCCAGTCTCAACGTCGACGCCATCTTTGCTCTTTTCGACTTGCGTCTCGTCCTTGACCGTTTCTATAGCCTCGGATTTGCCAACAGGTGAAGTTTCTGGCTTTGAAGTTTCGTCTTCTGTTAAATCCACAGCCATGGCGATGATTTGGCAGTAGATGAAGATGAACTGCAAAAATCTAGAATATTTTACGCGGGTTGTACGTTGATCTATACCCACGTGAGGAATGACTTACATGAAGAGGGGTCGGGAAATGGAGGAGTTGCATGCAGGGTTACATGCACTTATCTTTCTTTTTCACCCTATTCCAACTTGCGCACTTTGCTTTCTTCAGTATAACACTCAGATTGAAGGGGCATCTTCGTCAAGATACGCTATCCGGCTAAGTAGCAGAGATCGGCGTAAGAACATGGCTGCTCGCTTGTCGAGATGGCACTTTGGAGTGACATTTCTCATCAAAGCGATGATACTAGCGTTGGCCAAGATAAGCTCTCCGTTTATATTAATCCAGCTCTTGCTCTGATTACTCATGAATTAAACAGTAATCTCCATTCAGAACCGTATTCCTTGGCCATGAAAGCGGCCAACTTCCAGTTCAAACCGGGGGGGGGGGGGGCCGTTATGAATGCTTTCCTAAACAAGTTGGCCGGTCCGTGGCTGCATTCAAAGATGGAACCAATTCCCCGCACTGGTGATCTTTGTTTTCAAGGTAGGATACAGATAACTTATGATAGGGCACCTAATCAAAGTTAATGCGAGCTTTTTCTGTTCGTATTTTAGCAATCGTTGAGCGGCCATTATTCCCGTGCATGATGCCGGCACTCGTGCTAAATTCCCCCCCGCCTATAGAATCCCACATTAAACGGCAATGAATGTTTCAACTTGACCTATCAATACGCAACGCTAAATACACAGGAGCAGGGATACGTCATTTACGATTGGTTCGCAAGATAGCAAGCTATAAGCTGCCAAGTGCAAGCCCAAGTGGGTTCAAGTTCCCCGAGATAATCGTATCTCTATTAGGGAGCTCGCAATCTTTTAGTTCAGACACCAACTCTTGGGCACAGCAAGCCAAGAGATTAAGTATCTTCACGCTGTTTACATAAACTCCCAGATTGGATATGATTCATGTGGAAGACGACGTATCACTGCTGCCTTGTTGATGTCAAGAAATCAATGTAGACATCATGTATCAATACCAGTCCATCAACAGCGAAAAGGGCACAGCGCTGCCAACATCGCCACCGACAATAAAAACACCACAACGCCAGTATTCACCCTCAAGGCCAAGATTCCGCATCTCATTCTTCACAACTCTCTTCTTCCTCGGAACCTTTTCCCTCTATAAAACCTTTCTACCATCATCACTTTGCAGCCACCACCACCACCCAGACGTCGCCAAAGTCCAACGATGCTCCATCACCAACTTCAAATCCGACCTCTCCTTCCTAGACAACGCGCCCCCCATCCAAGCAGACGAATTCCTCCAACGCAGAGACCGTCTCGCACAGGCCCTCGTCCGCAACAAGGTAGACGCCTTTGTACTCGAGCCGGGCTACACGTTCCAGTACTACGGCAACATCTCCCAGGTCGACTGGGAACCATGGGAGCCCGAAGAGCGCCCCTTTCTCATGCTCATCATGCCGCAGATTTCGCCCCATGACGGTAAAGTCTCTGCAAAGACTGCCTTTCTCTCACCTCATTTTGAAGAGGGCCGCGTGCGTATGCTGGGCATCCCGTCTCATGAGGCGGAGCTGGACATTGTCATCTGGGAAGAGCACTGGAACCCATACACGACATTGCTCGAGTCAAGGCTCTTCAAGGACACCGAGTCCCCCACGCTCATGGTAGACGAAGAAATGCGCGACTTCATCGTGCGCGGCCTCGACGCCTACGGCTTCCGCACCGTCGGCCTCACCCCCGAAGCCGAGCTCGTGAGACAGCAAAAGTCGGCCGCCGAAGTCGCGCTGCTCCGGGCCGTCAACACCGGCACCGTGGCCGCCGTGAGGGCCATGCGGCCGTGCCTCGTGCCGGGCCTCACCGAGGACCAAGTCACTTCCATTCTGGACAAGACGCTGCTCTCTGTTGGATTCAGCCTCTTCTTCGACATTGTCCTCTTTGAGGAGCACGGCGCCCTGCCTCATGGCGGGTTCGTCACCGGCGGCAAGAAGCTCACGTATGATTCCATGGTTGTCATTGACGTTGGCGCCCATTATCTCGGTTACTCGTCCGATATATGCCGCAGCTTCCTAATCGATGCGCCACCATCCTCTCTTGGGAAACACGCTGCGGATCCTCTACGAGCTGAAAAGGAAAAAGTCTGGCAAATCGTCTTGGAAGCGCAAACCGCCGCAGCTGGAGCCATGAAGCCGAATAACACTGCTGCCAGTGTTGACATTGCCGCGCGAACAGTCATTGAAGATGCAGGATATGGGTATGGATTCACGCATCGCCTCGGACATGGCATTGGCATTAAAGCACACGAGTCGCCGTACCTGAACAAGTGGAACACGGCTGCGCTCCTGCAGCCCGGGATGACATTTACCAACGAGCCAGGAATTTATCTAGAAGGCAAATTTGGAGTGAGGCATGAAGACATTTATTTGGTGAAAGAGGACGGTGAGGCAGAGCTCCTCACAGGCCAGCGAGCAAGAGGACTGTATAAGCCTTGAAAACAAAAAAAATTGTATAAATTACATGCAAAAGGGGGTATCATTAAACTTTCTGTCTAGATGTTTATACCATACGTTTTCTCTCATCATTTCCATACTTGTTTATATCAGGTGATGCTTTGTCAACAATAATAACAACAGCGCTATGTAACTCTCACATCGTCATCAATGCTTCTGACGATCCTTCATGTAAAGGAAAGCCACTCGCAATCGCAGTACGCGGCAGGTACTGCAGCCACGGCAAGCCATCGCCTTCCAAAATGGGGCTGTGATTCAAACTGCAATCAATATAGACATTGCCATCCAGGTACGTCCAGTTGGACACGTCTGTTGTGCTCTCGGCCACGGATCCCTGGAACGGCGAGGTGCTCAACGCCGCGCAGAACCAGGACATTTGCTGAAACACCTCAATCAGGGTATGCATCCAGGCGCTCACGCTCATCCGGATCCACGAGCCCTCGGCCTCGATGTGAATGAATCTCAGGCCGGGGCAGTGCGCGCCTTTACCGTCGCTGCCGTCCCAGACGTGCATTCCGGAAAAGTCATCGCCTCGCAGGAGTGAGGATGTTGCATTTTTACGTGCCTCCTCTATGCAGCCCAGGATGATGGATCCGCATTTCGGCCACTGCTTCTCAGTGTACTCCGAGACAGTTGTGCAGTTATGCTCGGTAGAGGTGCCTGTTACTACAGGTAACGATCCCAAGCGAAGATGGGAAAGGTCACTCAAGTTTCCCTGCGGATCGAATAGCTGGCACTCGTACTTGAACTGCACAATGTGAAAGCCATCCGATGGTGGAGGACCAGGCCTTCTCAGCACAATATCCCAGATGGCCGACTCAGCAAAGTGGATCTGGACAAAATGCGGAGACAGCAGCACTCTTCTCATCTCACTGATGAGATTCTTGGCAGCATTGCCCGTCGTGATGAGTGTATGAAGCGCACGAGCAATCTCGTCCGGGTTCCCCCCCGGCGACTGATCGGCAAACTCTCGATGCCAGAAGCCACACAGCAGCTGCAGAGCCAGCGGGAGGTCAATGCCCTTGGTGTTGGTCGACCAAGTCACCGGCCTCTTGGACAGACCCGGGCCAAGCTTGTCCAGGATGCATCTGGCCGTCTCGGGGCCATTCAGCACAAGCACGAGCTGGCGGATCGGCCCATCAAACAGCAGGCCGACCTGGCGAGAGAGCTGCGGGCCAGCACCGCCGTGGTCCGGATCGTGGTAGAACAGGAAGAGCTCGTCCCACAGCTGCCGCACAAAGACGGATATGAGGCGGTCGAGCACTCGGTCGAGGTTGACCTGGATCCTGCGGTCCGGGAAGTAGTAGTGGCTGAGCAGCTCGTTGCTCAAGCCGTCGGCCAGGGCCTTGGCAAACGCGGCAACCAGCGCCCCCGCAACCAGGGGTGGCAGCTGGACCTCGATGTTCTTTGCTTGCTGTCTGAAGTTGGTCGGGAACGGTGGTATCGGCGGCTTGATTGGCGCGGCGGGCAGAGGGGGAGCAAAGCCGGTCCCGGGTATCCTAAGGGTTTCAGGACAGCCAGGCGGAGGTGGCATGTCTGGTCATGGCGAGAGGGGAGGATGTGGTGAGGGGATATATAGCGGTGTTGTTCACACGACTCTCTCCATGCAGGTGTGTCTCGTGCATGCGATATATCAAAGAAGCCGTAGGAAGGGATCACCACAGGGATGAGAAGCTGAGGATTTAAGCTTGACCAATCCCCCTTCATATAAGAGAAAGTTGATCCAGAATCCTCTTCCACACAAAAGTCGTGCCCAATGAAATTCCCACTGCCATTTTATTTATAAGATGTGGGTTTTTAAAAAGACGATTGCCATTTTTTAGGGGCCACCTCGAAAAGTGCTGAGCAGGCAATAACAGGCGTTGCGTAGCTGACGTTGCAAGCTTTCGAAAGCATTGCGCGTCCCATTTCCAAACTAAGTAAAAGGCGGCTACCCGCTTGCCACACAAGCTCTGCTATTGTCCTTGCTCTCTATCTTCATACCAGGAACAACAATACGCCGAGACATGCTAATTGAACATTGGAACTTTTTTCAAAAAGGCGAAACGAGGGCCACGACTCATGAGTCCCTTTTTTCTCATTTAATGTAAGCGTACGGAGTATTCGATGGAGCTTTTGTTCCCGCTGTCTGGGATATCGCAAAAAGCTGCGCGTTCTCGGGTAACCACCCGCGCCAAACCAGGCAATCCATTCGAAACCCCAACCCGTGCCCAGAATTACGATGCTTTGATTGAGGCGGGAAAAAAAAAAAAGATAAAAACAACGAATCATCTGCTTGCGAATGCTGACCTGGCAGTCCGAGATGAGACAAAAAAAAAGCGAATGCGAAAACAGTGAATGGGTGGCTGACCCGGCGGTTACGTACTGCGCGGGTCGAGATCCAGCTCGGGTACAAGTCCCATGATAGAATATGATAATGCACCACCTACTTGAGTCAATGATTAGCATGACTAATCCTCTTTTTGGGGGCTATAAATAAAGACTCACTCTTCAATCTATATAATGTTGCTCTTGTCCCCCCTCTTTGGCCTCAAATTCATTTCAAGCCCTCGGTGGGGGGGTTTATTGGGACTGCAGTTCAACGACGATCACCCACAAAAGACTCAGATAATCAACTTTTCTTATCGAAACGAGGCGGCATAGATGCCTGAGGACACTACACAGTATTGATATTACTCTTCATCTCAGTCTCGGGTACAAGAGGCGAAACGGGTTTCGTCTTGGCGCTGTAGAAGTAAGTTCGTGCAGCAGTTGTCTCAAAGCAGTAAGTGCTCCACATATGCTTAACATACGGAGATGGCATCGTCTTCCACAAAACAAGGTATGGCGGAATCTGCAACACGAGAATGAGCATCTTAGGTGATAACAGCACGTTGAATTCCAAATAAAAGTTTGGAGCTTCATACCGCCAAATGCTCATCGGCGGCGCAATTCCCTGCCTCCATTGGACCGTCCCTGGAGATGCGCATCAAAGGCGTCAATGTGGCTGATGCCGTCCTACTATACTTCTGCCGATCGCTCTCCAACCCCGCATCAATCGACACGAGAAGAGGGGAAGCTGGCCTGGCCAAAGAGCTCACTTCAAAGAGTTTACAAGTTGCACATCAAATCTACCTCCAGGGGACGACGAATGCTTACAAGGTATTCAGAAACACACAGCAAGTAGAATCAAAGTGATATCAGGTAAAACCTGGTTAATTGTGAAAAAATTTCAGTTATACATTAAGAGTGCGTACACTCCCTTCAAGAAAGTAATTGCCATAAGAAGCGATGCATCCAGCAATCGCATCATAACCCGACCAACAACATCTAGTTGCAATATCCCGGGCGCCGACTCGCACCGAACTAAGCGAAGCCAAACAAAAAAAGATTCAAGGAACTATTGGAACAGATATTAAGATGGGTGGATGGGTATTTACTCGTCAGCATCCTTGTTCTTCTTCTTCTTCTTGCCACCGCCGCCGCCGCTTGACATGCCCGTTGCAGGCTGGCTTTGCAGGTGAACTTCAAAGTAGTTTTCGCCTTGATCCCATGCGAAACCCTTGAGGTATGGGTTATCCAGCTCATCATCAGCCTGCAGGCAAGTATTGTTAGCCACAACGCCAGATGAGATGTAAAGAGTTCAAGTCTCAAGAGCTTACCCTGTTCTTATTTGCCTTGTGGATGGCTGACAAGGCGTCACCTATTGTCAGGCCCTTCATGTTTCGTGCCACGACCTCCTTGCCATGCGGGAATTTTAATGTTATGCTCTTGATAGGGGGCGCTGTTAGAGGAATCATGAGCAGTTGGTCATTGTCAAGATCCTTTGGCCGTTGATTTATTTTCCTGTCATGTATGTGTTAGTCGATGTTATAATAGAAAAGGTACGATTGATTCCGCAATCGGACAGTGCGAACATACCAAGCCGTTTGCTGTGTCTCCACAGCTAGTTTCAGAGGTGCATGGCTTTCGTCTATTCCACGGTGTAAGCAATTGGTCATAGGCAGCAATTACAATGACGGAACAACTCACTGATTTCGTTGATGGTCATGACACCAGCCGCACTAGAGCTGGTTCTTCGGTGACCCTTCTCTTTGGGCGGTGATGATGACAGGCCTTGGACGGCAGAATCGACCTTTGTGAGAGGTTCAGACATGATAGTTGCGGGATCAGAGGCGATCCGAGAGCTGCGAGTGAATCGTGTGAGAAGCATTGAAACGACGTCACAGGGAAGCAGCAGATGAATTTACCTGTTTTGAGGAATAAGACGAGATGAGATGAAACTGATTGTACTGATGGAGAGAAGAGAGGAAGGAAAGAGGAGAAGGTTGGAGAGAGGGGAAGGAGTGGCTTCATAAAGGCCGGCAGGACCCAGGCGTGCTAGGCGTGCTAGGCACCGTCACACTCGCTTCCGACAGCAGGAGCAGAGCATCGCTGTTGCCCCTTACGCAGCCCGGGCGGGGTAATGCCTTCCTTCTCCCAGACCGGGAATGCGAGCGGATCGCGTGACAATGATACCACTGGCGATGCTGGCTGCGTGCAGGTCACTGTGGTACCCGATTAGGCTTAGCACGGCGACCCTGCACTAAGTCCACCAGAATCCGGGGAAGAATCTGGGGAAGCGCCCCACTGCCCTGCGAGTGCCGGTTGATGGGGGGAAAAAAGACGTTGCGCGAGGGACAAGTGTTGGGAATTGCCGTGCATCGAGTTTCGGCTGATGAAAAAGACGTTTTTTCGCATCCTTTTCCTGCGTTGTTCTGCTGGGCCGTTGCCGTGTGATTGGGGATGCGAATGAGTGATCGGGCATCCAATGTGACTAGAGCGCCCCCTTGCCCCTCACCGGCCGATCTCTCCGGGTGGAGCGGGTACTTGATGGCAGCGCGCCCACTCCGCCCGATCCAAGGTATCCGGTACCTCTGAGCCTTTTGCGACGTCTCGAAAACAAGTGACGTACTCGCCCTCCATCCCGTATCTCCCGTCCAATGACATTGGCCGACCTCCCCAACCGCGTCGTTTCCGGACTGTGCTGCAGCACCCATTTACTACTCGTCTAGGCTTAGGTGAGCAATGACCTGATGAGTGGCTTGTCTGAGGTCGGGGGGACAGACCAGTTGCGTGCCAACCGAACGCAAGCATCGTTTTACTCCGCACCGGCTGAAGAGGAGGAGAACGAGTCTCGTGGTCGGGCGCTGGAGCACGCAAGCCAAAAGCCTCGCCACCCAGCAACTGATATCTACCCAACTCTTCTCGCCCATCTTCCCATCGTGCAAGAACTGCGCATCGTTTTGAATCCCAAATCAAGCGTGTATCGAATGAATAGTCCCTCCCACACGACCAACCTTCTCGTACGGACGGCCCCGTAATAGACAATGGCTCTACTGCGGGACTCTCGGGCTGTACACCGAGCCCCGCTGTGGGCCTCATAGCACGATGCATCGCGTGTTTTGCCGCCAGAGGTCAGCACACGTACAGGCCACGGGTGAGGAAGCGCCGCTCCATTGAGCCGAAACAAGAGAGGATATAACTCGAGCCCATCGTCATGGCGACCAGTGCCTCGATTCGGATGGCAAACTCGATTGAAAGAGACCACCGCAAGATGAAACCGCGCACGCATGACTGCCCCCCTGCGATTCGATTTCGAGAGGCACTCCGAAACTCGCAGTTGTCGTTCCGAGAATCGTTAAACACTATAGACCACGCGCATGATTATCCTCATAGCATGATTAGATAGACGCAAGGGGCGAAGATGGGGAAAACCCGGACCTTCCTCTACTGCTTATTCTCTCCCAGTACGCATACCTGACCAGTATAGCATACTAATGTTTGAAGTGATACAAACCGCCATATACCAATTATCCCGATGACGACTCATTGCTACTTTCGAATTCAAACCGTGATTATGCCGTTATGCTCTGCGATAGCACCCCAGCCCGCTCGTGAACTATTCGGCGACTGCATCCCGCGATTTCTTCGTGCTTACCGACATGAACCAAGCATCAGCTACCCTGTAACCTTGCAACATGGCCACCGCACAACGTTTTTCGGTCGACGAAACACAATACCGAACCCTTCCGAATAGCCTCATTTACTCGTCTTTATCTGCGCTAATTTCGTCATCAAATTGTCTCTGTCGTGTTTTTCGTGAACTGGCAATATCATGCATGAATGGATCCCCAAGGTGGAGGTCGGCGATGTCCTGGCGGTCCACAGCACGCCTGCGACATGAGTGGATTACTATGTTCATATGATTGATTAATAGCCTAGACATTGCCCCGACGACGCAAGAGCCGCAGACTGTAGTCGATTCTAGGCCTTTCGCAACTCCATCACCTGCTCTCGACGATGTCTTGTGACAAACAAAGGAGTTTCCCTTACCTCGAATTAAGAGACCTTACGAGAAGACGACATCCGATCAATGAACATACACGAGCCTTGACTACAAACTTGGGAGCCTTATGAACAACAACACGTCTTATCAACGGGAATTGAACAATATGGAGGAACAAAATCACGATACTGCTGCATTCTACTTACCATAGTACTTGCACCCCACTTCGCAATACCTTGAGATCCTGCCGATGCGCCATGTCGACCTCTTACACGAAAAGAGCCCTCCCATTTCGCGAAATCCTTCCCTAAAGATGCTTCACGCGAAGATCGAAGATATGCGTTCAACTAAATCGATAAATCTGCACTTTATTTGCTTCTAGCAAACGCCGTATGATACCCCAAAGTATTGTTATTCGACCTTACTCTTACATGACTGCCTGCGAAAAGAAGTCGCTAACAATGCTGTGTCGCGGCTATATCATAGACTACATGTACCGGCCAATTCCCGATATGAATGAGATTTCCCACCGCTTCTACGTCTGGAAAGATTGATTTCGACAATAATCATTTCTCACGAGCGCTTCGTCCTAAATCTTTTCCCTTTTCTCTTTCCTAACCACGGTGAACCTCAAAATTTACACTGGCATCTCCCTCTACGATAACGTGTGAATTGCACATGCACCTTTCTTCCACCACGAAATTGCCTAATATTCATCCCGCGGCCCAGCGAACGAAGTCGAGATATACAAAACCTGCTACTTTTGTCAAAAGCGCTCTTTTTCATTCCGCTATTTACAATCATTATTATGTATCCTTTCACCACATTTATGCCATTAACAACAGCGAGGGAATACTCTGTGTTGGGTTGGATATTAATCCTCAAGGTCGAATAAGACGGAAGACGCTCACAGTACGCATGCTCGAAGCACCACTACGCATAGAACCGCCCCGCGGCCGGCGGTAACAAGGCGCAATCATGGGAATAAACCACAAGTTGGAAAGGGCAAGGTAAATGGAGATTTGGATATAATATGCTCATGCACTCTATGGCAAGAAGCTAATTGCTGCAAAGGCACGTCAAGGAAAGGACACAAAAGGGAATCGATGCAATGTATCGCTCATCGATATGTTGGCAGTGTGGTGAGTCGCCAAGCCCTTTTCTATGCCCCGCCTGTCCATTTACAAGGGAATCCTCACTCAACATCAATTTTAGGAATGGAATCAAAGGCGTTGGAAGCAGTAAGAGTGAGGCAGCTAAAGGGACCAATATTTCCACTACTTCTTGCCTGACCTTCTGAACAGGAGGAAACGGCGTCGAACCCGACCGACAAAGCGACGATGGTATCTGTGTGCGGGCTTTGCTATGGGAAGGTGGATAATTCATGTCGGAATTGTGCAACCGAATGAATGGGAGTGAAAAGGGACGGTAGTGTATGGAACAGAGGTTTACAGAAAAATGGATGAGCTTCAACACTGGCGGCATCTCAAGCACCAGCTACAGTAGAAGCCAAACAAACAGCATGTTTTCGGTGAAAGCGGAGAAACAATGTAACAAGTCCCATGCATGAGACGAACTGCTCAGACTTGATTCGCCCAGCACTGGTCGCGTAGCTGTTCCCGGCGTCCGGTTACAGTGCTAATGCAGAGGCGGTAGCAGCTAGTCTATTTAAAACGGGCGGTGGGAACACCTTGGCCCAAACATGGCGCAACACATTTCATCAACTACGCGACAGAGCATCGCAAATGTCTCTCTGTATGCACCGCGCTGTAATTGCCGTTTCGTATAAACACGGCCGAAGCTGTGCCATCTACCAATCCGGAGAGGACAATGGGCAGGTCGCGTTGGCACGAACCCGTGCTATTGGTTAAGCAGCACGCCCATCAAATGCGTATGCACGGCGAATGCAACACAAGGAAAGGTCTAGACAACTGCGCTGGACCTCTTAGGAGGCGCCATGTCATTGCAATATATGTACTGGCTGTCTTGTGCAGCGCGTAAAATGCTACATCGCGTATATGCGTGCATCCCCAACAATTAAAATTCGCAGCCTGAGGCCGACCAGCATTTGCCATTCTGCCTATATATAAACGAGAGGAAGCAGCACTCTGTGACTTTGACAACTTTTGATTCTGTACAACATCAGCATACATCTATTCAGCAGCCATTTGGGCAACTCAGCAGAATATGAAACCCCGGACAAACTTGCGTCGGTGCAGTGATTGGAATGTTGGTTCCCATCAAGGCATCGCCTCAAGTTTTGTCCGTGGTTTCATATGTTGCTGATTAGACAAATGGCTACTGAATAGATGGAAATATATCTCGAAAATGTAACCTTTTTCTACGCCAAAGTGGTTAGTTTGATCTCATAGGGCTGCCACCCACACACCGCAGTGGATCACGTAGTTAATTGTACCTTTCACAGTAAACGCCAACTCGCCAATACAGCTGGATTCCTACCGAGGCTGACTGCTGGTTTTGAAACGCGGCCTTGACCTCCTTGTTCCTCGCATCTTTGGACGAGGTGTTTGACCGTTAAAATATCAAGGGCCGTAAAAGTAAGGACGAGATGGAGCCAATGGGAAGGAGAGTCGCTAGTTATAGACATGTACTGGTTTAGATTTGTCAAGTTGGAAATGGGTTGCAATGTCTGTATATACATGTACCTAATCCTTAGTCAGGCACATAATACTGCACAATGTAGTTCAACACCTAAATTGAACTCGCACAAACCTTCATTCCGATGAAACCAATCTCACAAGCTCGTAGTCTATTAAAAGACCTGATACGTCAAAACGGACAATAACCTCGCTGAGCTAAGCCGGGGCTGCTCTCGGCTTTAGCCAGCCCGCCGCTCTCGACGGAACCGTTCCGGATATGGAGACGCGGGGGAAGAGCGGGGGTTTTGTTCGATTATTGACGGGAGCAGAGAGGACACAAACAACCGTGCATTGGAGAGTATATCACACTCGTCTTGTTGTAGGCATACTTTTGTCACGCATCTTTTAATGCCACCAAGATCCGACAGAAACCGTCGGACTCGGGGCGGAATCGGAACCGGAACGCCCAACCGTGGCGCAAAGCTCCCAGACAAGCTTCATTGCTCAAAGGCAGAGACATCGCCATCAGATACTAAGCAGAATATGCCGACGTTGTGTAAGTTCGGCAGTGGTGGTGTCTAGTCTTTTAGCTCTTTTTTTTTTTCGTATCTAGTTCGTCTGATATAAATGATACTTGAACCCAATCCTTCTCCTCCTGGCTGTCTTGGTGAATTGCTTGAATCCAACAGACGCTGAATACAACATTGTTTCGTCATCATGCCTGCGACAGTGTTTGCTACAAAGGAGCTGTACAAGTACCAGAATGGATTCGACAACCACTTAGAGTATGTTCTTCTGCCTTGCGAACAGGGAATGAAGCTCCAAACTAATCGCCAACTCCCAGATCCGAAGCCGTCCAAGGCGCCCTCCCCATCGCCCAAAACTCCCCCCAAAGCCCCCCCTACGGCCTCTACGCCGAGAAGCTCTCGGGAACCGCCTTCACGGCCCCCCGCCACGACAACAAGCAGACCTGGCTGTATCGCATCCTGCCGTCCTGCGCCCATCCGCCCTACCAGCCGTCGGCCGAGCCGTCCCGCGCCGCGCAGGAGGGCGCCGACACCTCCAAGCTGCGCTACATCCCCAACCAGCTGCGATGGGACCCCTTTGACCACAACGAGGCGCGCGACCTGGACTTTGTGTCGGGCATGCGGCTCGTGGCCGGCGCGGGCGACGCCACGCAGAAGCAAGGCCTGGGGATGCTTGTTTATGCCGCCGGGAAGAGCATGCCCGCCAACTCGGCCTTTTACTCGGCCGACGGCGACCTGCTGATTGTCCCTCAGGAGGGCGATCTCAACATCCGCACCGAGTTCGGCTGGCTGCTGGTGCGGCCCATGGAGATTGCCGTCATCCCGCGCGGCGTCAAGTACCAGGTGAGCATCTCGGGCCCGGCCAGAGGCTACGCGCTGGAGCTGTACCAGGGCCACTTCGTGCTGCCCGAGCTGGGCCCCATCGGCTCCAACGGGCTCGCCAACGCGCGCGACTTCCAGGCGCCCGTGGCTCACTTCAGCGAGGACTTTGGCGCAACCGCCTCCGAGGGCAGCAACGCCTTCGCCGTCACCGTCAAGATGAACAACTCGCTGTTCGAGACGCGCCAGGCGCACACGCCCTTTGACGTCGTCGCCTGGCACGGCAACTACTACCCCTACAAGTACGACCTGGGCCGCTTCAACACCATCGGCACAATCTCCTACGACCACCCGGACCCGTCCATCTTCACGGTGCTCTCGGCCCCGTCGCCCGTCGCGGGCACCGCCGTCGCCGACTTTGTCATCTTCCCGCCGCGCTGGCTCGTCGGCGAGGACACCTTCCGCCCGCCCTGGTACCACCGCAACACCATGAGCGAGTTCATGGGCCTCATCTGCGGCGGCTACGACGCCAAGCGCGGCGGCGCGGGCGGCTTCGTGCCCGGCGGCGCCAGCCTGCACAACGTCATGAGCGGCCACGGCCCGGACGCCGAGAGCTACGAGGGCGCGCGCAATGCCCAGCTGGCGCCGGTCAAAGTTGGCGCCGGCAGCTGTGCCTTCATGTTTGAGAGCAGCCTCATGGTGGGCGTCACTGAATGGGGGCTGCGGACGTGCAAGAAGGTCCAGGAGGGATATAGCGAGGAGAGCTGGGGCGGAGTCAAGGCGCACTGGGCGAAGCCGGCTGATAAGGAGGTGAGAAGCCACCTCGCCGACTAAAGGGGGGGAGAAGAAGGGGAAAAAAGAACAAGTAAAAGAAGCATAACAAGAAGAGACTTTATCATTCGAGCAGCGTTGAATGTATGGCTTGAGGGGGATGACGAGCACAAGTGTTTATATACTATTTGGTAGGTTCTGTAGGATATTAGCGATCACTAGAATGAGATAAATTGACATTATGAACAAGCATGATGATTCTTTGGATTGCATAGCTTTCACCTTTAGATTTCTATGAGGATGTCCCTTAGAGTGTTTAAACAAGATAATATATACCACTTAACATCTCAAAGAAGACTCGCCCATGGACAACGCCGCCTACATGTGTAGCTCTAACATGAGACCTGAATATAACAAACCGCCGGCCTCCCTAATCAATATCGAGTCCGAATTGTCCTTCCAACGCCAATACGTTACAGCTCCTCCAAAATCGTACACAATCGCCTTCACCTATAATTTCAACCCGGCAACATCTCAGCTTGAGAGATGGTCCTCCGTTCTTTTCCTCTCACCTTCTACTCGTCCTTGTCCTTGTCCTCACCCTCTTCCTCCTCACCATCCTCCTCCAAAGCCCAGTCCTTCCACCCCTCGCCCCGCAGCCAGCTAATACCCTTACGCCACTGACCCTCCCGAATAGCCCTGGCATCGCGTTCGTACACGACACCCGAAATCGCCAGCGCAAGGACAAACACCCACACATCCCCGCCCTTCATCGCCTTCCACCAGCGGCGCTTCACGCCAACCTTCCACAGGCTGTCGACGCTGGCCCGCGCAGAGTACAAGAACACGCTGCGGCCGTGGCGACGCTCCACCCAAGCCCACATGCCCGCGAAGAAGCCCCCGAGGAAGATGCGTTGGGTGGCAAGAACATGGCGGGGGAGATATTGCTGGAAAAAGCAAAGAGATGCCCATGCCGTGGAGATGGCTCCGGTAGCAAAGGTCGAGAGGCGCAGCACCTGAGATATCATCCGCTGAATGGTGGAAAAGGGAAAGTTGTACAAGTTGCGAAACTTGGGGACAATGGTCAAGGCGGAGTAAAAGATGAGGAAGAAGCGAGTCATGGTTGGGAAGGAATTGAGCCAAAAGGTCAGGTATGTTCGTAGACAAGATGGGTCGGTTGGGTGAAGAGTTGCACAGGAGAGAGAGGTAATAAGTGGATGAGCCTGTGAACTTAGCGGCGATACGCCAGCAAGTGAAGGTGGAAGGACTTCTTTGTTGGGGAACAAGATGGGAGATATGTTGGGTCTAGATATGTTTAGTTCAGAGGGACACAAATAGAGATCAGGAAGATTCCACTTACGGCCAGTTGAGTCGAGCCATCTCTGCAATATTCTCCAATATCTGCGAAGCGCCTGGCCATTTGAGGGCCGTAGGATAGTTTTCTGGCCGCGGAGGCAGGTATGTGGCGGAATGCTTGAAGATCCAGTCTCCAAAGGACTAATCAATCGTCAGTATCAACGCACGGGATCATCAGTCACAGGGGAGGAAGAAGCATAGCATACAGTTGGAAAGCAGTCCGGGTCAAAAACAGCAGCATGGAGCAACTGTCCAAATGCAAACGGCTGCAGCATCCAGCTACCAAACCACCAAGGCCGCTCTCGATTCTTGCCATTCCTGATGCCCCAGATCATGCCCTCCTTCTCGCACACATTCCAGCCAAACTCGAGAGCGCGGAACATGGCATAGATGCCGATACTGACTCGCATCTGCGACGACGGATAGGCGCCGAGAGCCAGACCCGCAAGCGAGGCTCCAATGGCCGGCGCAAATGGCGATGTCAGCGTTGCCGACGTCCGTGGGTTGCGCAGCCGGAAGGGCTCTGCCTGCGGATCCAAGAGATGGGCACGCAGTCTGGTGAGGAATCGGAACAGAACACGGTAGAGGAACAAGATTGTCGAGAGCGAGATGGACAGCCTCAGCGCTGGAGACTTGTAAAACGGCTTCTTCTGGCCACTGCCGCCTGGTCTGGACGGGATTCGGTCAGTAACATCTTCACGCTACCAGCCCAAAAGGAAGAGACTCACTCCTTATTCCCAAGCCTCCTCATGATTGCGTCCCACGCCTTCATACCTATCCACGTCGCCGTAAACACGCGCAGCGAATGCCGCACCGCCTTGGCATTGTAGTCGTCGCCTCCCTTCCTCGGCTGCAGCGCCTTCTCCACGCTGCTTGGGCTGGGCGCTGCGCGGCGGAGCGCCCGCGACTTGGAGAGCACGTATCTGTGCAGGGCCGCATATTCGCGCGGCGAGATGGTGTATCGCAGGGCATTGCGCAGAACCGGATCTGGCCCGGCGGAAGAGCCGGTGGTGGACGCGACAGCCTTTCCGCCAGGAGACGGCGGCGCTGGCGATGGTGACGATGATGCCATTGGGGGCCGAGTATTCGTCGACGTCGTGGTGGCTGTAAAATGTCGGTCGTAGCCTGGCAGCAGCTGGAGCTCGGGAGCTGGAGCCGGGTGTGTAGCGAAATCGCCAGAGGCAAGTTACATCCGTAAAGATGGATGCCCTTGACCACGAGTCTGTGGCGCAACCGCCGACAAAAAAGATGTTGATGTTGCTGCCCAAGGGCGCGGTGCAAAGGGGCAGCGGAGCAGCAGCTGCGCGTAATCTCTGGCTCCCTGTATCTCGCTCTGTTCGTCTGGCGTATCCCCCAGAGAACAGCCCAGGATGAGGCTATCGCCAAGCCAGCTTCTCGAATCGAGATGGACAAAAAGTTACAGAAGCCCGCCTGTGCATTTACTGGAGCGAATGGAATGCTGGGGGAGGCGCCGGAAAGAGCCTCGGCAGCGCGGCAACATGTGGACGTCACAGCCAGTGTACCTGCACGGGGTACCGCTACCTTTGAGTCTTAGTGGTGGGGTTCCCCAGTATTTGATGACTTTGCGACTAAGACGGCCTCGATGGCGCCAACACTTTTCAATAGTCGCTATTTCGTAGTAAAAGTGAAGGGGAATGGCGATTAATGGGTGTCTTCTTCCAATTTGACGAGGCAAATAAGTACACTTGTTGTATCACCAACCTCAACCTACTAGTATAAGAAAACCACAGCACACCCAATACCACAAATAGGAGTCGCGGACATCGTTACTGCATTTAGGGCTATTATTCGTATGCTTCAGGGAGTTTGGACCCCCCTTGGATATATCTTACAAACACATCACGTATTCGTCTTTATCAAAGATCAAGAGAGGCCATGTCTAATATATCCTCACATGTCTAAACTACCTATTATAAACTACCTGCTATCGCAATCAAGATACGAACCAAACCACCAGCCTTTTTGTCCATCCCTTCCAGCCATTTGCTCTTGTATCAAGCAAGCAGTCGCAACAGCGCAATATCCATTCCGCATTATCTGGCCACTTCTTTGAGAAGTAGCTACTTTTTTAATCATCAATGTTCGTCATATGCCTCTGATTGAAGGCAGCCTGTTGTTTTCTTTTTAATACCAATATCCCATTTCGCCCATGCCTTTTCCAGTTCTGCACTCCCAGTTGAATCCCCCCCGTCACACCTGTTTTCCTCCCACAAGACGGTTCAAAGAGGGCACCTCTGATAAATGACCACTTTTGGAGAGGCACTCCTAATCCTCACCTCCGCAACCCACCTAAAAAGGCAGCTTTTCCACAAAAACAAAAATAACCTGTCGGTAATCTTAATGTTGCAATGAAAGCACCAATGCACGCCAATGTTCAAAAACAAAAGGAGAAAACGGGTTTGGCGCCCTTTGCAATGCAAAAGGTCAAACCGAAAAACTTTTTTTAGAGAGCTATAACGCCAAATGCTCAATGGGATTCGTCAACTCGTTGAGAGACTCATGGTTAGTCATTAATCTAACTCAACGACTTCATGGATACTCAGGAATGTTGGACATGGGGCCACTCTGGAGGCCAACCAGGGGAACCCACTTGCGAGCCAAGGTAGGTCCATCCGGATTGCCATATGGTAGAAGCTCTTCCTGCCATCCAAGGGCAGTCCACCAGCCAAGGTCCCTTGGTTCGGGGCTACAGAGGCCCTGTCGGATCGGCTCTGCTTCGGGGACTTCTCCGGACACAACGGCTTCCAAGACTCGACGGCGACGCGATTCACGCTCCTCAACTGCAATCTTAATGATACGATAGCGAGACTCGGCATTTGCCCAGCCGTTTACGTTACCGGACCCGGAGGATTCCAAGATTCTCTTCAGCTGGCGGAATGGGATTTCCAAGAGGATTCTGGACAGAATCGACACCGAGATTGGCTGCGCGGCCCGGGCGGCCCTGGGAGTGTTTGCCTCGGCCATGTTCTTTCCTTCAGAGAAGGATAAATCACCAAACTGGATACCGTTGATCTTTTGAGGGCGACGTCCCTTTCCAAGTTGGACGTGGGACCCTTCGGTAGGCGCCGAGAGCGTCTCTCTGTCGCCGGAAGAGCCCTTGGTCAGCGGCGGTGGGTTGATCGGAAACCTGCTGTAAGGTGCAAGTTCCACAGCTTCGGTATCAAAGTTGAAGTGAGAGGGGAAATTGTGAACGATAAAGGTGACAATGGCACTGAGGAGAACCGGAGACCCACTCTCGTACTTGTAGACGTCATGAGAGCCCTTGTCTTGGTATCCGTCCAGTGCAAACTCCAACACTGTTTCCAAAGTCTCCCAGCTCAGGAGATGGGTAGCAATCTCACAGCCGCGTCTAACAACAGAGGGCCAAGCGAGTAATTGGCCGGCAGCAGCGTACGAGATGGCAAAACCAATCTGTTCATTGATTGATCCAGCGGCAATCACGTCACCTGGTTCCATACCCACGCGTTGAGGAGGAGGCGGGGGAGCTTGGAATCGTGGTAGCCCGTACAGACGCTGAACAGCCATGTAAAAGGAATCTGAGCGGATCCATTTACTGCCTGTCTCAATGAGAATCGTTTGCAGAGATCTGTCGTTGGGGGACGATTGAAAAGCTTGAGTCTGCAGGAGATTGAAGAGATGGGAGCTGCGGGCGAATATGAGTTTATGGCCAGGGATCCGCACAGGCGCAGCCCTGTCGTCCGTGTACCGGAGCTCCAAAGTGCAATCGGCAAATTCAGGCGAGGCAAATTGCTGCTGCAAGTAGCCCAAAAGTCCATCGGCATCGTCACCCTGTGCCATATGGGGAGGCAGGCCGTGGTTGGGCATCATTTGGGAATAATCCGGTGGCCTGAACGCCCTCCCCGGTTGATTTTGAGCTTGAGCCTCGTCGCCCGGCCCAGCAGCGCCATTGGGTAGAGGTGCAGGTCGATACTGGTTATACATGGGAGCTTCTTCAGCGTGAGCCGAGGACTGGGAGTCATGGAAGCTGAGCGGCGTTGACTGGCCCATCGCATTGCCGTACTGGTGGTACGACTCCATTGGCGCATAGGCAATCGGCCGGCCATAGCCTTCAAAGTTGGCAACAGGCATCATGTCAGTCATATATGGCATCATTGGCGGGAATCCACCTCCATTGTGAGGCATCATGGGATGCGGACGTCCGTCAGGCATGGGCATACCAGGAGGTGGAACAATACCCCCAGAGTGAGGTGGAGCCGGCGAGGAGCTTTGAGAGTCGTGATACACTCCGAAGTGAATACTGCCGTTGCTGGGGTGAGCTTGGTGCATATGAAGGGGGCCATTTGGCAAAGGATGCCTGGGGCCACGAGACAAATCCCCGTTCGCTGCGATGCCCATTGAAGGGTGGGCCGGTTGGAAAGGTGGCGGCATCTGGTACCGAGTGGGAGACACCGGTGGAGGAGGCTGAGAGGAAACAAGCTTCACCGGGGGGTACTGGGCTACGAGAGAGCATGATGATCAGTTTTCAAGCTCAATAGGCTGGAATACGACAAGAGTAAAGCTTACCCGGGTTGTGCCTGGCTTCGCCCTGGGCTGGGGCCATCGCTGGATCGTGATGCTGGACCTGTAGCTCAGAAGAGATTTCTTGAGCAGTTGGAGCAGCTGGAGCTCCTAGATTTGGTGGCTGCACGGCGTAGTTGGTCGAAGGTCCGCCTTGACCAGCAACGTGGTCTGCAGTGGCGCCGGGCTTGTTGACAGCAGCGGGGGGAACTTGCTTGGACGTGTCGATAGCTATAACTCCAACATTAGCCGACAGGTCTTTGCCAAGCATACCGCAGAGGGAGCGAGCAGAAGGATGTTATGCCACGATGCAGTCGCCTTCTCATTCTCGTCCATGGAGCATTAATCATGCGGACAACTTACCCTCAGCGCTCTGAGAGCTTAGATCCGTCTGGGTGGCAGATTTGCCCTCCTGGCTGCTGCTGTCTGGCAGCGACTCGCTGGCATGGACCGAGTTTGCGATCAGGGTGGGCGAGGAAGATTGGTTCGCGTCGTTGGCCTGCACGCCAAGAGTGCCGTTGCGAGGACTTGCTGTATCCTCTGGCTTGGTGTTGAGCGAGGGCAGGGCAGTCACGGGAGCTGCTGCCGCTGCCGCTGCTGCTGCGGCCGCAGCCTGGCGTTTGACATAGGGCAGAGGAATCGCAGGCGTCACGGGCTTGGGCACGGGCTTGCTGGACACGACAGCAGGCCTGCGAGCCTTGGCCGCTTTGCTGGACGGGGCCATGGTGGCGGTCGAAGGGCCAGCACGTCGAATCTGTTGATGGGTCGCAGGGCGAGGCGGAAGTGGGCTGAGAGCCTGGAGCCTCGTTCTAAAATCCGCAGGTCGGCGAGGGGCAGGGTCGGCCCTGGATTTCCAATCGCCCGCGCGCCAGACCTGGAAGACAACTCTGGAGGCTTCGGCAAAGAGGCATGAGTCCCGTCATGGGAGACTGCGCTGGTCAATGCCAGAAATCGTCGCCGTGGGCGAGAGGCAGAAGCAGCGCTGGCGTCGGTGGCAGTGGATGGGAGGAAAGAAGGCGGCTGAAAGAGGAGTTTGTTATGTAACAAGGCCTTTCAGTGATGACACTAAATCGGACATGCATCAAAGAGCACTGAATTTTTTTTTCCTCCCTCCCCGCAGAGGCTGCACCTCATACGCGCGCACCAGCCGCTACGACTAATACTGGGTGAGACAGCCGCTGCTAGGCATCTGGACGCGGGTGAATTTCGGGTTCAGCCTGCATGCTGCTTGATGTTACAAAATACTAGTAGTATATGCAGTATGACTGTGTGTTTACAAATTGCCTCTTTTCTGCTGTGAATCGGTGGATAGCATGCATGTTGCGGCGAAGGCGAGCTGACACGCAAAAACACCACCAGTGAATCACTCACTGATCTGATCCAGTAGAGATCAAAGTGCCTAAGCAAGGACTAGTCACACCCCCTCTGGGTATGGAGTTGATGCAATGCATGCCTGATTTACTTTAGGTGATGGTAGATCATGCCGTAAATCATAAATTGGCTGGAGACAGGCAGATGTTGCATTGTCCTCGCCTGCAGCTCAGCAACTAATGCTGTTGCTGCTGATCCTTCTAGTTGAACATGGGTTGGCGATGGAATAGAGAAATAAAGTCAAAGTCCACAGCACAATCCTTAAACACGTCTCTTTATACCTAGAAAGATATCTGCAATCTGGAAAAAAATATAAAATAAATTCAATTACTACTAATTTCCCAATCGCAACCTAAAACGCCATTCTTTAAACTGCCGATGGCGGTCTCATGTATTACCTGTATAACCCGCGCCGAACCCGCGCTGAATCATGGAGGATATCTTCTGATACTCCAAATTTCCAAACCCTAGAGAGTTATGCCAAGGTTTCGTTGCCACTCACCAGCCTCGCAATGAGTACGTAGATGAATATCGCTGCACCAGCGACCAGTAACTTGTTCCGAAAGAGCCAGCCTCGCCCGGCGTCTCGCTGCTGGACGACAGCATCTACCACAGCCTGGGCCTGGTTACCGCTAGATCCGGCAATGCCCAGCTGTGGTCCGCAAGAGGAACCATTGTCACCGTCGGGTTTTGCGCCAGTGGCTGCGTCTATCTTGTGTTTCCTCATCCACTCCCAGTTCTCAGCGTCCACCTCTGGCCACTCTGAGCGGAACTTGGCGCCTCCATCACCGGCCTTGACGTTGCCCTTTGTAGCGTAATTTCCCTTTGCTTGTGACCCGCCGCCGGTAGAATTCCACCATCGCGATCGTGAAGCAAGGAATTTCCGCTCAGCGCTAGATGTCGAGACAGAGCCGGTAGTCATCTCATCACTGGTCATGAACGATAAAAGGCCGATCAAGATGGTCGAGACTTCCCATGCTGGATTGAAAGATTTTGGGTGGAAATCGGATATAGAAAGGCAAAGTCTGGTCGATGGCTGGAATCGCCCCGATGGGGTATGCATACGAATCGCAGGAGGCGCAAACGGGTAGTTCGGAGGGAAGACGAGTGTTCCCCAATACTGTCCTCCGTGGTAGGGAGTGTCTTCAGGGCCGGTAATTATATAATGCCATCTGCGCTTCAGTGTCAGAATCGGTTCGGAATCCGCAAAAATAAGGAGCGACATACTCGAGGATATTGGCTTCGGAAGGATGGGCGGTGATATAAGGAGGAGGGTTCTCGGAAATGGTCTTGTACTCTCGCGTTAACTGGACCCGACTGTTAGCGTACACAATTTAACCATGATTCTTGGCTTGGGTAAATGACAAACCCGTTTTTGGGCAGCTTTGCTGGCCATGGTCGCAGTTGGGAGAACAGAGAAGGACAGTCTGGTTAAAGCTTGGGATTAAAGAGCGTTTTGAAGCGATCGCGTGCGCAAGTCTCCGTGGAACGAATCGGGCTGCTCCTAGAAAAGAAAGAGCAGAAGAAGTCGAAGATCAAAAGTCTAGTAATGAATACAGCGACGCTGGCGGGAAGAAAAGGGTTGGTGTTGATAGAATTAAAGTGGTACTGGATAAACGAGGACACGGACAATTATTACGACGAACGATGATGAAACGAGGTTTATTAGGCCGAGGGTCTCCAGCCTCACTGAAAAGAAGAGCGCTGGCGGTTATGGAGTACGTAGCGTCAGTAGTGCGAGTACAGTGCCTGTTTCGCCGCCACACGCTAAAGCGTGGCATGTGGCTGGTGCTGCCAAGGTTGCGCCACAGGTTCGAGCTCGGCTGCGCAAGGATGACCCTCCCGAATCGAGCCAGGCTAGCCAAGGTCAAATCTTCCGATTGCAATTGCATGCGCTGACTTGATCGAGCGGATCGGCAGATTCGAGGCGCTGAACAATGGCGCCAACCTCAGAATCTTCTGGGCGGCCGGTAAGCACTGGATGGGACAAGCTGGCAAGGGGCGGCAGCTGACAGCTTCTCGAGTCCGCAAATCACTTTAATAAACTGCACGAGGGTCCCGAGGACGTGCTCCGCGATGCCAGAGCGAGGCCAGAGTTTCAAAGCGCCGAGGATGAGGCCAAGGAGCAGAGGATTTCTCAATTGGTACTGCCGAACCTTGTCTACAGAGGAAATTCCAGTCGCGACTGACCGTGCTTGAAGATGGTGGATCAAATGTCAATGCCAATGACCGTCAATGAGGTTTCGGTCACGGGGGCTAAGAACATTCGACGGGGCTTTCTCGATCCTATACTGAATCCCTTACTGAGCGATAGCCAAGACCCTCCGTATACCGTTGGCGAGGTGCTATCGAGGCTGCAGGTAGCAACTGGGAAGCTCAGTGGACTGCGTAAGAACGACAAGCGGGGCATCATCTTGACACAGCTGCTGATAGAGACAACCAGAAATCTTGAGAGAGCCTCCGCAGGTCTACCTGTCCCAATCGAGTCAGGTCGATGCTTCGACAAGTCCTACTGATGTGGACATTTCCATCGGATTACGAGAGCTGCCCCGATTTAAGCTTCAAACAGGCACGGATGTTGGAAATGGCGAGGGGTCTGCATACGGCTCTTTGCTATGGCGGAACATGTTTGGCGGAGCTGAAATGCTCACGCTCAATGCAAAGGCAGGCACTCGTACACGATCCGCTTACAGCGCAAATCTAAGTGCTCCCGTGCTGAGCAACCCAGACATGCGCATTTCGTTGGAGGCGCTGTCTTCAGCCGTGGAAAAGCCCTGGGCGTCACATGAGGAGGTCTTGAAAGGAGGGACGGTGCGCTTTTCATGGCTTAACCGCCAACGAGATACACACTCTGTCGAATATTCAGGATCATGGCGACAGATTACCGGGCTTATGGCTGATGCTAGTCCTACTATCAGACAAGATGCTGGTGATACAATCAAGAGCGCCATCAAGCATGTGTTCTATAGGGAGAGGCGAGACAACCCTCAGCTGCCACAGAGCGGTTATATGGTACGAACAGGCCTAGAATTAGCAGGTGTCGGGCCTCTGGGCGGCGATGTTGCCTTTTCCAGGGGCGACTTGGAAGTAAGTGGTGCCGTCCCTATTCCTCTCCCCGGTGTTAAAGGACCCTCGGGAATCTCTATTGGAGCTGGATTTAGAACAGGCCTGCTCTACCCATTGCCGCTTGGATACAACTTTGGTGGCAAAGCTCTGCCTAGCCGTCTTAACGACCGTTTCTTGCTGGGAGGGCCAACGGACATTCGCAGCTTCAAGCTTGGTGGACTAGGACCGCACGATGGCCGGGATGCCGTGGGTGGAGATGCGTTCGCTGCTGGCAGCGTTAACATGCTTTTCCCCTTACCCTACAAGGGGCCTGATTCTGGCCTCCGATTTCAGCTCTTTGCAAACGGAGGTCGTCTGGTTGCTCTGAAGAACAAGCTAAAGTCTGAAGGCGCGTCAGACGGGCTAAGTGGTGGAATAGTTCGTAATGGCATGTTTAATGCTGTTGGAGAGCTATTCAACGGGCCCCCCAGTTTTGCAGCTGGTGTTGGGCTTGTGTACGCCCACCCCGTGGCGAGGTTTGAACTCAACTTTGGCTTGCCGGTGATAGTCAGAAGGGGAGAGCTCGTCACAAAGGGGGTGCAGCTGGGAGTAGGCATCAACTTTCTGTAAGATGCCGCGCTGGACAACAAAAAAAAAAAAACAAGATAGATCTGTATGTAGTAAAAGTAGCTGAGGCGGCTGATTGTTCAGAATATCAGCCGCTGAATATATATCCCACTTATCCGATTTCGATGTTTCACAGAATGATACAAAGCGACCCAAGTGACATACTAAGTTTTTCAACAATGTAATCTGACAACGAGTTGATTCTTGGTCTAGCATGTGCGTGAGACGTTCAATCGATTAACACATTAGGTACTACATCAAATCTACCTATGAAACAAAAGGCCTGCACCATCAAGCCTCAAAACGATCAGTCAAATGTAGGATATAGGAGAAAATCAGTCAACCACCGAATCCTCTTTTTGCTTATTCGTATTTATGATGACTACAACTTTCAGCAGCGCTTATCTACCGTTGACAGACTGCCATTGACCGCATGGGTGCTTTGCCACAATCCAATTCCAGACTTGGCTGTGACTCAGTCCTCTCTCCAGCAAGGAGTCAGCCGCATGAAAGGGGGGCTTTAGGCACTAGCATGCAAAACTATCGCAGATAGATCAAAGTTTTCATGAAAAAGTAGTCATATATGGAAGAGTTTGACAATATTTATCAACTGCTATCCGAGTTCTACGCTGATAGCATTGCGTTGTCTGAAATTAATACGATGAAACAGCAGCCTCACACGTCAAACGTTGGCGGAGTATAGAGCCGTATTTACAGTTTGAGATTCCTGATTGAGATGCGGAGCGGGAAATGTACCTGCGGAAGTATGTTGCGGAAAATTGTTCCCCAGTTTGATGATCTGGGGCATGGCTGGCTGCCAGCAAAAAGGGAGATGTGAAAAGGGGCTCATAGGCTGATAGATTGACTCAGCGGTATAGAAAATACTTACTCCAGGCATACATTGACCACGCCAAGTATAGATACCTACTTACTACATGTGTTATTATGGAGTTTATTTTGGGGTCTGATGCTGGGGCGAGAGGGGCATTACGATGAGGCAGCTACTTTACGTCTTTGCTATGCCTACTAGGTAGCAAGGAGCGTTTTGTAATCTCAATCTGATAGGTAACAGTTGGGCAAACATCCTTGGATATGCCAGACGAAATAGTGACTCGTAATTACGATGATAACCATAATCAACTAGTAGTACCTAGAATGGAGCTCACAGCTCACAGCTCACAGCTCACAGCGACAGCCGATGATGCTTGGTAGTATTCAAACCTCGTACAAAGAGGACCCATCCAGGGGAGGGTGCTTTTACTGCCATTTCTAGACACTCTTCTTACGCATATAGATAAGGGAGTGAGTGGGTGGTGACGACAAGATCTTCAGTCATGGACTTTGGTATATATGGACTTTTTTTCTATTGCGGCTCCGAGCGAAAACAACGGCCCAGGACGTAATGTCTGAGACATTGGCCATGTGTGGCCAGCAGATCTGCAGTTGTTGCGGAGTGTAAAAGCCAGTACTAGCACCTCTTCATCAAAATCACATCACGTATCGGGGTCCTATCCGGACCCGTGAGCTCCCCGAACGAAGCTCAGCGCCACTGAAACGGCAGCAAAATTTAGATGGAGTTTAAAATAAAAGCATAAGTCAGCGGCGTGTGAGTGTAATACTAGCAGCAGCAGCAGCAGTGTTGGCAGCTCTGTTATCGGAAATAAAGGCCTTCAGGGATGGTAATCCTTTGCGGAGGGATGAAAAGCTATATCTCAGCGTTTGACGCGAATACGTAGGCCTACATGAATGTACCTCTCGTATGGAATCGGCTATGGGGATCGATGCGCTAATCTTGGCGACTAGACGGTCCCAAGGGGTGGAAGCTTGGGACACATCTGATATCAATTCGTCTTCTTTTAGGAGGGCTTGGCGATCTCTATGCTTGAAACTCTACTTGTAGAAGTAGTAACAGACTGTTTAATATTACCACGTAGAGGCAGTGTAGAAGTAAGGAGTCAGTGTCAGTATTTTCTACCCAACATGCATCTGAAAGGGCTCAAAAACCTTTTTGGGCATACGCTCTTCCTTGTTACCAGTACACCGCTCTGTAAGTGAATGCTTGTATGCACCGTATATGGGATATCATGATACCGCTACTGCTGCGTCCTACCGCCTGGAAATCACTCCATATCGACCCCTTGCGCCGCGCTGGTCCCGTGTCTGCATGCGCACGTATGTGATCTGTAACAACTCAATGCTGTGGCGCGACTCGGCACCCGTACTTGGTACTTGTCCTGTGGCGGGGTGTCGGGTCGTTGCTAAAACCCGACAGCGCCCGGGGCGACGAGGCTTTGCGGGCTGAGGCGATGTGCCAGGCCAGCCAATCGTGCTCGAGATTGGCTCGTGGGGCCCTGTCGGTCGAATGAATCCGTCCGGCGGATTGGTCCATTTTGCTCAGTGAACGACGGGGCATGGCTGGACGAGTTGCTCGTACGCGTATGGCTGGAGCCAGTGGCTGGCGATACGACGACCCAAAAGCATCAAGATGAGCGGTATGGCAAAACAGCGCTGCTGTACGAGTACGGGGTTGACAGCAGGAGCTGACTGCTACGTAGCATGTACCTCGCTAGGGGATCGAATCAATGATGTTTACGCCCTGGGCCGTTGACAGGTAGCGTCTTTTGACGTGATGTCGTGGTCGTGAGCACATCACACAAAGCGCCCTGCGCGTGGCGATACGCACGCGAGATCGTGATCTTGGGCGCCCGGAATGCAACCGCACCGAGAGAGCACGCAGCTCGATTTGCACTCCCTCACAGCATCAGGTACTGTGCTGTAGGTACACAGTACGTATCATGCTCGTAATTTGCTCGCATACGCAGGAAATTCGTCTGCAACGGCGAACAAGTGGCCCCTTCGATACGCGTATAAAAGGTCAGCTCTAACCAGGTCCGGAGTACTCCGAGGGCACCCCCTAACTCGTAGCGGACTGGCCCTCGCTAGTCGCTGCCTTCTTATTTCTTATGTGCTCAACTGTG